GACGCGTAATGCTCACGACGCAATAGGGGGAGGTAGACGCGCCACTTTCAAGTGGCGCATATGGGTGCTAGCGAATAGTTCGGCCCGACGCAAACCATAGTAATCATTCTCCTTCTCAGCAACACGACTCCCTCGGCTCCAGAATGGGGTTTCGATGTCAATAGACGCTCCCTCCCTCGTGCTCCCGCCAAAGTCTATGATACCACCACGGAGATTGTAGTCAATCATGAGATTGCCCGAACTGATATCATTCTATCAATTACATCAGACAAACGTCCCGGTACACGTCGAGAAAGTCTTACGTACATGAATCCAGCCCAAGCTATGGAGATGATCAATCGCACTTTTGTAGTCCTTCATGACAACGTCCCAGTCAATATCGATCTTCTTCCAGACAGCTATTGCCAACATATACTGGTGTTTTTGGAGGCACAAACCAGTGACGCGACCGGTCTCGTCTGCGATGTAGCCTCGATATTGACAGATGTTAGGGTGGGGATGATGACGAAATCTTCGTACACCCTCATTTCATCGTTGGCCGAGTGGCTCCGTGTTGGGTTTATCATGGTCGTAGCGTATAAAATCGACACCTTTGACATAGGAATCGGCTGGGAGTGGGAACGGGGCTGCAGTAGGAGAGTCCAAGTCTGCAGGGAGACTCACGTGCTGAGATTCGACAGGGACGCGTTTTCCTTGCAAAGCGTCGAGGTCGTACGTGCGGCTTGGTGATTGTGCGATGAAAAGGGCGCCGTGTTCTTTATAAAGAAGTTTGATGTATAAATAGTCGCTCTCGGAATACACTTCAACGCTAGAAACTACCTCGCGCATAGCTTTGTAGGAGCGAGGAAAATATCAGCTTGCGACGCGCGAAGGACCACCCAAAATACTTACCGTTGTAGATAAAGCAAAGCTTAGTTCAGCGAAAGCCGCCCATTGCTGAGAAACGTCGATGTTGATGGTAGTGGTGGTCAGTAGTCAAGAAGTTTGGCGTGGCGAGTCGAGATCGGCAAGTTCAATGACGTACATTATTCAAATTGTTGCCAGGCATCCTCGACTTGGAGGCAATTCCAGCATCGAGCGCGCTGCTGGAACAACATTTACTCAGTGGTCGAGCAATATCCCGTCTGTAACGTCTCAGCAAGATGGTGTGTGAGACTACGATTGCCCTCAAACTTTTTGTACGAAGATACGACCTTCGATGGCTTATTCTCTGATATACTGCAAAATAATTTTGATTCTATTGTACATACTAAAGTAATTATCAATCACTGAGAATCTTACTCTCATTTTCTTCTTCAAGTGCCTGCTGCTCATGCCCACGGGTCTGCAGGCCCACTTTGCTGCTGTGACATGTCTTCATATTCTCGAGCGCGGGTATTGGAGGGGTCAAGAACGTGGTTTCTACCGCCTATCGGAGCTTTACATTCGGGACTAGAATAAAAAAAATTAGTGAAGACAACAATCGTTCTGGTTTGTGAACTGACCATTGGCTAGCCTGGAGCGCTGCGCCGCACTGAAAACATGTTTGAGCTTGTCAGACGTACGTTTAGACGATGTTCATACCTCTGTGATAACGAACGTGTGACCATTTATGCAGTTGTAGAAATGACCTCGATGCGAAAACCCAAAGGATTTCACGATGTCTTGTTTCTCCTGCAGGGTTATTGGCCGATAGACGGTGTCCTTCATAAGGTGATCTTCCAATTTCCCGCATTCTGCAATGCAGCGCATGACTTTGGCGCCGCAATTCCCATGGAACCATCGACGATCTTCAGCGAGCTGGGACGGACCACCCGACGGACGGCTTGCGAAGTATGACCGTTCAAGCTCTCTCAAACGGTTATTCAGCTTCTTCTTGTCGGCTTGGACTTCCGCTACCAAGCCATCTCGAGCTTCTGCAAATGTACCACTTTTGAGCGCATGCCTGCGCTTCTCCAGCATCAAAAAACGGAACTGTTCAAACTCTGAACAGAGCATCAAGCTGGTGGAACGAGCAGCCAGACGTGGTGAAGAAGTTGCGTGAGCGATGGTGATAGCCTTTCGACAGTCGACAACGCATGACTGATAGATGAACAAGATGAACAAGTACCAGACTTTATGATGAAGAGCTGCAGGTTCGTCGGAAATCATTGGAAGTGCCTCAAACCGAGAACGGGCGATGCTTCCTAACATGAGCCTCAACTCGACAGATAATATGAATGCTTCGAGATGATAACGACGATCGGCCTTATGAGGAGGTTGCCCGATCTTCTGGTCAACATTGCGCATTGCAATATTTTTTAGGGGCTCCTGGAGTGTTTTCGACGGTGGTTCGGCAACAAGATGTCCAAGTTCCAAACGGTAGAGAGTAGAAAGAGCGGATTCGTAAGCGCGCACGTGGATGGACCGCGTCTTCGTAATGTTAGCTACCCTTTTGTAGATTGCGTGGAAATCTCCAATAATAGCCATCCATGTTTTGGCCTCGAAGTCCGACAAACCATGGAGAGTAACCATAGACCTAGCAGTGAAAACATCATGGCTTAAGACTTCGTCTGCCTTCTCAGTCATAAAGCCTTTCCATCTTTCGACTAGGTCCTCGAACTCATCCGCAGGATAACACTCGAAGTCCGGCGCAGCTTTTAGTTCTTTAGCCAAAGCTTCCACCCCCGCCAGACCATTGCTGAAGGTCTCAACGTGTGAGACGACCTCGACCAGACGTTGAGACATCATACTGGCCACATTCTGCTCCAAAATGTCGAGGTTCGCTCGCTTGAGGATCCTTCCGTACCGCCGAGCTGTAATGGGTGCCCGGCAGGCAGGACAGCTGGGTGGTCGCTGAAATTCGGCGGGAGGAGCTTTCATACCCGTGTAGGAACCCAGTGCGTCGACCTCGTAATAGTCGGTCATTTGACAATGACCATCTAATGTCCCCACTGTGAAGATGTGTCCGCAATTTAAAGTAATCAATCTTTCGCTGATATCCTCCGATCCAATACGTATATCTGCCAGTGTCCGCTGCATGACAAAATCTACGATGTCCAATTTGTCTTCGTCGGGAAGACATTCGATGCACTTCTGCTGACGGCATGGCTCACCGCATACTGGAATAAAGTATTGTCCAGTTTGGTTGAAAACTCGAATAAGAGGTCGACTTACCTGAAGAGCAGATATGGCCACACTGAAGAACACTGTGACATGGTTCATCACAAGGTAGACGTGCACATATCTTGAGTCAATGTCAACAATCACGGAAAGGAAATAGAATGATACGACTCGCCGATCCACATAGAACTGGACAGCGAAAATGAGGACAGATCCAATCGCATGGTTCGGCACAAGGTGCACAGTCCTGAGCACATGGTTTGGGACACTTGTAGTGAGAGCAATGTTGACGACATTCCAGCGCACACGAGGTATTACACTCATGGTCTCGAGAACAGTCAAGACCACATTTGTGCTGACAGAATAAGAGGCGCTCGCATTGATGTGACTTGTGCAAGATGCGTTTGATTTGAACACCGAGAAATACTTGGATCCCTCGAGCTCCTGGCAGAGTAAGTTCCGTGCAGTCCCCACAAAAGGACTTGCACGTCTCTTCGCAGCACGACATAGTTCCTCCGCAAGCCTTGAGGCATTTGTGCTTCTGGGGATCGTCGGAACAGCACATAATTGCTTCATGTTCACAAAGCGACAACTGTTTTGTGACCTCTTCGCGACAGAAAACTGAAGACAGGTTTTCCGCTTGGTGGCTGGGAGAGAGCAATTGGAACCGAGTCAAGCCTCGACGCAAGAAAAAGTTGATCATCGTACCATGGAATCGATGCTTTATGGCCGCAAGGTAGTGCAACATTGTAAAGTGGAAATTCGCACGGGCCACATTCATCCGAGCAATTCTTAGGGCACGGATGCATCCGAGGACATGGGGTTCGGAGACATGGCATATCGCACCGCATACTGCGATGATTATCGAGATCGAGATGGCACTATCAAATGACAAATTTGAGTATCGGTGACAGCACATAGAATCATCATTTAAAAATACCATAGAAGGACACTTGTGGCCGCAGTCCATACGATAATCACAAGGCAAGCAGCAACCACCTATAAACAGTTTTGTTAATCCTGATGGTAGCCGTTATCAGTCTCCAGCTGCTTGCCTTCTGGTGCTACAGCACTGAGTTGACCCGGAGTAGTAATTATATTCCTCTGACTTGGGTGACGAGGGCATATCACGGGAAATCCAAACCCGATCTGGTCTCGTTGGCCCATTTCGTCTATGATAGTCTTCCAGGTCGGATTTTGACGAAGGTTAGAAGCATTTCCAAGGATATACAGTCCATGCTGAGCACGCGAAAGAGCAACATTGATTCGATTGGAAGACTAAAAGTATACGTCACTTGGACAAACCGAATTCATGGAAGATGTCCAAAGTACCTTCAGGAGGCCAATTGATTCATCATTATCGAACGATCCAGAATTTCCGACAAGAGAAATAATGACGATTTTTGCTTCCTTGCCCTGGAAGTTATCAACCGTGCCTAGTCGAACCTAGAAAGTGTCATCGCCCACATAACAAAGAAAACAAAGGAAGTCATACATGCTCGGACACGGTAACTTGTTCCATATACCCTTCTCCATCTATTTCCTCTCTTGCCAGTGGCTCCTGATCACGTTCATCGACAGAAACGGCAACTTTGAGGGAGTTCAAGGCGGATCTAAGCTCTCGTAACTGGCCCAAATACGCGCAAAGAACAGCAATATCTCCAGGGAAGCTATAAGCCTCCTGCTTCAGGAAGTACACAACGAGATCAACAATCATTTTGACCTAGTCTCTGTTTAAGCCCCTTTTCTTTCTAGAAGGAGAGGTCAACTTACTTCGAACATGTTAACTTCGGATACCGGGTTTTCACCTACAACTTTTTCCTGATTCGTGTGGGTAAAAAAGAAAAGGTTATGTTCCATCCCTTGAATAGGAGGATACTTCTTGACAAGGTCGTGATCCTCCAAGTTGGGATACAGAATTTTCCTGATGAAACATAAATCACTAGTCCAAACGAATAGCTACAGGAGGTAACAAACCGGATGTTGCGGGAAATGCTTGGACGCATCCTCCGTTGAATGTTGAGTTGGGACATTGGGAACCCATCATCTGCCAGTCTTTCCATCAAAGAACGGTCAAATTTGTACAATTCACAGCCTTGTTCACTGTCCATAGAGAGAGCTGAAAAGCAAATGAATTAATGAAACCCAGACCGGGAGCTGGACGTCCTACTTACAAAAATTGGCCAAGGTAGGACGAAGTTGCTGCGGATCACCTATACAAATAAGATGTTGTACTTGGAAATGATTAAAATTCTACTTGGGAAGAATAGATTACTGTTCACCCACTTGATGGCACAAGAGAAGACAAGATATGTGCCTCAAAAACGTGCCCTGCCTCTTCCACCATCAAAACTTTAGGTGCTATGGTCTAAAAACAAATGAGAACACTAAGGAATGGCAATTACAGCATAAATTATACTTACCGACAAAAGCGAGGTAAGTTTAGCCGCACTATCAGTAGTGCACCCAATAAGATCGATTCTTGATAGCAATTGCCGTCGACTCTGTAATCTATGAGCTGCCAGAATTACTGTACCATGTATAGGAGCCGCTACTTACCTCATCTTCTGCATCACTTAATCGCTTACAAGCAGCTTCATACTCTTCTCGGCATTCTTCGTAATCCTGTCTGTGCTCGTTATATGCAGAGGCCCTCATTTTCTCCTCCCAGAATGCCGACAGTGTTTGTCTCTCTTCGATAGACATACACCAGATGGTATCAATAACCAGGAGCTCATCCAGAGGTCTGGAAGTGGTTGGAATAGACGGAACCATGCCCTCTGGGAATCCCAATGGTACAAAAAAGTTGTTCATGCATGCCAGATAATCCTGCTGGAGCTCCGCCGCAAGGATTGCCTGTCCTTGCTGCTTCTTCCCTTTAGATGACTTCGCAGTATGCTGTGGAGGCTGTATAAACGAGATATCCTGTCCTGTTTTCCAAAAGGAATATATACTATTCGTGATGTCGACATCACGGCCGTTCTTCTTCGAGTCCATGATTATCTGCTTTTCTGCCAGTTTACCAAACCAGAAAGGAGGGTTTACGAGCGAGACAAGATGATTGGGGAAGGTCTCCTGCAAATAGTTGGCTACGGTCTCCCAGGTGTGTGACGGCATCTGGATATGCTGTAGAATTATTCTCATCTCGTCCTCTAGCCGGTGCATTGAAAGACGCTCCTTGCCCACAATCTGATCCAGCGGTGAAGCACCATCCCTCGTCCTCTCCAGCTTGTCCAAGGTATATTCATTGATACGTTCGTCCGAGGACCGAGATCCCAACCTAACAAGGTTTGTCGTGATTGTCGCGTCCAACAGCGAGAGCAGCATGTGATCCAGTGCATGATCTGTGAAAGCGATCATCACAACAGGCTTGACCTTGTTGGCGAATAAGACCCGAAGCAACTCTTTGCCGGTAAAACTCTATGCCTGCTCTTAGAACGCACGTCACATCGAAGGTTCAATAATACACACCTTTCCGGTACCTGGAGGTCTAGAACCCAAGGAACTTGTTTGCATCGTTCAACACGTCAATGATAACAAGAACTTAGAACATACCCTTGAATTAGAGCAATCTCCTGTGTCAAAGCGTCAACTACCGCGTCACATTGACCGGGGTCTAAAAAGCTTGACGACTTCAACTGCAGTCGTGCTGTCTGGATTGATAGAGGGTCGGTTACATTCAATGGATGGACATACTCCCTGGTTCTGTCTTTCGATAGACATTCTAGGTTATATCGGAAAGATGGCTGTCGGCTGTATTTCGGAGGCGCAACCGCAATTCTCCCCAGGGACCCCCCACAAATATATTTGGAAAATGGAATGGAGGTAGGTTCCACGGAACGCAATTTCTCCAAAAAGGGTCTGATAGATTCGAACATAATATTGTTATCCACCAAGAACGCGAATCGATGCTGATCAATAGTGATCTTTTCCTGTCGAAGGGCGCCAAGTTCTACGTCAGGATCAAAAAATTTGATGCGAACTTCAATGCGGCTCTCGTGGACCTTCGACGACTCGATGATGTCATCTGTCGATGAAGACACACTGCCAACATAGATCTTTAGACGACCCGAATGTGCGACGACTAAAACGACGAGGCTGCCGGCGCTGAGACGTCGTGAGCCAGCATGTTCCCAGAAGTCTTTTCTGACTTTGGGATCAGAGTGTCGAGCACGGTCTGAGGGAGGCGCATCGACAACAAGACCGACCGTGAAGCCACGTCGCTCAGCTTGAAGAAGAGAGTATTCCGCATTTGTGTAGATATGGAACATAGTCGAGTTACATCCAACGGACCGATACATGCCTCCCCTTGCCTTAAGTAACTTTTCCAATCGAGTTGGTTGCGTTTTACGTCTTGTAGCTGGTGCTTGCATGGCATCGAAGTCAAGCTGAAGAGTAGATATAGATGCGCGGATGGGAGCACTGGCATATACATATCTCAGTGCTTATCGTGAGAGTATTATAGGACGACTCACACGAGTTCCTCACGCAAGAGACGGAACTGAATGTCCAGATGCCGTTCCATTGAATTCGGAGCCAAATGATGCGGGGCGTCCGGACGGTTGACAGGAATGTATGGACGGCTAGCAGAGATCATTTCGTCATGGGTAGGGACGATATGTATGTTGGCTATGTCAGAGTGATCATTGCTATGACGAGGACCAAGAAAATGAAGGGCACTGGGACCGTCATAAGTCTGAATAAGACGAGCCCGCAATGCTTCAGATCGATGCTCTTCTCTTAGACCTTGTGGTTGCACTGGTCTTCGTTTTCTCTCCACATTTGCGTGCTCTCGATTTACTATTGCGTCCAGTCTAATGATAGACTCTTTGATTTGTTCCAAGGCCAATAGCTGAACAACTGGGTCAATGGAATCATCAAAGCTCGACGTTGCAATCAGTCTCGCCCATTCATCATACCACTGAACAAGGTTGCCAACGAATGCGACGATGTCTGGATGATTATTTATAGCATGTTTGAAACGCTGAAAATATCTGAGAAGAGTTAACACCATAACGACTGAAAATAGGTAGAAGCTCTTACTGAGTAAGCAGGGCGGTGATCGTGCCGAAAACGACCACTCCCGAAAGGTTGTTTTGCCGCGCGGCAGGGAGGGCTGGTGTAGGATCCTTCCAAGATCGATTCTGGATCATTTGTTCCATGCATGAAGAAACGACGTCGAGCATATAATCGAGGCCACTATTCAGGGTGCTGTACAAGGTGCTAGGGAATGACAGCTTGATAAAGGGCATACGTATATTTGAGACGTGAGATGGCGCACTTAATATTATGGTGGATATTGGTTTTCAGGATGAGGTCTGAACAAAAGAACTGGAGTTCTGATGAGAGGTGTGGTCGACGGCAGGGAGATAATAGCTACCTGAAGAAGTGGGAAGTATCCAATTTGAAATGAAAGGTTGGTGAAGCCTGTACCGACGCGACACGCAATAGGGGAGTATTGTAAGACTTCGCGGATGCGAGCGAGGACATGGTGCTAGTTGGTTTGATAAGGACTCGACTATTTAAAGATTCACAAAAGCTTTACCTTCATGTCAACTATCATTTCAAGAAATGACTGCGCCTGAATCGTATCCTATGAGGACGCTTAGAAGAGAAGCTGGCTGCGTTTGTACAGATAGAGTCACACCCATTGTGAATTTCGGCAATTAACGCTAGCTAGAATCTGGGCGAACTGAATGACTCGATCCGTGCTTGTGAACTGGAACGTCGGACTATTGAATATCTTGAGCATGTCATGTGCCTCCGTCGGACCCATTGTATGTAACTTGTCCAAGGAAATGTTGTCAATTCCCGCTAGTCCTTTGGTCGTCAGGAAGTCGAGAGTGCCAGATTCCGCTGAGGACGTCGCTAGAGGGGCCTTTACAGCATTCTGAGTCTGTGGCTGGGGAACATGGCGGAATGTACAGGCGAATCCTCGTTGACATTCACCTGAAGTCCAAAAGAACTCGCAGTTCCCCTGACCAGCTGTGATTCCGCCAGACCTGCTTGATGGTCTGGGAGAATGCACCGTAGTTGACGATGACGAAGGTGTTGGACTCCCGACTCTTTCGTGGATAAACTTGCAGTCCTGATCATAATGGCACCCTTTAGGAGTGTTGAAGAATCCGCACGGCTGCTTTCCACGTTCGTTGGACATGTCAGAAAGGTATGGGAGAAGGAAGACCTCGAGGCATCGATGGGCGTCTATTGGTGTTTGTTACTAAGATGGCACCTGATGGCACCTGATCACAACAAAGGCCTGGCTAGCCACTTACCGAAGGAGTTAATGAACCATCAAATTTACATAACCGAAATCCATATCGGTATTGAATGAACCAGCCTCAGATAAATTTACCGGCCGTAATGCCTGATGCTGCCACCAGTCGACGGTGCTGCCAATGCCAATGCCGCATAACGTCTGTAGAGTCAACATATCAGCAATAAGTGTGAGTGCTCCATATCATTTTGAAAACACGAAAAATGGAAGCGGCCGTTGAGACGTACCGAAAATTCGCGCAAAGGCGACCGGTAACACCGGGCCGCGACGACAACGAACCAATCCTGACAGATCCTGACAGACTGTCAAGTTGAAAATTGCTCTCTCCCATGAAACTCGATACAAAGTCAACATTCATATACGTCTTTATAGGGCTGCAGTAGACCAAGACGGACGAGGAGCAAAACCCCACCGTGGTTGTCGATAAGAAGGAAAAGACGATGAAAGATCTCTGGAAAGAGTATACATTTAAGGCCTGCCTAAATTGTCTTTCTGGGAGGCTTTATTGGTGACTAGTCTGTATTTGTGTGGCTGTCGGAGAAGCGTATTCCCTGTTCTTGAATTTGCATTCGACGAAAACCAAGATTGACACGGAACTCAATCTTAAAGATGCGACGCAAAAAATTCCGCTATTTTTACTCATAAGTCTTGGCGCTCATTGGAAGGCATCGCACAACTCACCCAAGGACAGCGCCGAACATTTGTATGTCCGCTCTAGTGTCGTGTAATTGACGTGCTGGATACCGAATCTACGCTCATGCTAAGGCAAGAAGATATCTAAACCCCGAACAAAGAGCACGCACCTGACGGACGTTCCACTTGCCCATTCCGCATTGTCGAGCATTGCTGCAATGAGTTAGCAACGATATGTTATGTCTTGTTTCATTGAAACTAACCCCAAGCGAAAGCACCCTGTATTGGAACCCCGTCTTCGTGTATGCATAGCAACATCTCACCAAGGTACGTGAGGAAGTAGTCTGGAAACACTGATGAATCTTCGAATACCCCAAAATGAGACTATAGGCTCACTCGTTCGGTCCACGTCCTCCTTTATTTGAGATAGGTCCGTTTTCTCGTTTTCGTAAGGCCCCGCAAAGCCGAATTCAGAAACATACTATGCATTATCAGTCAGAGATTGCCAATATATATGAAGTCCTCACACTCACCAACTTATTACTTGGCCATCGCGAGTGGAGATCCTTTAGCAAAGTACCAACGGCCACTGGTGTTGCTTGAAGCCAGGTAGCCAATGGGTCAGCAGCAGGACCTATAGCCCAGCCGTAATCCGAGTCGAACAGTACAGGTTCGTTACAGACAGGCCACAAAGGGTGGGAAGTATTTGCGACGCATGCGTCGATTCCTTCTACCGAGGCCCTTACCCATTGCGAGCGGTAGGAATCGATGGCGAAGAAATCCGCGGAGCCGAGGATGTCCCTCTTTTCCTGGTCAGTGAAGCGCAGGAGATACTCGGAGGGAAGGGTGTCCCCGACAATGTTGGGCCAGTCGCCTGTTGTATATACGAAGTTTGAGAAGATGCCTATTTGGAATGCAGCATGGCATTCGACGGCAAGTGCGTCCTCAGTAGAATTGTTTCTCCAGGGCGTGCCTCTGGAGATTGTTCAATGGGTGCTAGCAGAAGGAAGGGGCATAGGTCATGTAATCGTCGTTTTTGAAGGCGATCTCTCCCGATATATTCATTTCTCCGAATGCTGGAAACGAAGTTCGTTAGCAGGAGGTCCTTATCATGATGCGCAAACAGATCTTTAACGACTCCTGCATGGGCCTTTACTATAAAATGGTCAGGGTCGGGGATAAAAAAAAGGATGCATGCAGGACGTACACAGATTGTATGTGCATCGATAAGGGGCGGCAGACGAGTTTACACCAGGGACGAGTGTGGCATCTATTCTTAATGGTAAGCTTGCGGAAGGGGTTTGATATATCAGAATGTGTACTGAAAGGATAGGTTGCAACCTGGCCACAATAAGCACATGGCTCGTTAAAAGTATACCTGAAGCAGCTGAGTTTATTGCGGCGCTACGGTCACTAACCAAGTTTAAACACGGCCGTTGTACGCCTTGAATACCGTCTTGGCGTAGCTGAAAGTGGCGTAAGTACACAAACTGTCGACTCCTTCTAGTACTCACTTTACGAAGTCATCGACTATTTCTGGAGATGTGAAAGCTCCGTAGTAAGCCTTGAGGGCAAGAGGTGTTTCCCAATGGACTATTTCTCTGGTGGTAAACATGGAGTGTTGAATACAACCGAGAAAGGCTTACACAAAATTACAACAGGCTCCACGCCATAGGCCTAGTGGTAATCAATGACTGTAGTCACAGCGGTCAGCATCTCTTATGGTACCAGCACGAAGTCATACCATCGGAATAATGAATAGTTCCTGCGATATTAATAGGAGAATCAGCAGCACCAAAGGGGTAGATCCTCGCCCACGAGATACTACGAGACATTGTTCTGAGAAGTCGCGTCACCTGGATTCCAATACATGCGAGAAAGAATGCGCAGTGACACCAAGGGGGGCGGAGCTGAACATCTTCTTTGTACAGGAAGTGAAGGTCGACAACGTCACCTACAACAATCTCAGTTGCAAGATCGGCGTTGTAGCGGTAATGCATACTTATCAGTTGTGTTGTCAGGCACACCGTTTGGCTGCCTGGAAGCCCAGTCCCACATAGTCGGACCCTTGCCCTCATTCTTCGTGGCGCCCTCGACTTGGTACGCGGCTGTGTCGACTCCGAATATGAAGCCTTTGGGGAATTTCAAGCCTGGTAGGACGTCCTTTGGCAAAGGGGCATAGAATGTTGGATACAAAGGCGGGGGAGAGGGTGGTAGGGTGACTGCTGCGCCGGGAATGCGGGTAGTGGTGAATGGAGGTGGCTCAACAGGTCCGATCTGCAGATCAGTGATAAGTTAAGCGACATTCTAGGACGATCAGCAAGAATGCAAACAATATCCCATAGTTTTTCCTGCCCTTCCGGCGTGTAATCGCGAGGAATCGATCCGATTGGAGGAAAGCTGGCGGTGGCAGTTGGGATACTTGTGGGACCCAGTGTACTGGTAACGCTTGATATTCCCGAAGAGCTTGTTCTTGTGGCCGACGTTGCAAGCGCTACAGAAATTCCGCTCCGCCTATTGGGAAAGACGAAAGAGAGTAACAGTACTTCGATGAGCATCTTGGGGGAGAAGGGGCAAGAGAATCGAACTCCTGTAATGGCCGTAAGGATGTCGAGCTGTATATAGCCATTTCCACGAGAGAAGAGTTCATGCAGAGTCATCTGCTTGTTTTTACTTGGCTACTCGGTCATGAGAAATGCATCGAGCGCAGATGACTTGAACAACGGTCCGATACTAGGAAAGAGAAGCTTGCGAGACCGACTTTCGTTCATGGGGGAAATTCAGGGAATTCATTATAAAAGCGTAAGAAAATAACAACGCAGCCGTTGTAGAGCACTGTCAAAGGATTACACGTTATGCTGAGAGCGAGTTTTCAGAGTAACTCACAGTACCAGCCGACGCCACCACCAAATAAAATTTCCCAACCGGCAAAACATTCGAACTCCTCACTCTTGATGTCGCCATGCAATCAGATGATATGCAGAAGATGCCTGCAGAAAGATCATTCGACCATTTGTACAGGCAGCTCAGTCGAGCGCAGAGCCTGAGCTGAGTGACGGCCTTGCTGAGAAGTCTGGAACCCTAACCTCAACACGGTCACATGCTTGAGATGCTTACTAAGGCACGCGCTTCGATTTATCGTCTGTAGCGGCCCGGACCGGAACCAGACTCGGACAATCACTTGAAGCCTTACCCTCGTCGCTTCGCCTAGTGTTAACGAAAGGCAGCCCCCCTTTTCAGTACCTGCCGGTGATCCATCTCACGATGAAGGATGCGACCATCTTTCTTTGTGAATGGAAGGGAGATAACGTATAACAGAGACCATTCTATACCCATTCTGATACTACTAGTGCGCCTACAGCGGACAGGGACAATTGGCCTGAGTCTGAACGGATCGAACTCATTGCAGGGCGGGATACTTCTCAAACTGCGTCTTCTTCGAGTGGGATTGGATGTCGTGTTGACGGCGAACGGTAAAAGCATGCCCACATCCAAGGGTAGACAACCCTTCTCCCATACTGGTAGGAACACGTATCCGTTTCCTCGATTCAATTTCTTGTACGAATCGTGGTGTAACATATGCAGTGTACTCATTCCTTAGGTTGAATAGGCAATCCTCTTTTGGAGTTAGGAGTTACAGGAGTCGCATTCAACGGTTTCGACCACAACCTTTCTTGTATACCGAATCAGGAGACAAAAACCAAGTGGCGCGTGATGATAACGATAAAGTCGTGTTTTAAATGGCGTACGAGGCGCTATGGTGTAGTGGCAGCACATGGGATTCTGAAATGGGATATTCCCATAACCCAGGTTCGAACCCTGGTAGTGCCTGGTGAATGGATGTCTTTTTTTGTAGGATTACTTGTCCAAGTACGATTTTGCCAGTATCATCAGGCGGTGTTTATTCAATAATTGAAACTGATTGAATCACATTTGAATAACCTGGGTAGGAGTAGTTAGTAGTGACTAGTCCTTACTGGCTTCGCGAGGAAGGATACAGTTGGAAATCTCTAGGATGATTTTTCTTAGACAGAAGAGCACGAAGGGTATCCTTTTTGCGATTGGGGCGTTTTCCTTCGCGCATTCGGCATTGTCGGAACACCCCTCTCTCTCACAGCCCGAAGTTGCATGGCTGAGCGCTGAACACCGAGTCTCGAAGACATTCCCATCTCATGAAGAAGTGTTTTCAGATCTTCTGATTCCATGATACTGGTGATAGATTCAGAAGCCAACAGTAGAAGTAACGATACTTTACAGGTCAGCCAAGCTGCGCAAATTCTCCTGATCCTGTCATCATAGAACTATTGCTCGGCGTTGGCTTGTCCCATGCTTAAGGCAAATGTGCACAATTCCGCTTTAACGAACCACGTGGGGGGGTGCTCTGGAATAACGGTTGGAAGCCCGAGTCCGAGTCCGAATCCGAATCCGAGAGCGATCAATAAGCCGCGAGGAATTAGAGTGCGTCATCATTTTGAGACGTCATTCCCACAAGATTGCCAGGGCTGCTACGCGATGGCTAAATATCGAACTTTCATGCATTGGCCTCAGTTCATCCCTGATGTTATTCTTCCTCCTTCTCTTCCTGTCGCGTAAGGCGCTGGCAGCAATCGACCGACACACTGTGGTATCACGGTACAATCCCACCCGCAATACATCCAGCCTCACCACGCCGATGCAAGTAGGCAACGGAAACTTCGCTTTCGGCGCCGACGTCACAGGTCTCCAGACGTTCCAGCCATTCGCTATCATGTCTTCGTGGGGGTGGAAGAACGACACGTTGCCTGAGGGTAAGACGATGGACGACGTGAACAATTATCACGGCGTAAGTTGGTATAATCACGAACAACTCGTCGAGTATGATTTTGGCGGTGACCCGCTGATTGAGCAATGGCTCACAGCGAATCCCAACCGTGTCAATCTGGGAAGGGTGGGGCTGGTGTTTCGGTCGGCCGAGGGAGAGGTGCTCAACGTGACGGAGAGTAACTTGACGGATGTTCACCAGGAGCTCGACCTCTGGACGGGAACGATTACAAGCGGATTCTCTTTTGGAGGGGAGCCGATTATTGTGACAACGACATGTGCACAGGACCGAGACACCGTTGGAATTAGCATCGAGTCTGCACTGTTGAGTGATGGTCAGTTGGGCGTGTTCGTGGATTATCCGTGGAACGATGGTTCAGAATCATTCAACGCACCGTTTGTCGGGAACTGGGATGCTCCTGCCAACCACACGACTTCGATCAGTACTGACGTTGATGACCACAATGCAGAGATTACACACACGCTCGACGAAGCTTCGTTCATCACTTCTTTCGACGGCGACACTTTCACCATATCCCGCGATGCTCCCGATGCTCATCGTTACACCATCCTACCCAAAGACTCTACGTCGACTTTCCGAATGGCAATTACCTATGGTATCACAAGTCCAGGCGACAGGACAAGCTACGAGGCCACGGACGTTTCATCGCGAACAACTTGGGACGCCTTTTGGTCACAAAGCGGTTTCGTCGACGTATTTACGGAGTCTTCGGATCCGAGAGCAGATGAGTTGCAAAGGAGGATTATTCTTTCGCGGTATTTGTTGCGTGTGAATGAGGCAGGAGATACCCCACCGCAGGAAGTAAGTGGTCCTGGTCTGCGAATATGATAGTAATGCTCATGCACGTTTCCAGTCCGGGCTAGTGAATAATGGCTGGGTGAGTGAGTTTGTACTGTCCTGTAACAATGGACTCACCAATATTTTTACAGTACGGGTAAGCATCTTCAAGATATTTCGATATGCATGTTTTGAATTCACTACCCGAATAATATAGCAAATTCCACATGGAGATGTACTTTTGGCACTCGGCACACTGGGCTCTCTGGAACAACTGGGAGCTGCTCAGCCGATCTACCGGTACTTACGCCAAATTCCTACCATCCTCGATAGCCCGGTCGCAGGAGCAGCAACACTGGCCCTCCGGTGCACGATGGCCAAAGATGACCGATCCTTCAGGTCGTTCATCCCCAGGCGATATAAACAATCTGCTCATCTGGCAGCAGCCGCACCCGCTCATATTTGCTCAGTATGAATATCGGGCATCACCAACGATGGAGACACTGCGCAAGTGGGAGGATGTCGTTCGGGAAACGGCGAATTGGATGGCGGATTTTGCATGGTATAACGAGTCCACAGGCGTCTATGATCTTGGACCACCCTTGTACGACGTGAGCGAAGATAGCGGTCCCAATATGACTGTGAATCCAGCATTCGAATTGGCGTATTGGCGGCTGGGATTGGGCTATGCCGAAGAATGGATGAAGAATCTCGGCGAGGAAGTACCAAGCAGTTGGACGGTGGTCAAAGACAATCTCGCACCACTTCCTGTCAACAACGGCACCTACAAGGTGTACGAAACGATTGGGGATGATTTTTGGACGGATCCGGCGCACATATTCTTTCACCCAACATTAGTGGGATTGTATGGATGGCTTCCGGAGACGGAGGGATTGAACCTCACGATTGCCAAAGCGACGGCCGAGAAGGTGCGAGAGTATTGGATTGTGACGTATGTCTGGGGGTGCGCGTAGTTCATATTCATCTTTGTGCGATAGCTGAAAGGTATACAGGTGGGATTTCTCGATGCTTGCTATGTCGTCGGCACGTAATGGGGAAGCCGAAGACGCCGTCGACTGGCTGTTACATCCTCATTTGAATTTTGACGATGTTGGGATGCCATTGAGTAACGTACGTGTTGCCCCGCCATATTTCCCGGGCCCAGGTGGACTCTTGTATGCTGTAGCGATGATGGCATGTGGATGGGATGGTAGTGAAGGGGATGCGCCAGGATTTCCGAAAGACGGCTGGGTTGTTCGCCATGAAGGTTTGAGTAGAGCCTTGTAATCAACGAACATTTCGTACCTTTTACCAAGTAGCTCGTAGTCCACAATGATGACAATGCTCTCCAATTTTCGTAACCGTGTTGACGGTGAAACTCTCGTATCTGCAGTGTATCAATCTCAGTCTACGGACTTCTGCCTGGAATTGAGGCCCAAATTGATACTAAAGCAAAGACAAATATAACGCAGCGTCGAGAATAAACCTTCAAAAGCTCCTAGACAGAATGGAAGAACGTGAAACACAGTCATGACATGACTTGAATCAAAGTGACGGGAGATGCGAAGTCGAGCATGGCAGTATATAGAGAAATGAGCGGAACTACACTTTTCTGATCTCCGGCTTCGCAATTTCACATCCGCGCTTTCTTCCGTACCACCACGTCGTTTCTCGTGCACCGTCGCTATTGCTGCCAATGTACAATCTCTACAGGAAGGCGTCACTTCGCCTCGCCAGAACTGGCTCTTCGTCTTCCTTGCTTCACAGCTGACCTAGGCTCTGGACTTTCTTCAAGGCAATACTACTTCTCAAGGCGTTCTGCATCCTTCCCAGTGCTAGAGCTTTCTCACTCGGTAGACGAAGCTGGATCCAGGTCTGATAATATGGCATATATGCGTCTTTGGTAGCATAGAGGAGGTAAGAATTGAACTGGAGGATGTCTTGGCATCCGGTGCGTATACACTTGTATGATTCACTGTTTCGTACTTGACGTGATATTTCTTTGCCAGCGCGTGCGACGATTCAGATCGAGGAACCATCCGTATGTTGAGGATTTCAACCGAAGCTATCGGTGTGGAATTGGATCCCAAAGGCTGCATTGTTATCAATGACCAGTTCAACACCTCGATACCTAACACCAAATGCGCTGTGATGTTACCTTTGGCCCTATGCTCGCTTGCCCACGATGCCGAGGAGGAGGGTATCGGCTATGTCAAGTTTATGAAAACAAGACACAGACACCGACGCCATCCTTTCGGTTCACTCACCTCGAGTTTACATGGAGAGCAAGAACTCTAAGCTGCTGGTATGCAATGTAGTAAGAACAATCTTGTACTTTAAGCTCTCTGTTTATTACTCTCGTATCGGACATGGAAAACCTCGCCGTGCCCAATGCACTAATACGCCTCTTCTCTTCCATCCTGCCTGGTGCTTTTCTCCTCTCTTTCAAAGATGCTTTATTCCGCTATCTTTTTCTTCATGCGTGTGGCACGTACAGTCTCCCTCAACGCCTCCACCCTCCCCGCAAACGGCGAAGCTGCCCAGCCCCAGAACGTCGCCTTCCAACCCTCATTGTTAATAGTACTTTCTCCAGTGCGTATGTACCTAATCCCCGGTTTTTCTTCCTACACACACTCTTCTTCTAGCCGGCGCAGTGGAGTGCATGGATGAACAATGTACGACGTCGCCTTGTTCGGGCTCGGGCGCAGTGTTTTGCTATCCTGTCTGTGATGGGAACGGGACTACGTGACTTTTTTCTTTCATTGATTACCTGAGCTGACTTTGGTGTGTAGTTTATAGCGAGAAGGGTCCACACAGCAACCGCACCATACAGTGCTACCGGCAGCTGTGGATCCTTGGGACTTTTGTGGGAAGGTAGAATGATATGTCGGAGTGAATACTGCATGCGAAAGGCGCCGTATCCCTAGGTATATAATAACAGATCCGAAATGACAACAAGCGAACATCATTGATACGAGTTTGAACAAGCTTCTAGCTGAGTCTGATGACAGATAACATAATGGATGGCAATGGTATTTGTGTCTAGTTAAACAGATCTTTCCGACTACAATCATAAATAACGTACAGCGATCCCTCACAGGGTAAAGCACCTGCTTGGGGTAATGAGTTTCGAGACCATTATATAGCATAGTATACATCTATCGAGGCACGTTTGGCGTTATTAGCCCAGCCAGGAAACTGGGTTGATTTAGAAGGAGGGATTTGTACTTGGAGGGAAGACTCACCATAGCCCTAGCCATCAACGCTACCCTATCTCCCGGCTCAAGTAGCCCCACAAACTCGCGTAAGAGGCCATACAGACCTGTTATAGATCGATGCTTGCTCCCCTCATGCATACGTGACCAGACAAGCATACGTTCCTTGTACGAGCCTGTGGTAGTAAGTAGTAACGTTTACTCTGACATGCCATCTGCTGCCCTCCACCTCGTGAGATCGTACTTCGGCCGCTTGTGCTGCACTACGCAAGTCTCCTGATAAACCCTTCCGGTACAGACCTACGGACATCTCCAGACTTCGCTGAGCCACCATGGTTCTCCGCGTATTATTGCGGCCTCGAACCAGGTCCACGATCCCTCGTAGGTCCCTGGTAGCATGTAAGTATGCAAGAAAATGTCGTGAAAATCATTAAGTGTACCTCGGTGCCTTGGCTCGCCTCCTCAACCCTGGTCACGACTCTCGGTTACGAATTTTACTACCCGCACTTTGACGCCTTGGGGAACAGGAGGGGAGACGATATAGCACCAGCCGGCGTCCGGATATGTCTCTTTAACCCGGTAATCAGAAACAGCGTGCCCCTCTATGATTCTCCTTTCGTGGATACATGGCCAGTATTGAGCAAATTCGAGTGTATCGTCGATGATCTCGACGGGAAGGCCGCAATTCTTCAGGATATACTTGACAGAGAGGACATCGTCGTCAGTTGGGGCGTGATCTGAGTGTTCATTTGTGCTATTTGTTATCGTATTTGGAGGTCCTCCATGTACAGTTGAGGAGTGCGAATGCCCTACCGATCTGCTTTGGTAAGGGTAAATGAGGCACAAATTCAATGCCTGGTGGCCAGAGCCCACGCTGACGGAGCTTTGCTAAGCTGGGAATGGTAGCAAGTCTGCACAGTACGATCTCAGTCAATATTAATATCATTGCAAGTAAAGGGATACTTACGAGGGACAGAACAGGTGGTGGTCGATGGTAAAGCTACGGCCGCGAACGTGGCCTTCATCGGTCATCCGGCCCGAAACCGTGATCTGCCAAACTTTTCTTTTTAGGAACTCACCTCCTACTTCGTCCGGACACGCTTGCAGACAACCAAAACGCGATGTTGATATACGACTCAATGCTCGCGGTATTTACCCCTTTTACGATACAAATACATAGTCTCGCTAATAGTCTCAGAACGCGACATTCCTAACTTACCACTAAATTGCAGATCGGACCTGTCGAGCTACCTCCATTCACCACTACTCGCGTTCCCAGTGCAGCAGTCACCTCCCCCGCCTATGTATCCATTCTTCTATGCTCCTGCGCCGAAGGATATCTTGCCAGACTTGAAATTCCCCAAAGGCTTCAGATACGGAGTTGCCACGTCCGCGTACCAACTCGAGGGTGCCGTGAAGAACGAGGGCAAGGGTCCGACCATGTGGGACTGGGCAACCAGACAGCCAAGTGGTACAACTGATAACATAACTGGTACGTACGCGAGGTAGGGCGAAAATATGAATCATGAGACTGAGATTATTGTAGGTGATGTCGTCGGTCTTTATTATTACCTGTACAAAGAAGATGTCGAATGCATCGCCGCTCTTCGTATGACTGCACATTCGTTCTCGTACGTGTTAGAGAACACATTCGACCCGACTTTCTGAGTAACACTTTGTAGGATTTCATGGGCGAGGATCTACCCATTTGGCGCTGCTGATTCTCCTCTCAATACACTTGGCATTGATCACTATTCTGACGGTACATTTTCACCCTGACAACATCGTCAGTGATGCTGATAGTTTTCGCCACAGTTATTGATTACCACCACCTGGCCCATAACGTGGAGCCTGTTGTATCGTTGTGTAAGGATCTCTTGGCTGCGTTCAGTCCGCCTCGTTCATCAACAGACTCATAGTTCACTGGGATACACCCGTCGCCCTTCAGGCTTACTATGGGGGTTTTACCTCACCACAAATTGTTGACGATTTCATAAAGTAAGTGCTAGACAATGTGATTGTTTGTGTGCTTATGCAGTTTTCAGCTACGCCAAGACATTATTCAAGGCATACGGCGACCGTGTTAAAACTTGGTAGGTGTCCGTATTTTCTTGTTTCTTACAGAATAAGCTCAAAGTACTTCAGGTTCACGTTCAATGAACCGGGCAATTTCTGTAGCCAGATTTCATCCTATCCTTTCAGTGAATATTCTACCTATCAAACCCTATTTCGGCAAACTTACCTTGAGAGTAGATGTTACCCTCGCTCCTGGTGTCAATTCGTCCACCGCCCCTTATCAATGTACATACAATTTATGTGCGTTCTGCGTGCTTCTTACCCCTGCACCCGATCCTGATATTTTATTACTATAGTAAAGGCCCATGCAGGCACCGTCAAGAGTACGTCGACACATCACGATGAAGTACCTTTACTCATATCACTTGTACTTAGTGTTCCGCGAAATGAACATGACAGGAGAGATTGGCTTCAAAAATTCCAATTACATGTAACTATATCCCTTTCTCCTGCTAGTATTTACACAAATTGACCATCCTCCAGAGGCACGCCATGGAGAAGTAACTCTACTGAAGACGCGCTTGCAGTTGAATGCAGCGTTCGAAATAGGTCTCTTCTCTAACCCTGTATACACGACAGGCGATTGGCCCGGCATCGTAAAAGATACCCTCTCCAAGGAATATCTTCCACGCTTCACCGATGAAGAAAAGAGCGACGTTCTTGGCTCCGCGGATTTCTTTTCCATTACTTCCTACTGCTCACTATGGATAAAGGCGCCGGACGAAGGACTTGACGCATGCGTGACTAATCCTTCCCATCCATTGTGGCCCGCCTGTAACGAACCTGCCTGCCATTGATCCAGTGGCTACCTCCGTTCAAGTAACACCGTTGGCGATTCGTCCGTTATTGAAGGACTTCTACACTCGATGGCGGTGGGTGTGAAACTTTTATAGTGGCTGTTTCTGATCATTGGCGAGCAGTATATTTTCGAGTTCAGCATCCTTGAGCCAGTGGTGTACGTGGATGCAGATATATCGCAAATCAAGGAGGACGTCGACCAAACAAGCACGCGCTGTAACTCACTTTAGCCTTGATAAATTGAAGATTTATTCATTAGTTCTAGACTACCTACCCGGTGAAATGTTATCCGTTTCCAACATGCTCTTCGTTTGACAGAAAATTCTTCACTGTTATGAGAAGAGACTTTAGTGGCCATTCCTTACAGGCTGGAGGCATGGCGTTCTATGCATCTTTGGAAGTTTCGGAGGCCATTATCCAAACATTGAGTTGCTGGTCCTCAAAGGCATGGATACTGTATGTTTGGGAACACCCGGCTCTTCACGCAGAACCACAAATGGCTGCATTACAATCTAGCCACCCACTTCTCTCTAACCTCATCATGCGATCTGCTCATCATCTGTACCTCCCACACACTTCCTTAGCTCACCGCGTATCGCAATGAATATGAGGGAGCTTGTAGTTCAAGCTGCAGTTCACGCAATGGGATTCTTCGCCGAAAGGTGTCCATTCTCAGGACAGCAAGGAATTGTATACTGGCGTCTCGACTATAAACTTTAACTAACTTCTCGGCGTCACACATACCTCCCTAAACGGTCTTGACTACATAAATAAAATCGCCTATGAAGATGCCAAGGGAGATAGTACATAGGCTAGTCCGCCAAAAGAATACCTGCGCTACAGATCAACAGATTCGGAGACAATAGCAAGGTTCCTGCGCTGGATGAAGGTAGTCAGTACAAATGATAGATATGGCAGGGCAAGACACACCCGAAACGGACGGTATAGAGAAGACGAGTTCGCATCTTCGTCAAGACAACCAGCATGGGAAGAGTCCGACGAGTCTGTTGCATCAGTAGCCGATGATCCATTGCTGGAGGATGGCGAAAGGAGAGGTGGACAGCTGTCGTCGGCTGATGTCTCGGTGGTAAATATGGACGCAAGGGCATAAGCCTTTCTACTGAGGAAGTTGAACAAGCCAGAATTTTCAGCTGCTTGAAATATGTTAATGGATAAAATGGAACCGTATGCCATGCTACTGACTGCGTAAATGAACTGGAGCAATCATATGTATCAACTGATACATCTCCCGGCGATAACATCCCCAGATGTCTGTAGTGGCGTCAAGTGAAGTAAAGCACTGCTGAAAACACTTACGAGTATAGTTATCTACTGCTTGCTGCATATATACCCAGACGAATAATTCCAATTCAATATCCTGAGACTCGTCGCCGCGCAGTTCAACGTCACCACGATCTCCGGTAGAGAATATTATTGCATACCACTCGGGCGAAAGTGACGGCGCACGCATACTTGGAGGTGGGGGAACTGGCGCACGGTCGCCTTCGAAGAGTCGAACAATGTGGTTTTCACACTCGGTGCGGAACTCAAACGCCAAAGAGAGTTTTGTCACCGCAAGCTGAAGAAGAGCGGGCCACGCAGAGCGGCATAATCTGTTGGGATCGGGAACTTCGGCATCAAGACCAGGTATAACAGTGTTGAAGAGTGCGGAGAGTGAAGCGGATAGAGCAGGAGACTGCAGAGTGTAGACTTCTGTGGCATCGGGGGGTACTGTTGCATGTTCAGCAAAGAATGGTCCGTACTCAAAATCGGAGGGCCAATGAAATGGTAGGTATTTAGAGTGGCCATGTACTGGGGAGATTGGTCGAGGCTTTAGGTGAATCTGGACGCTCGCCATGAGATGAGATGAGATGGTCAAGAATTAGGTAATAGGAGTCACCCGGGTTGTAGGTTTAAGCGGAGTTTAAAATATGTTCCTTATAAAGCAGTGCCAGTTGAATTCTCTTGTCTTCCTCTCTCTCATCTTATCCATTCCAAATTATGTCCGACAGAAACACAGCCCAAACCGTGAGACTGCTGTTATACCATCTGGCAGGGCGATCTCACATTATTCTATGCAGGTGGCCGAAACAACCGATTCGAACGTTCCGGGCACACCTGCCGTCGAACCGCCAGCTCTAGGAACTCGTTTCTTGTATGAGGATGTCGTTCCTCACGCTAGTCGACATCGAAATCGATACCTTGTCCAGGAAGACCCTCCTCCAATTACTCAGTTACGAAATTCCTCTTCTCTCGCTCAAGATCTCGCGTCACAACCGTCTATCACCCAATCGTCTGCTTCGCGGAACCAGGTCACCTCACAGCCTTCCTCGCATCAGCCATCCCCAGTCACTCAAGCTCCTGACAATAATGACGACCCTGTCTTGACGCCTCTCTCCTTGTGGACCACTTTTCTCAGCTACGCGTCATTACCCTGTATCCTGGCTGCGGTGTTCCATGATGCGCGACCTTTGTTCCTCCCAAAACTCGCCCTGCTGTTGCTGGTTTTTATATCCATAATCTCTCTCCTATTTGCCATGTCGCGTGTCGGTCAACCAGTGTTTACTCTCACAAATTTCATTGCGATGCATGGCACCGCCTATTATGCCGTTTGGTGGCATGTTATCATGTATGTTCTTGCTCATTCTCAGTGCCTTGACTGTATACCGACTTCTTAAGGGCCTTTTATGTGGCATTATACTGCACGTTGTGGTAGAGGTGTGTTGCAGATGTCCATAATTAGAATCCATTAGTCCACTCGTGGTATTACGATTTTTTATGTTTCTTTCCCTCTCTTGCAGTCTCTAATACTCTAGAATACTCCGGATACTCGAAAATGTAGTTTAGAATAAAGCACCCAGTGTATGTCGTTCCAGTGTCATTACTTAAATTTGGGATGGCTATGCAGCGACGCTAAACCTTTGCCTCCCTGAGTTATGTTGAACACTTGCTCATACACAACATATTTGGATTATATGCGCAGTTGGAACCGTCTCGCTATGTCCAGGAGAGAGAATGGGAATCACTAGTGATACTTAGTCGCGGGTTGTGGCCACAAATCGGAACAGGTGGAAATGTACAGAAATGTTGCACGTGATCACGGAGGGACCCGACCATGCAAATTAGCCTGGTACCCGGGGCGGGGGTCCATAGAGGAACCCCCCAATCTCGCTGATTTTCCAACTCCGAAATAATGCCGGCGACAAGCCGGCACGTGCTCCGCGTGCCTCTAAACGCGACGCGTCGCCAAATCATCTTTACACCGCTATTCCACCTGTTTCAGGCGCTCCATGAGGTCATTATTACTCTAGTTACATAGCATAGTGAAACGGAAGCACTAATGGACAAATAATCAACAGCATCATCCTCTTTGAGCCATATAGAAAGTTTTCTTCAGTTAAATGACATCTGATACTATGCCACCCCTCCATAGTTAAATATTATATGGTATTCAATGTTCTAATCAATGCTTAATGCTGGGGTATGACGGTGCAAAGTTCTAAGTCCTGAAATTTAGTGATGTGTCATCATGGATTAGTGAGCCGAAAAACCGGATCACGTCTGAGTTTGAAATCCGTTGAGATTTGAGGGTTCCTCTATGGACCCCCGCCCCGGGTACCAGGCTTTATATACAGATACGAGTTCCGCGAGTATATAATAAAGACGGCTTGCCAGGCTACATGCAAATGCTCCCACAGTAGGGCTGCGCAAAAAACTCCGTTGAGGGTTTCTTGCAGGTAAGTTACAGGTGAACTCGATGGCTGAGTTTCTTACATGTTAATTACATGTAAATTTTGACATCGCGTGACCAGTAATGGCGTGTTTTTCAGCCATTCGGGTACATGTACCAAAAATCTCGTTGACTTCAAGTGGAGTTTTGGCCCGACACGACATCTTGACGTCCGGCGAGTGAGGTGGTGGAGATGGATACACGATAGAAGCAGAGGGAGCGGAGGAGTGCATCGGTGCTCGGCAGGCGCATGTTCGATCCCTTCAACCGTGGCCGAGGATGTCCCCTTTCCCCATCCTACAGGCCTTGTTGTGTGCGCCTTGTTTTTGGTAAGTGTTCCATTTTCTTTTCATCAGTAGAGAAGTACTGATGATGGTGTACTAGCTCACCTACCACATCGTCTGAAGTTACCGATGTCAATCCCTGGTATGCAGCCTTTACAAGGGGGTCCAGCGAATTTTGCCCTGACGTGACGTATCGATGTCCAGCGAGTGAGGAGGTGGCGATGGATACGAGGTGGAAGTGGAAGGGGCGGAAGTGTGCATGCGTACACGGGATGCGCATGTCTAGTCACTGCAGTCAACGATGGCCGAGGACGTCCTTCCTCGCCAGTCCCGCGCCATACCTTGGTAAGCATTCCATTTTGTTTTTACAAGTGCGCAATGCTAACAAGCTCTACTGACAGTCTACAGCATTTTCTCCAGCTAGCGCGGTGTCAAGGCCAGTTCCGGGGATTCAGCATCAGCAAGATCAGCGACTACCATCCACTATGGCTGACGTGCGGTGGAGGAGTGGAAGTGTGAATCGATGCGCGCCAATCACTTCAATATGAGCGAGAACGAGGATGTCCCTTTCTGTCCGTTCCCGTGTCGATTCGCCCTCTTTTTCCTACTGCCGAGCAATGGCCATCTCGTCTTCAACATTACCATGGGGATACGATGTCGGTTTGCAGGGAGGGGTTGCTGGGGGATGTCATTGGGGTGGGATTGTCGGAAGGGTGATTTTAATTTTTTTTTTTCGCGCTGTGTCGATGTGCTGATGAATTCGGCAGCCATTCTACAACGTCTTCATTGGGGTAGAGCGACGTGAATGTCCAAGTCGTGGTAACTTAACGGCTCAAGACATGACAGCATCAGACCAGTTCGATACCGGTACTCACCCCGTGCAGGTGTGACATCGACTCGCACATGATGTCGTCAAATTTGGAGCATGTCGACGACGGAACCGTTGACGTCTCCGAATGCGAAACTTGGGATTCTTCAAGGAGGTGGGGATTTCCTTGGGTAAGTCTTCAACAGGGATTCCGTGACTGGCAGTTGGACTTACTCCCTCTTCAGTTTACGCGCCTTACGAAACAAGTAGCAGATGATGGATTACTTTTGTTAACGTATGTTTTTTTCTTTCTTGAAGTATAATCTACTACTAACGCATAATCTTTTTCGATAGAATTTCATCCGTATCACCTGGTATCCCGAGTTCGATGCGACGTTATCCAGCCGGACGTCGAAAGCTGCATCAAGTACCTGCATCTACCGACCTCGAGCCGGTGTGATATCGACGTTGGAGGGGAGGCTTTTTCTTCGGATTAACTGGATTTCTCTGGGAGGTTCCTTTTTTCTTCTGGTAGCATTTCATGTAAAAGTAGTGTAGCCTTGATGAAACATTAAGCATCACGTGACAAAATGAGCACCCAGCAGAAATCGTTGAATTTTTTCGACGCGAATTTCCTTTGCAGGAAGGAGGATTGCCTTTCCAGGTGCCGTGAAAGGCTCTGTATTGCTACCGAAAACATGGACTACCCAGATAATATACCAAATTCCACTTGACACTCGGCACTCTGGAACAACTGGGAGCTGCTCAACCGATCGACCGGTACTTACGCCAAATTCCTACCATCCTCGATAGCCAGGTCCCAGGAGCAGCAACACTGGCCCTCCGGTGCACGATGGCCAAAGATGACCGATCCTTCAGGCCGTTCATCCCCAGGCGATATAAACAATCTGCTGATCTGGCAGCAGCCGCACCCACTCATATTTGCTCAGTATGAATATCGGGCATCACCCACGATGGAGACGCTTCGCAAGTGGGAGGATGCCGTTCGGGAAACGGCGAATTGGATGGCAGATTTTGCGTGGTACAACGAGTCTACAGGCGTCTATGACCTTGGACCACCCTTGTACGACGTGAGCGAAGATAGCGGTCCCAATGTGACTGTGAATCCCGCGTTCGAATTGGCGTATTGGCGGTTGGGATTGGGCTACGCCGAAGAATGGATGAAGAATCTCGGCGAGGAAGTACCAAGCAGTTGGACGGTGGTCAAAGACAATCTGGCCTCACTTCCTGTCAATAACGGCACCTACAAGGTGTACGAAACGATTGGGGATGATTTTTGGACGGATCCGGCGCATATATTCTTTCACCCGACATTAGTGGGGTTGTATGGATGGCTTCCGGAGACAGAGGGATTGAACCTCACGATTGCGAAAGCGACGGCCGAGAAGGTGCGAGAGTATTGGATTGTGACGTATATTTGGGGGTGCGCTTAGTTCATGTTCATTTTTGTTTGGTAGCTGAATGCACACCGCAAATAGAAGTATTTCGGGTGTACCGGGAAGTCACGAAACTTGACCGGAAACTCGTCCCGAAACTGACCTTGCCTGCCATTTCTCCAATTTCGGGACTAGTTTATGGTAGTGTTGCCGCGACTCGGCTCAAAGTGACTTAGCCGATAAGCCGAGTCCATTTAAGCCGAGTTTGAGCCCACCTTAACGGAGTCGGCTCAAGCTCGGCTCAAGTCGGCTTAGCCTGAGTGTTTCCAAATACGGGCATGCATCCTCGCGCACTTCGCTACTGTCCTTTCTCTGTTCATATTTTCGCGTCTTTCAGCGTAGTATTTAATTGAAATCATAATCTGATGCTTTTGAATGTATTTGGTGTCCTCCAAGGCTAATTGTTATTGCCGACTGTTTACCTGTCCTCAACTCTAAGCTAAAAATTTCAAACAGGCTTCGAAGTAGTTACCAAGTAGAAAACCTTAAATAGTGCAGCAAATATTGCCAGGTAAGTGCTTTTTTACACTTATTGACTAGTCTTGAGACTCTCTGATGCTCGGAGGCTTGTCTAACCAAGTCATGTTTCAATGATTCAGCTATACCAATATCTGAGTAATTTAGGTCCATTCAAGGCTTCTAAGACTTCCTTTGTTGCAGTTTCCAAGTCTTTGCTACAACTACAACAAAGTCATCTCAATTGGCTGCTCTGGCTCTTTCCCCAGTCCTCTCATGTGAAGATTCTGTAGAATTTATTAATATTGCTCAATTAGATTAATGCATCAAATATAGGGCAAACTTGACCCTCACAAAGGTTGTATTCACTCACCAACCAAGTTAGGTATTGATTTCAGAAAGAATGTTGGCCGTCATCGAGCAATAGCATCTTTCGCACTTCTGATTTCCTTATTTGGTTTGAGTCGGGACTCAAGCCGACTCACGGCAGCTTGAGCCGACTCGACTAATTAGAATTACCAAAGTCGGTATAAGCCTAGCCGAGTCGAGTCTAGCCGAGTCACGGCAACACTAAAGTTTATGGTCAAGTTTCTGGAGTCACGCGATAATTTCAGTATAGCTGAAAACTTTCTATTTACGGTGTGATGGTTTACAGGTGGGATTTCTCGATGCTTGCTATGTCGTCAGCACGTAATGGGGAAGCCGAAGACGCCGTCGACTGGCTGTTACATCCTCATTTGAATTTCGACGATGTTGGGATGCCATTGAGTAACGTACGTGTTGCTACGCCATATTTTCCGGGCGCAGGTGGGCTCTTGTATGCTGTTGTGATGATGGCGGGTGGTTGGGATGGTAGCGAAGGGGATGCGCCAGGATTTCCGAAAGACAGCTGGGTTGTTCGCTATGAAGGTTTGAGTAGAGCCTTGTAATCAACGAATATTTCGTACCTTTTACTGGAAAAAATCGTAGTCCACGATGATAACGACGTTCGTCAAGTTTCAAGTCATTATAACCGTTTTAACGACGAACCCCTCGCATCCGTATCAGCCTCAGCCTACGAACCCTTGGCTTGGATTGAGGGCCGAAGTCCAAACTAATACTAAAGAAACAGCAAGTTAAGGGCAACGTTGATCAAAAACTGCTACAGAGAATGGATGGACGATGAAATACAGTCATTTTGACAAAGTTCAAATCAAGGCGACGGGAGATGCGAAGTCGAGCATGACGGTAAATAGGCAACCAGGGATGAGCGGAGCTACTTCGCCGCCGGGCCGGCTTCACAAACTCTTTCTTCCGTACCACCATGTCACCATTAAGAAGTTTCATGGGTGCTGCTGTTGTTACCAATCTCTGCAGAAAAGCCTAGCTAGCACAATATCCTTGTCTTCCTTGCTTTGCAGCTGACCTAGGCACTTTCTTCAAGGCGATAGTGCTTCCCAAGGAGTCCTGGATCCTTGCCCAGCACTAGAGCTCTCTCATTTAGCAGACGAGGCAACCCTCGGTCTGATACCATGGCATATATACGTCTTTGGTAGCATAGAGGAGGTGACGTGTGAACTGGAGAAAGTCTTGGCATTCGGTGCGTACACACCTGTATAATCTACTGGTTTGTACTTGACGTGTTATTTCTTAGCAACGCGCGCACGGACACTGTTATGATTCATCTTGAGGGACCCGCCGGATATCGAGGATCTGAATCTCTAAGATGTCGGCGTGGAATTGGACCCCAAGGGCCGCATTGTCGATGATCAGTCCAACACCTCGATACCTAATTTCAAATGCATTGGCGATGTTGCCTTTTGACCTATGCTCTCCCACGAAACTGAGGAGGCGGGTGCCAGCTCTTCCGAGTTTAAGAAAACAAGACGCAGACACTGACGCCATCCTTTCGGTTCACTCACCCCGAGATGGCATGAGTTGGAGACGAAGAACTCAAAACTGCCGGTATGCAATATAGCAAGAAGAAGTTCAGCTTCGCCGTCCCTTGTACTCTAAGCACTTTGTTTATTGTTCTCGTGTGGCATATATAAAAACCCAGCCGTCCCCAATGTGCACTACTTTTCTCTTCTATCGGGTCTGGTGTTTTTCTCCGATTTTTCTATGATGCTCTCTTCCATTCTCTTTGCTTCCGACCTCTTCCTCTCCATACGTGGGGCGCCTACGGTCCTTCGACGCCTCCGCCCTCCTCGCAAACGGCCAAGCTGATCAGTCCCAGAACGTCGCCTTTCAGAACCCTCGCCGTTAATAGTACAGATTCCAGCACGTCTGTACCTATTCCCCGGCTTTCTTCCCACTTACTTTCTTCTTCTAGCCGGTAAAGTAGAGTGCTTATCTGGAGACGTGGCTCGATGCGCGAACACACCATGTACAACGTCGCCGTATTGGGGCTCGGCGCAGTCTTTTGATATCCTGTCTGTGCGTGACTTTTTCTTTCATTCATTGCCTGAGGCTGATTTTGACGTGTAGGTCATACAGCGTACTAACGAAAGGTGCATACAGTGACTGCGCCATACAGTGCTACCGGTAGCTTTCTTGGGGCTTTTGTAGGAAGATGGAGTGATGTGTCGAGGTGAACACTACCTGTGAAAGGCGGCATATCCCTAGGTATATCGCAATAGACCTTAAACGACAACAATAGAACATCATTACTACGGACCAGAGTAGAACATTAAAATAAGCTTCTGGCTCTAGTCGCAGGTAATGCATAATGAGTAGCAATGGCAAATTTCCGTGGGTTCAGATAAACATAGACCCGGATCATTTCGACTACAATCATACAGCAATCGCTCACAGGTATAATTAGCACCTGCTCGGGTTTCGAAATCATCATCTAGCATAGTATAAATCTATCGAGGCACGTTTGACATTATTAGCCCAGCCAGGAAATTGAGTTGATTTAGAAGGAGGGACTCGTACTTGGAGGGAGAACTCACCATAGCCCTAGCCATCACCGCTACCCTATCTCCAGGCTTAAGTAGCCTCACGAACTCGTGTGAGAGGCCAACCAGACCTTTCATCGATTGTTGTTTGATGTCTTCATACATGCGTGGCCAGACAAACGTATGTTCCTTGTAAGAGCCTGTGGCAGTAACGTTGACTCCGATGTGCCATCTGCTGCCTTCCTCCTCGTGGGATCGTACTTCAGCCGCTCGTGCTGCACTGCGCGAGTCCTCTGCCAAACCCTTCTTGTACAGATCTACAGGCCCCTCCAGGACTTCGCTGAGCCACCATGGTTCTCCGCGTATTATTGCGGCCTCGAACCAGGTCCACGATCCCTCGTAGGTCCCTGGTAGCATGTAAGTATGCAAGAGAAAGTGTCGTGAAAAACATTAAGTGTACCTCGGTGCCTTGGCTCGCCTCCCCAACCCTGGTCACGACTCTCTATTACAAATTTTACTGCCCGCACTTTGATGCCTTGGGGAACAGGAGGGGAGACGATATAGCACCAGCCGGCGTCCGGATATGTCTCTCCAACCCGGTAATCGGCAGCAGCGCGCGCTTCAATGATTCTCCTTTCGTGGATACATGGCCAGTATTGAGCAAATTCGAGTGTATCGTCGATGATCTCGACGGGGAGGCCGCAATTCTTCAGTATATACTTGACAGAGAGGACATCGTCGTCAGACGGGACATGATCTGCGTGTTCATTTGCGTTATTCGATATCTTAGTTGGAGGTCCTCCATGTACAGTTGAGGATTGCGCGAATGCCATACCGATCTGCTTCAAAGGTAAATTGAGGCACAAATCCAATGCCTGAGAGTCAGTGTCCACGCTGACGGAGCCTTGCTAAGTTAGGAACGGTAGCAAGTCTGCGCGATACGATTTCAGTCAGTATTTTATATCATTGCAAGGAACACTTACAAGGGACGGAAGAGGTGGTGGTCGATGGTAAAGCTGCGAGCATGGGCCTCCATCGGTCACTCGGCCCGAAACCGTGATCTGCCAAACATTCCTTTTTAGGAATTCACCTTCTACCACATCCTAAGATCGTCGCGACACGCTTGGCATCGCTTGTAGACAACCAAAGCGCCATATTTATATACGACTTAATGCTCGCGGTATTTTCCCCTCTTACGATCTGTGAGCTCATCCATACATGGCTGAATTTTTGCTAGAAAATCTCCTAATAAATTCTCATGTTGCAGCTCGCAGATGCTGCATTTATTGTCTTTGCCTCCAACTTCTGTTTGGAAGTACGCGTTACGCTTCCAAAATTCCAGAACAATGTGGCAGATGAGCACAATGGGGTTAGTCGTCCAGGCCGAATCCGAATCCGAGAGCGATGGACAAGTCACAAGTCGCAAGGAATTTGGAGTGTCAAACTGGCCAAACATTCACGAAAATTGAGTAGCTACTGATTGCCGATTGCGTGTCAATTCCTTTGTGTGACCGTACGCCTCCTTTCGCAGCCAATCATGGCTGTCAGTTCTCACCACTCGCTGTCAATTCGACGGCAAGGAAGTCGTCGAACCATTCTCCTAGGAAGGATTGATTTCTGATCGTGGTAGAGCGTGTTCGATAGCGGAAAGTTCGACTAAGATTCTCCTGTTATAATATTGTAAGCATTTTTTCGGTATATCATCTGGAACGTAACTTCACCGTGAAGGGCTATATATACACTAGCTGCTCCGAGCTGTTCGAGCCCACTGCCCCAAGATGCTCACCCAAGTATTGTTGCTCTTTTTCGCCTTTTCCAATAGCTGGAGCGGAATTTCTGTAGCACTCGCACAGTCGGTTATGGGAACAACCTCTTCAGTAGTATCCACTACTACCAGTACAACAAGCCCCACAAGTGTCACAAACACGGATAGCTTTCCTCCCGTCGGGCCTATTCCTCGTGATTACACACCAGAAAGACTGGAACAACTCTGGGATATCGTTCGTCGTCTTCCTAACCCGCTCAGAAATTGATATTCCTGACTGATCTGCAGGTCGGGCCTGTCGAGCCTCCTCCATTCACCACCACCCGTATTCCCACCGCAGCAGTGACCCTACCGCCATCTCCCCCGCCTATTTATCCATCGTTCTATGCTCATGCCCCGAAAGATATCTTGCCAGACTTGAAATTCCCCAAAGGTTTTAAATTCGGAGTCGCTACATCCGCGTACCAAGTTGAGGGCGCTACGAAGAATGAGGGCAAGGGACCTACGATGTGGGACTGGGCTACGAGACAGCCCAATGCTGTAATTGACAACACGACTAGTGAGTATGCGTGATACCATAACGGTGTGGATCATGGGACTGAGATTATTATAGGTGATGTCGTCGATCTTCAATATTTCCTGTACAAAGAAGATGTCCAACGCATTGCCACTCTTGGAGTCACTGCGCATTCTTCGTCGTATGTGTCGAAACCCATTCGACTCGGCTTTTCTGAATAACACTCTGTAGTATTGCGTGGACGAGGATCTACCCGTTTGGCGCAGCGGATTCTCCTATTAATACTGCGGGAATTGATCACTATTCCGATGGTACGATTCCATCCCGACAGGATCATACGCGATGCTGATTGTTTCTGCTGTAGTTATTGATTACCACTTGGCTCACGATGTGGAGCCTGTCGTAACTTTGTGTAAGGCTTTCTTTGTTGCATGAAATATTCCACGTTTACCACCTGAGAAATAGTCCATTGGGATACACCGCTCGCCCTTCAGGCGTACTACGGGGGTCTCACATCTCCGGAAATAGTCAACGACTTTGTAAAGTGAGTGCTAGGAGGACGCGAGAGTTCGTTTGCTTACACGGCTTCCAGCTATGCCAAGACGATATTCAAGGCATATAACGGCCGTGTTAAAACTTGGTTAGTATCCGTAGCTTCTCGTTGCCAGAATAAGCTCAACCACTACAGGTTGACTTTCAATGAACCGAGTTTTTATTGTAGCAAGTTTGCATCTTATCCTTTCAGTAAGCATTCTGTAAATCAAAACCTTTCTCCGAAAACTTACCATCGAGATTAGATGTCTCGCTTGCCCCTAGTGTTAACTCGTCTACCGCTTTTTATCAATGTGCATACAATCTATGTACGTTTTGCATGCTTCTTCTTCCTACCCTTGATCATAATACTTTAACATAGTAGGGGCCCATGCAGGAGCCGTCAAGCTCTGTCGATGTACTACGGCAATCTACCACTCACTCATCCATTTCCTTGCCAGCATTTCGTGGAATGAACATAACAGGAGAAATTTCTTTCAAAAACGATGATTTCATGTAAGTATGTCCATATCTTCCGCAAGAATCTACTGAGAATCCCGCAGAGGCACGCCGTGGAGAAGCAATATTACTGAGGATGCACTTGCGGTTGAACGTCATGCGGCAGTCGGAATAGGCCTTTTCTCAAATCCTGTGCACACAACAGGTGATTGGCCTGATGTTGTCAAGGACACCCTCCTGGCCGAGTATCTGCCCCGCTTCACCGACGAGGAAAAGATGGACCTTCTTGGCTCTGCAGATTTCTTTGCCATTGATGCCTATCGTTCGTCATGGGTAAAGGCACCGGATGAAGGAGTCGACGCATGTATGACAAATACTTCCCATCCCTTGTGGCCTGGCTGTAACGAACCCGTATTCTTTGACTCGGGTTACGGCTGGTCCGCAGGTCCCGCTGCTGGCCAACAGGCTTCCTCCGTCCAAGCAACGCCCGTGGCTATCCGTACTTTGCTCAAGGGCATCCATTCTCGATGGCCGAGTAATAAAATGGTGTGTGTTAGAATTTTCAATGGCTGGTTCTAACCGCTGGCGAGCAGTATGTTTCGCGTTCGGTGCTGTAGAACCTTTCGACCTCCCGGGTACAGATATATCGATAGTAAAGGACGATGTGCTCCGAACAAGTGCGCATTGAGACCTCATTTCAAGCTAATTGAAGATTCACCTGTTATTTCCAGACTATTACCTCACGTACCTTGGTGAGATGTTGTTATCCATCCACGAAGACGGTGTTCCGATAGAGGGCGCTTTCGCTTGGGGTCAGTTCTAGCAACACGGAATGCGAATCGCCACTGACATTCGTTGCAGGAATGATTGACGATATAGAATGGTTATATGGGACAGTTGTCAGGTATGTGCTCACTGTTCTGTGTTTAAGTATTTTCTGGTCCTAGCATGGGTATAGGACTGGTATCCAGCACGTCGATTACACAACATTGGAGCGCCTGTACAAGCGTTCAGCACTTGCCTTGGGTGAGTTGTTTGCCGCCTTCTAATGACCTTCAAGATTTAACAGTTACAATAGCAGAGTTCTTCGAATCGCACCTTCATGACTGAGGTGATTGTTATAGTACAGTACTCGGTTTTCGTAGAGTTGCAAATTTAGGAATGGCAGCACCCTTTTTCTATTGCAGTCTGGCGCGACCACCAATGAAAACTAGTCATTTATGAAGCGCCCTCTGTGAGCTTGGTACCCTCCCGGTACAGATCTACAGATATATCCAGGACTTCACTTAGTACTAACGGTCCGAGTCGTTGAAGTCGAGCCTTGCATCGGATATTCGGCCCGAAATCGGGATCTCAGCCGACGCGTGATATTTGCCAAACATTCCTTTTCAGGAGTTCACCTCCTACCACATTCTCAACATCGTCGCGACGCGCTCGCAGGCAACCAAGACGTGATGTTCTGTTTGGAAATACGCACTAGCTGGGTAAAATTCCAGAATAGGCGAGCACACTGATTAGCAGTCCGGAACGAATCCGAATCCGAATCCGAATCCGAGTCCGAGAGCGATGAGCATGCCACAAGGAATTTGGAGTATCAAGCTGGCCGAGCATCCCCGCCAATTGAGTGGGCACTGATTCGGGTATGTCATCTGACTGAACGGTGACTTGGAGGTGGTTTTGTTGAACACGGACGGCGGCAGGGTTACTCTGATACAGACACTCAATACGAACGTGCAGTGCCTCTGATGTGCTGCAGCGATTCCTGTGTAATTGTCCAGGCCTGTGTTAACGAATTCCTCCCATGAACACGTCGATGTTACAGACTTCTCCGCCCTAGCATCGGGCCTTGGCATCTGCTCCAGATTCATTTTTCCGAAATGCCCATAGATCCCAGGAAAACAAAAGGAAAATCAAACATATGACTCCACCATGTACGCGCCGAGGCTATATATACACTAGCTGCTCGCTGTTGGATTCCATTGCCCCCAAGATGCTCATCCAAGTGCTATTGCTCGCTTTCGCCTTTCCCAATACGCGGAACGGAATTTCTATCGCGCTCGCACAGTCTACTACTGTAGCAAGCTCTTCGGTAGCATCCACTACTACCATTATATCAAGCCCTACGACTGTCGTGAACGCGGCTAGCTTTCCTTCAGTCGGATCGATTCCTCGCGATTACACACCGGAAGGACTGGAACAGCTATGGGATATCGTTCGTAGTCTTGCTAATAGTCTCAGAACGCGACATTTCTAACTTACCACTAATCTGCAGATCGGACCTGTCGAGCCACCTCCATTCACCACTACCCGTGTTCCCACCGCAGCGGTGACCTTACCACCCTCTCTCCCCGCCTATGTATCCTTCCTTCTATGCTCCTGCGCCCAAGGATATCTTGCCAGACTTGAAATTCCCTAAAGGCTTCAGATACGGAGTCGCCACGTCCGCGTACCAAATTGAGGGGGCCGTGAAGAACGAGGGCAAGGGTCCGACAATGTGGGACTGGGCTACCAGACAGCCAAGCGGTACAACTGATAACACGACTGGTGAGTACGCGTGGTAGGGCGAAAATTTAATCATGAGACTAAGATTATTGTAGGTGATGTCGTCGGTCTTCATTATTACTTGTACAAAGAAGACGTCGAGCGCATTGCCGCTCTTGGTGTGACTGCGCATTCCTTCTCGTACGTGTTAGAGAGCATATTCGACCCGACTTTCTGAATAACACTTGGTAGGATTTCATGGGCGAGGATCTACCCGTTTGGCGCTGCTGATTCTCCTCTCAATACACTTGGCATTGATCACTATTCTGACGGTACATTTTCACCCTGACAACATCGTCAGTGATGCTGATAGTTTTCGCCACAGTTATTGATTACCACCACCTGGCCCATAACGTGGAGCCTGTTGTATCGTTGTGTAAGGATCTCTTGGCTGCGTTCAGTCCGCCTCGTTCATCAACAGACTCATAGTTCACTGGGATACACCCGTCGCCCTTCAGGCTTACTATGGGGGTTTTACCTCACCACAAATTGTTGACGATTTCATAAAGTAAGTGCTAGACAATGTGATTGTTTGTGTGCTTATGCAGTTTTCAGCTTACGCCAAGACATTATTCAAGGCATACGGCGACCGTGTTAAAACTTGGTAGGTGTCCGTATTTTCTTGTTTCTTACAGAATAAGCTCAAAGTACTTCAGGTTCACGTTCAATGAACCGGGCAATTTCTGTAGCCAGATTTCATCCTATCCTTTCAGTGAATATTCTACCTATCAAACCCTATTTCGGCAAACTTACCTTGAGAGTAGATGTTACCCTCGCTCCTGGTGTCAATTCGTCCACCGCCCCTTATCAATGTGCATATAATTTATGTGCGTTCTGCGTTCTGCGTGCTTCTTACTCCTGCACCCGATCCTGATATTTTATTACTATAGTAAAGGCCCATGCAGGCGCCGTCAAGGGTACGTCGACATATCACGATGAAGTACCTCTTGTTCATATCGCTTGTACTTAGCGTTCCGCGAAATGAACATGACAGGGGAGATTGGCTTCAAAAATTCCAATTACATGTAACTATATCCCTTTCTCCTGCTAGTATTTACACGAATTGACCATCATCCAGAGGCACGCCATGGAGAAGCAACTCTACTGAAGACGCGCTTGCAGTTGAACGTCATGCAGCGTTCGAAATGGGTCTTTTCTCTAACCCTGTATACACGACAGGTGATTGGCCCGACACTTGTCAAAGATACCCTCTCCGAGGAATATCTTCCACGCTTTACCGATGAGGAAAAGAGCGACCTTCTTGGCTCCGCGGATTTCTTTTCCATTACTTCCTACCGCTCTCTATGGATAAAGGCACCAGACGAAGGACTTGACGCATGCGTGACCAATCATTCCCATCCTTTGTGGCCCGCCTGTAACGAACCTGCATACTTTGACTCGGATTACGGCTGGCCGGCAGGGGCCTGCTGCTGACCCAGTAGCCACCTCCGTACAAGTAACACCGTTGGCGATTCCGTCCGTTATTGAAGGACCTCTATACTCGATGGCCAAGTACTAAATTGGTGAGCATGACATTTTTATAATGAATCATTCCTGATTGCTGGCGGGCAGTATATTTCCGAGTTCGGCACCCTAGAACCATTCGCCTACGCGAATGCGGATATTTCACAAGTCAAGGAGGACGTGCCCCGAACGAGTGCGCACTGTGACACCTTGCGTCTGGCTAACTGAAGACTCAATCATTATTTCTAGACTGTCTCCTCACGTACCTTGGTGAGATGTTACTATCCATCCATGAAGACGGTGTTCCGATAGAGGGTGCTTTCGCTTGGAGTCAGTTCTAGCATGTCACGTAAATTTCACCGCTGACTCCTTCGTAGCAATGATTGACGATACGGAATGGGTAGGCGGGACAATGGTCAGGTGTGTGCTTATTGTTCCATGTTTAAAGTATTCCTGATCTTAGCACGAGTTTAGATACGGTATTCAGCACGTCGATTACACGACACTTGAGCGGACCTACAAACGTTCGGCGCTGTCCTTGGGTGAGTTTTACGATGTCTTCCAATGAGCACCAGAATTTATGAATACAAATAGTCGAATTCTTTGGGTCACACCTTCAAGACTGAGGTGAAAGTTGGGCTCGGAGTTGGTAGAGGTGCGCAGGGTAGGTTGAAATGCTTGAAACTAACTGGTCCTTCATTTTACCTCCGTACATACATCTATTTTTCAAAACATATATGTCGTCCACTTGAACCCACTTAACGTCGAGGGTGGTGAATATAACCTTCGTACAAAGGAGAGAAAAAGGCTGTCGCCACAGGAATGTCAGCAGCCATCAAAACATGGACTGGTGACTGTCTGTCTCATGGTGTTGGGGTCCTTAGAATGTCGACACCCCCTGTAGTGATTGCTGTTGAAGATCAACCGACGAGGAGAAGGATCGCGAGGATGATGTAAACAAAGGATATACATATAATTATGTAGCTAAATTCAAGTGGCTTTATCAAATACTGGTTTTTGTTGATAGTCCTGTTATATTGCAATAGAAGAAGCGTGCTGCTATTCTTGAAGTTACAACTCGACAAAGACCCAACTAGTCGTACCGTGCTATAGCAATCAGTACCTGAAGGTGCGACCCAAAGAATTCCGCTATTCACGCTGGTAAACCATAGTCCTCATTCAAAGGCATCAGTGAAACTCACCCAAGGATAGCGCCGAACGCTTGTATGTCCGCTCCAGAGTCGCATAATCGACGTGCTGAATACCATATCTACGTCCTATCAGAAAATCTGCAAGCCCGGAACAATGAGCACAGACCTCATAGATGTTCCAACTGTCCATTCCGCATTGTCAAGCATGGCTGCGAATAGTTAGTGGCGAAATTTTGCGTTCCATTTGCTAGAACTGACCCCAAGTGAATGCGCCCTGTATCGGGACATCATCTTCGTGTATGGACAGCAACATTTCGCCGAGGTACGTGAGGAGGAAATCTGGAAATAACGGTGAATCTTTAGTCAGCCTGGAATGAGCCTACTAATACGCACTCGTTCGGCCCGCGTCCTCCTTTATTTGCGAGATATCTGCATTCGCATAGGCGAAAGGTTCCATGGAGCCGAACTCGGAAACGTACTGCCACCAGTAATCAGAAACAACAATTATAAATTATCACTAGCACTCACCAATTTATTGCTCGGCCATCGAGAGTGGAGTCCCTCAGTAAAGCACGAATGGCGACTGGTGTTGCTTGTAGGGGAAGGGCCACTGGGTCAGCAACGGGACCTGCAGCCCAGCCGTAGTCCGAGTCGAAGTATGCAGGTTCATTGCAGACAGGCCACAAGGGATGGGAAGTAGTTTGCCACACACGCGTCGATTCCTCCTTCTGGAGCCTTCATCCATAGCGAGAAGTAAGGGTCAATGGCAAAGAAATCTGCGGAGCCGAGGATATCGCTCTTTTCCTCATCGGTGAAGCGGGGGAGATACTCGACAGGGGAGAGTGTCCTTGACAATGTCGGGCCAATCACCTGTTGTGTATACGGGGGTTGAGAAAAGACCTATTTCAAATGCTGCATGGCGTTCGACCGCAAGTGCATCCTCAGTGATATTGCTTCTCCATGGCGTGCCTCTGCAGGATGCTCAATGAATGCTAGCAGGAGAAGGGGACAGAGTTACATGTAATCGCTGTTCTTGAAGGCTATCTCTCCCGTTATGTTCATTTCGCGGAATGCTGAGGACGAGAGATATGCGTGAGAAGTACTCCATCGTGGTCTATCGACGTACCCTTGACGGCTCCTGCATGAGCCTTGACTGTAATACAGCATCAGGATGGAGGTAGGAGGGAGCATACAGAACATACGTAGATTGCATGCGCATTGATAAGGAGCAGTGGATGAATTTACACCAGGGGCAAGCGTGGAAATCTGGTCTCAATTGTAAAGTTGCGTTGAATTTTGATATACAGAATATTCACTGAAAGGATAGGATGCGACTTGACCACAATAAGTCCTCGGTTCATTGAAAGTATACCTGAAGTACTTGAGCTTCTTCCGGCGAAAAGAAAATACGGACACAAACCAAGTTTTAACACGACCGTTGTATGCCTTGAATACCGTCTTGGCATAGCTGAAAGTGGCGTAAGTACACAATATACCACGTTTTCTAACACTCACTTTACAAAGTCGTCGACTATTTTAGGCGACGTGAAACCTCCGTAGTAAGCTTGAAGGGCGAGAGGTACATCGAAATGGACTATTTCTCTTATGGTGAACATGGTATATTGAATACAGAAAAAAATCTTACAGAGTGTTACAACAGGCTCCACGCCACGAACCAAATGGTAATCGATAACTACAGCAAAGACGATCAGCCGCGCCCGTGATACTGTTGAGATGAGATCATACCATCAGAGTAGTGATCAATGCCAGCCGTGTTAACGGGAGAATCAGCAGCGCCAAACGGGTAAATCCTCGCCCATGAGATGCTACAAAACATCGTTCAAAGAAGACACGTCGACAGAATTCTAACACATACGAGAAAGAATGTGCAGTGACTCCAAGAGCGACAACACGTTCGACGTCTTCTTTGTACAGGAAGTAGTGAAGGTCAACAACGTCACCTGCAATTATCTTAGTTTCATGATTAACATCATTCTGATACCACGTATGCTTACCAGTTGTGTTGTCGAGTATAGCGTTTGGTTGTCTGTTAGCCCAATCCCACATTATTGGCCCCTTTCCCTCATTCTTCGTGGCCCCCTCGACTTGGTACGCAGCCGTGGCGATTCCGTATTTGAAGCCCCTGGGGAATTTTAGGCCTGGCAAGATATCCTTCGGCGCTGGAGCATAGAATGATGGATACAAAGGCGGGGGAGATGGTGGTAAGGTCACTGCTGCCGCGGGAACACGGGTAGTGGTGAACGGAGGTGGTTCGACAGCTCCGACCTGTAGATCAGTGTTAGGAATGTGGATTTTTACGGAGGTTAGCAAGACTACGAACGATGTCCCATAGCTGTTCCAGCCCTTCCGGCGTGTAATCGTGAGGAATAGATCCGACTGGAGGAAAGCTAGCCGTAGTCGCGATACTTGACGGACTTGATTCACTGGTAACGGTGGATACTTGTACCGAAGACGTTGTTCCCGTAGCAGACTGTGCGACTGCTGTAGAAGTCCCGCTATGCCTATTGGTAAACACAAAAAATAGCAACAGTATTTGGATGAGCATCTTGGGTTCAGAAAGACCGAACAGCCGTAGCCACTGCATATATAGCCCTTCGTGCACATACGTACGCAGAGTCATATGTCTTCTTCTCCTTTTGTTTTGTTCGGCTACTGGGCATTTCGGATAAATGAATCGGGAATAGATGGAGTCCGATACAAGGATGCAGAAGCCTGACTCTCGTTCATGGGAGAAATTCGTTAACACAGTTCGAGACAATTACACAGGAACCGCTGCAGAACATCAGAGGGTCAACATATTATGCTGAGAATCATCATACTAACCTTCTGCCGTCGAAGCTCACCAAAAGCCATCCCCGTTCAATCTGCATTGCACATAGATTCGGACTCGGACTCGGACTCGTTCCCGGACTATCCGGAACGGTTGTGTTCGCCTGACAAGCTGTTCTGGAATCTTGTGTAATGTGGCATCTATTGACGAATGAAAGATGCAGGAAAAAGCATTAGATGCGTCATCGGAAATGTGTATCAAGACGTGAGAAGCTACTCGAAGCTTCCCTAGCAAAAATTCAGCCACGTGAGAGTACCATGAGTTTTGGCCACACGAGAGGAGAAATTACATCCATAAACATCGCGTTTTGGTTGCATGTGAGCAATGGGTGCAGTGAGGACGTGGTAGTAGGAGGTGAGTTCCTGAAATGGAATATTTGGCTGCGGCGTTGTTTGGCATGCTGCACGCCGGTTCTCGTCTTACTGCCATGGGCCCATGTTCGAATTTGCGTCTCCTCTTTTCAGTCTTCTTCTCTGCTCCGCTTCACCTTGATCTAGGCAGTATTACAACTGGATTTTCCCTCTTTTGATGCCAGAAACGCGACAGCTGGCAGGAGGTTTTGACGCTATCATACCAAATTTCCTTTCGTGCTATTCCCGGGGCCTTAAACTTCAACGTCACCATACTTCCTTGGGTCTCAGAATAATCACTTGAGTCGGGGCCGCTTGTTGTACGCGGTACGATTGATATGGTGCACATACGTCGTCTTGATGTTAGGTATTTATAAAGGAAGCTGATGTCGTTCGCAGATTCTTGTTGATTCTCCCCATCGCCAGTTCACGACCGAATTCCATTATTTTTGAGACCAGAGGGGTCTTCTTAGAGTCTTCGTAGGATCTTTCTGCTTGATTTGCTCCTGCTGTTTCGCTTAATTCATAATTCTAGCGTTTGTTTTACTGTCAAGCTATTGCTTAGCTCAAGCTCGATTTTCTCAAGGTTTACGTTGAAGCTCTGCGGCGAGCGATGTCTCTTTCTCTTCTGGAGGGCTCATTAGACGGAGGATAGGCAGCTGGCGATGCCGTGCGTGTCTGCGTTGACCTTTTGACTTTAGCTCACTGATCCATTAACAGCCTCTTTTCCCTTCCCTCCTTCTTCGTCTTCCTCGAATAACTCAGTCGTCTCTTGCTATCTCCGCTACTCGTCTTATCTCTACTTCTAGCGACCCCGGACTCGCCTAGTTATCATGATGCTGAGGCCCGGTTTGTGTCACAATAACATGTTACATTCTAACGAACGACGCTGGCGAGCATGACGTAGCTTCTTGGAGTAGGGCGCATACATCGCCAATATGGGTCTCGATAATGGATGATTTTGAGTTCTGCAGCTCCGTCGGTGAACGTACTAAGAAGATGTCTCGATCTAAACGTACTGCGCTTGGAGGGCATGCCCGGATTTGAATGTACAAATAAACAGCCAACTTATTACGGTCTTAGGAGCGAAAATGTAAAGCAAGTCAGCCCAGCTTCACAACGTTGAGGAGCTAAAATTTTTGCTCAGTCACACGAAAGAATTTCAGAGTCGAAAATGGATTGGAAAGCAACGCTACGCATAAGAACAGTGCACTCGTTTACATCTCCTCCACCATCAAAGCGCCGGTGATAGCTACATGATCAAAGAGCTTTCAGTAGCAGCACCCGACAATGAAACGAAGATTACCTGGTGGGTGTACGACCAGCATCCCCAGCTAATTCCTATACAACGCAAAGTTCACTCACTGTGCGCGTGGAAAATTAGCCAATTTCACCAGATGGATACGGGGTCTACTCACAGGAGCGACAAGGTGATGTCGCCGTTGACCTTTGCCTGGATGGCGATCTCAACCTCAAGGTTGAGGTCAAGACGAAGCTTCAGAGCAGCAGGGGGTGCAGCCTGGCGTTCAGAGCGACCGACGATTTGCCCGCCGAGAACGGAGGAGGATTGGGTAGGTGCGAACTTGGTAGCGGTTTCTGGGGCAGACATTTTTGTTTGGAGATTTTCTGGCCAGTCAAGGCTACTTTTATACGCGACCGGCGATTTTGGGGGAGGTATTTTTTGAGAGTCCAGAGCCCTCGTAGAATATGAGGCGTGTTACAGTGTCAAATTAGAAGCTCTGCGCTGCAACACCTGTATTCAAACTGTCGTAAGCTTGCAACCATGGACTCTTACCGATCTAGTGCATCCATGATGGTTATCACTCGTCGCAGGGATATCCTTCTTCTCCAATACCTGGCTCGGATGCAGAGAGGTAAAAGAAGAGCGATAAAGCGAAAAGTCGTGGTGGCGGCGGCGGCTGGCGAAACTCGGACTAATTATTGCAACAGGACGACGAGCTTCGAACGGCTGGCCAACTCATGAAACTGTCATCCCATCGAAGACTTTTTTCCCATCATGGCTGATTCTGAAAGCAACGACTGTAGCGTTGTTGATGTTAAAGATAACGAGATTCAGCGCGTCGAGACCGCTGGTCGCGATGGTAATTTTCTTTGGGGAACAGAGGCGTGCTTCGGAGGTCGCCTAGTGGAATTAATAGCGCGGCGATGACGGTGAAATAAAAATGGATGAAGTTCCCACGATGCAAACCTTGGAGCAGAATTTTGCACCCACACGAGGGTGTACGATCACTACAACGGGCGCGCGCGCGGCATTTTTACCGACCCTGAACGCCACCGCATCTGCCCCCTGATACAGTTCCGACCGGCCAACCTGTGGTGTTTTCAGCGCCGACTGCCATACTTGGGCCGGGACTGACAGCCAGCCTCGGCTCAAGGGTTCTAATATCATTTGCATCCCCTTTTTTGTCTTCAGCAACCTTGTATGTCTTCACGACGTAATGTCTTTTCAGCGCTGACCGGGATCGTAACACGGTGAGTTTTTTTTTGTCTTCAGCGTGCTCCCAGCTGAATGTCTTTTTCACCCCGTTTTTTTGTCTTCAGCGTTGTATGTCTTCACGACGTAATCTCTTTTGATCAACTGTACATCGACGTTGGGTACGACATTTGTTAGGAACATCGAATTCAGGGGGATATGTTGAAGCAAGTTTTGTCCTAAAGACATGTGCATTTTTCCACCAAAGACATCCAATAAAATTACCAAAAATGTTGCACCTATTGTGGTCTTTTCCTGTGTCTTTTGTCCCCGGCAATTGAGAATGTCTTGAGTGTCCGATCTGGAACAATGTGTTTTCGGGAACTTATGATATGACCTCAAAAAGAATGCCCCCGGACAGAATCGAACCAACAACCTTAACATGCACCTGTATGACTTAACCACCTAAGCCATCCCACCATTGTGGTGTGGTGCCTACGTCGCCCTTTCATCCCTTTCTCAGCCAAAATGTCCGCAGACGTGGCAACATTTATTTGTCTTCTGCAATGTCTTCACGGGTGCATCTTCCCGACCGTCGGCTAATTATTGTCTTGAGATCCAGACACCTGGGAATGTCTTCACCCACGCAGCCCAATTTCCTAAGAATGTCTTGACAGCTAATGTCTTCACTCATCCCGGCTCTATCGTTCTCCGGCACTAGATATTGGCCGTACCGGCCCTTCCAAATGTGTCGTAACTATATTTCATTTCCTAACTCCTTATAGTATTATTATTTGTCATAGGCGCGCCCGTCTCAGTCCCTGTATGTTCTCCCCACAAGCACCCCATACGTATGACTACTTTTTCCAGCCGTGCCATCAGCAGAATGCGGATCCACGCCGTGCATCCTACTCAACTAATCGGTGCTCAGAAGAGCTCCGAGTCGCAGGCAGGAATTCTGCAGCGTGTTCCTTATGAAACAAAAAACTGTTACGTAGTCATTGAGTTTCCTTGCCGCTTCGAAACAAAAAAGTTAAGTTGCTTAGACGAGGCGGCCGACTTATTGAGCTGCATCATGGCGCGAGAATATCATCATTTATACCCCAGGTCGGTCGATTCTCAGATAGAAGCTTAGGACCAAAACTTTCATTCCGTGACGTGTCTGCACCAGAAACTGCCTACAGTCTTTCTGGAAGGCATTATCGAAGACTGTCTTTTGTTGGTGGTCCTGTTAGACGGCAAAAAAAAAAAAAGAAACATGCTGTTATACTTGAATTTGCAATTCTACGAAAACCAACTAGCGGTACCGTACCATCACCATCAGTCTTGAAGATGTGAGCCAAAGAATTCCGCTATTCGGACTGGTAAACCTTGGTGTTCATCCAAAGGCATTGTAAAGCTCACCCAAAGATAGCGCTGAACGCTTGTAGGTTCGCTCCAGTGTCGCGTAATCGACGTGCTGAATACCATATCTACGCCTATCAGAAAATCTCTAATCCTAGAACAATAAACACATACCTTATGGATGTTCCAACCATCCATTCTGCATTATCAAGCATTGCTATAACAAGTCAGCAGCGAAACTTTCTCTGCTATTTGCTGGAACTGACACCAAGTGAAAGCACCCTGTATCGGGACGTTGTCTTTGTGTATGGATAACAACATTTCACCGAGGTACGTGAGGAGAAAGTCTGGAAATAACAGATGAATCTTCAGTCAGCCTGAAATGAGCCCATGCGCACTCGTTCGGCCCACGTCCTCCTTTATTTGCGAGATATCTGCATTCGCATAGGCGAAAGGTTCTATGGAGCCGAACTCGGAGACATACTGCCCACCAGCAGTCAGAAACAGCAATTATAAATCATCACTAGCGCCCACCAATTTATTACTCGGCCATCGAGAGTGGACTTCCTTCAGCAAAGCACGAATGGCAACCGGTGTTGCTTGGAGAAGGGCCACTGGGTCAGCAACGGGACCTGCAGCCCAGCCGTAATCCGAGTCAAAGTATGCAGGTTCATTACATACGGGCCACAAGGGATGGGAAGTGTTTGCCACACACGCGTCGATTCCTCCTTCTGGAGCCTTTATCCATAGCGAGAAGTAAGGGTCAATGGCAAAGAAATCTGCGGAGCCGAGGATATCGCTCTTTTCCTCATCGGTGAAGCGGGGGAGATACTCCGCGGGGAGAGTGTCCTTGACAATGTCGGGCCAATCACCTGTTGTGTATACGGGGGTTGAGAAAAGACCTATTTCGAATGCTGCATGGCGTTCGACGGCAAGAGCGTCCTCAGTGGTATTGCTTCTCCAGGGCGTCCCTCTGTAGAATAATTAGTAAATGTTAACAGGAGAAAGGGATATAGTTACATGTAATCGTTGTTCTTGAAAGCGATCTCTCCTGTTATGTTCATTTCGCGGAATGCTGAGGACGAGAGATATGCGTGAGAAGTACTTCATCGTGGTCTGTTGACGTACCCTTGACAGCTCCTGCATGAGCCTTGACTGTAATACAGCATCAGGATGGAGGTAGGAGGGAGCATACAAAACATACGTAGATTGTATACGCATTGATAAGGAGCAGTGGATGAATTTACACCAGGGGCAAGCGTGAAATCTGGTCTCAATTGTAAAGTTGCGTTGAATTTTGATATACAGAATATTCACTGAAAGGATAGGATGCGACTTGACCACAATAAGTCCTCGGTTCATTGAAAGTATACCTGAAGTACTTGAGCTTCTTCCGGCGAAAAGAAAATACGGACACAAACCAAGTTTTAACACGACCGTTGTATGCCTTGAATACCTGTCTTGGTATAGCTGGAAGTGGCGTAAGTACACAATATGCCGCGTTTTCTAACACTCACTTTACAAAGTCGTCGACTATTTTAGGCGACGTGAAACCTCCGTAGTAGGCCTGAAGGGCTAGAGGTGTATCCCAATGGACTATTTCCTCGATTGTGAACATGAAGCATTGAATGCGACAAAAGGCCTTACATAGTGTTACAACAGGCTCCACGCCTTGAGCCCAATGGTAATCGATAACTACAGCAAAGACGATCAGCCACGCCTGTGATACTGTTCAGATGAGATCATACCATCAGAGTAGTGACCAATCCCAGCCGTGTTAACAGGAGAATCAGCAGCGCCAAACGGGTAAATCCTCGCCCATGAGATGCTACAAAACATCGTTCAAAGAAGACATGTCGACAGAGTTCTAACACATACGAGAAAGAATGTGCAGTGACACCAAGAGCGACAACACGTTCGATGTCTTTTTTGTACAGGAAGTAGTGAAGGTCAACAATGTCACCTGCAATTATCTTAGTTTTGTAATTATCAGCGGCAGCATTATGCATACTTACCAGTGGAATTATCGAATACACCATTTGGCTGTCTGGAAGCCCAGTCCCACATAATCGGACCCTTGCCCTCATTCTTTGTAGCTCCTTCGACTTGGTACGCGGCAGTGGCGACTCCGTATTTGAAACCTTTTGTGAATTTCAAGTCTGGCAATATATCTTTTGGTGTAGGAGCATAGAAGGACGGATACAAAGGAGGGGGAGACGGTGGTAGTGTAACCGTTGCGCTAGGGACACGAGTAGTGGTAAACGGAGGTGGCTCGACAGGTCCGATCTGCATATCAGTCATAAATAGGAATGCTACGTTTTGTGACAATCAAGGAGACTACGAACGATGTCCCATAGTTGTTCCAACCCTTCCGGCGTGTAGTCGCGAGGAATTGATCCGATCGAAGGAAAGCTAGCTGTGGTCGTGGCACCTGCGGAACTCAGTGTACCAGTGGTGGTAGATACTACCGTCGTAGAGCTTGTTCCTGTACTACTCGACCGTGCGAGAGCTACAGAAATCCCGCTCCACCTGCTGGGATAGGCGAAAAAGAACAATACTGCAATAAGCATCTTGGGGTAAGGGAATCGAGCGTCAGCTGTTGTTTATATAGCCCCTTGGCTTACATATGCGTGTAGAGTCATATCTTGCTTTTCTTCCCAGTCTCGATAACACCACAAAATTCCCTGTGAATTGTTCACGGCTCTCGGACTCGCTCTCAGGGTCGTTCGGACTTCTAGCCATCTGATATAATTGTTCGGGGATTGAATATCGCCTAATGTGATTCTCAGTTCGTCAAAGCGTGATCACATGCATTTGCTCTGGGCACGAGACAAGCTACGGTATAGCTGATGATTCTAGAATGAGATGATCAGCAGTGTTTAGAGTGCTTAGTTGACATGCGAATTACTGAAGACTTCAATATCCTAGAATAGAGAAGGTGCAGGAAGTGCATTAAATGCAGCATCGGAATACTTCATGGACGAAGACACTGTGAGATATACTCGATGCTCTCCCCGGTGAGAAAACGCCACCACAACCTCTCAGAAGCCTGTGGGAGAGGAGAGGAGATTTTACGACAACGCCAAAGATGCCACAAGTGAAGGTGCCGCAGATATGTCCTCAGTCTTCTTTTTGAGACCGATGGACGTAATTCTATAGGAGGATTGCCTATTTAATAAGGAATAAGCGTGGGTTCTGCGATGACTAGTACCAAAAATTGAGTTGAGGTGGAGGCGTATTCCCGTAGGCCTGAGAAGGCTTGTTTAGCCCTGAGTGTGAGCAGATTACGCATGGGACTAGTGAGGGACTCGCCAGTACTGCTGTATGCAAATCGGTCTTCCCTTCCCAGTCAAAGTATGCAGGGTATTCAACCCGGTAGTGAGTCCATCCGAAGTAGGTGTTTGCGTCCACTGTGCGATGCAGGCAAGTTTGAGCAGATTACTTTCCTACATCCATGGTCCTCGTTCGAGGCGAGCAGTAGAGCGATTGCTCTGGCGATCTTGACCAATATCATAGCCTACAGAAACGAAGGGTACCCCGCAACCATTTGATAGCTTCTACTGCGACGAAAGGGGACCTCCAGTTCTGTTACAGGTTCCCAAAGAAAAAATTTCTTCTGTCCACGTTTCTACCTCTCTATGGCGTCGTGTTCATCAGTGAGCATGTCAAGGTGGTGGTAAGAGGTGAAACCCTGAAAAGGAATGTTTGGCGACGACGCGTTGTTTGGTATATGTGGCCCGATTCTTTATTATGCATCTTATCTCCACTGTACTCGAATTTACATGCCGTCTTCGTCACCTTTTATCTGCTTTACCTTTATTGAAGCCTTGTGTCGACTATCTTTCACTATTTTAGTTCCAGAAGTGTTGGAAAACAGGTAGGAAATTTTGAAGCTCTATTCTCTTGCTAATTCTCCCTTCTTTGTAGTACCCGCTCGGGCTTCAAAATTCGGTATTATTCAATCTCGGTTTTCGCAAGCTTGAGGGCCCCTGGCGGGCATCATCATCAATGAAGTTGTTGTCTTTTTTTTTTTTGAAGATTCCCACTTATTCTCCCCGACACCGTGTGACGGCCGAATTCCACTATGTTTGAGCTTAGGGAGACCGCTTTCGAGTTTCTTTATCTAGTATTCGTTGAACACTTTCTGTCTCGAAGTGAATGAAACCCGGCATAAACACGTTCAAAGATGGGTCTAAGCGAGAAGTACAATGAGAACATTCCAGGTCGCTTTTTCTTCGAAGATACCTTTCTACCACCTGATCTTCCCCTCGCGCACGTCGCATTTAACTCTATTAGGGTCCCTTCGTCCTTACAGCCCGAAGTTATTTTGGCCGTACTCGTACATGGCTGGCTTCTTTCACCAGGGGAGCATCGAAAACATTTTCTTATCCCGGTTCATTTCGAATGCCCATGTCACAATCACGGTCTATTCTTGTATTCCAGGATGTTCACCATAGGCGGTTTAGAGTCTTCGAAGACAAACAATCTCCTGCGAGGTGCTTGAGTATTCCATACGTTAGTCATGAGATCCCAAAACCTACCGCTCCTGTGACCCTAGAATCATTGCTCGAACCGCAGCTTGTCCCATGCCCAAGGAAACTGCACCCGGTTCCTCTTTGGCGTACCGAGAATCGCACGACAGGCAAGATTCCCAAACAGTGTCCAAGTCCGACGAGTCCGAATGCGAGAGCGATGAAGAAGCCACTTATTATCACAAGGTCCCCAGAATTTCTATCTGACTCTGATGTTATTTTTCCTCCTGCTCTTCCTGTCGCGCAAGACGCTAGCTGCAATCGACAGACACGCTCTGGTGTCGCGATACAATCCTACCCGCAATGCATCCAGCCTCACCACGCCAATGCAAGTAGGCAACGGAAACTTTGCTTTCGGCACCGACGTTACAGGTCTCCAGACGTTCCAGCCATTCGCTATCATGTCTTCGTGGGGGTGGAAGAACGACACGTTGCCGCAGGGTAAGACGATGGACGACGTGAATGACTATCACGGCGTAAGTTGGTATAATCACGGACGTCTCGTCGAGTATGATTTTGGTGGTGACCCGCTGATTGAGCAATGGCTCACTGCGAATCCCAACCGTGTCAATCTGGGAAGGGTGGGGCTGGTGTTTCGGTCTGCCGAGGGAGAGGTACTCAATGTCACGGAGGGTAATTTGACGGATGTTCACCAGGAACTGAATCTCTGGACGGGAACGATTACAAGTGGATTCTGTTTTGGAGGGGAGCCGATTACTGTGACAACAACGTGTGCACAGGACCGAGACACCGTTGGAATCAGTATCGAGTCCGCACTGTTGAGTGATGGTCAGTTGGGCGTGTTCGTAGATTATCCATGGAATGATGGTTTGGCAATGTTCAGTGGACCGTTCGTCGGAAACTGGGATGCTCCTGCGAACCACACGACTTCGATCGGTATTGACGTGGACGACCACAATGCAGAGATTACACACACGCTCGACGAAGCCTCATTCATTACTTCTTTTGACAGCGACACTTTCACCATATCCCGCGACTCTCCCGATGCTCATCGTTACACCATCCTACCCGGAGACTCTACAGCGACTTTCCGATTGGCAATTTCCTATGGTATCACGAGCCCGGGTGGCAGGACGAGTTACGAGGCCACCGATGTTTCATCCCGAACGACTTGGGACGCTTTTTGGTCACAAAGCGGTTTCGTTGACGTATTTACGGAGTCTTCGGACCCGAGAGCCGACGAATTGCAAAGAAGGATTATTCTGTCGCGGTATTTGTTGCGTGTGAATGAGGCAGGAGATACCCCGCCGCAGGAGGTAAGTGGACCTGGTCTGCAAATATGATAGTCAATACTCATGCACGCTTCCAGTCCGGGCTAGTGAATAATGGCTGGGTGAGTGACTTGGTTTCATCCTATAACAAACGACTCACAGACAGTTTTACAGTACGGGTAAGCATCTTCAAGATATCTCGTACATACAGGCTTCGAATTCACTGCCTGTATACTATAGCAAATTCCACATGGAGATGTACTTTTGGCACGAGGCCCACTGGGCTCTCTGGAACAACTGGGAACTGCTCAACCGATCTACTGGCACTTATGCCAAATTCCTACCATCCTCGATAGCCAGGTCGCAGGAGCAGCAACACTGGCCCTCCGGTGCACGATGGCCAAAGATGACCGATCCTTCAGGTCGTTCATCCCCAGGCGATATAAACAATCTGCTCATCTGGCAGCAGCCGCACCCGCTCATGTTTGCTCAGTATGAGTACCGGGCATTACCCACGATGGAGACGCTGCGCAAGTGGGAGGACGTGGTTCAGGAAACGGCGGATTGGATGGCGGATTTTGCGTGGTATAACGAGTCCACAGGCGTCTATGATCTTGGACCGCCCATGTACGTCGTCAGCGAGGACACAAGTCCGAATGTAACAGTGAATCCCGCATTCGAATTGGCGTATTGGCGTTTGGGATTGGGCTATGCCGAAGAATGGATGCAGAATCTCGGTGCAGAGGTCCCGAAGAATTGGACGGTAGTCAAAGACAATCTGGCCACACTTCCTGTTAACAACGGCACATACAAGGTGTATGAAACACTCGAAAACAACTTTTGGACTGATCCGGCGTATACTAACGATCACCCCGCGTTAGTAGGACTGTACGGATGGCTTCCGAAGACAGAGGGGTTGGACCTGGCAATTGCGAAAGCAACAGCTGACAAGGTACAAGAGTACTGGAATGTGACGAACTTCTGGGGGTGCGCTCAGTCCATATGCCCTTTTTCTTGGTAGCTGAACCGTTTACAGATGGGATTTCCCGATGCTTGCAATGTCGTCTGCGCGCTAATGGGGATGTCGAGGAGGCTGTCGAGTGGTTGCTAAACCCTCTTTTCAACTTTGACGATGTTGGGATGCCATTAACTAATGTGCGTATCCCTCCGCCATATTTTCCGGGCTCAGGTGGGCTCTTGTACGCTGTTGCAATGATGGCATGTGGATGGGATGGCAGTGAAGAGAATGCGCCAGGATTTCCGAAAGACGGCTGGGTTGTTCGCTGTGAGGGTTTGAGTAAAGCATTGTAGTTGACAAGTATTTTCGTACCTTTGACCAAGTAGCTCGTAGTCCAGGCGATAGTGAAATTCTTCATAGTTTCAAGTCATGATAACCGCTGCAACAAATTCGGAAGTTTCACGTCTGAACTGCACCATGCAGGCGTCACTGCCAAGCATTCGTTTTCAAGAATTCACCTCCTACTACGATCCCAATGTCGCCTGCGACGTGCTCGGAGACAACCATGACACGGTATCTATGGATACACAAACTCATGAGATTTTCTCCCCCTCGTGGCCCAAATTTATGGCCTCAGCCATCCATGGCTTTCGCCAGGGAATCTTCGAGTAGATTCTCGTGTCATGCTTCACAATTCCGATGCTGCACTTACGCCTTTTCCTGTCTGACGATATGCATGCGACCTTGACAGCAGTATGAGTCCGAGAGACCAGCGAGCGACAAGAAATTCGGGTATCTTTGTTGAAGTCGGAAGACATGAACTCCCAAACGCAGCGCAGACCATAGCAGTAAGAGACACCTGGGTCCGCTTTTCGGACGGCGAAGGTCGAGACCCCGGATTTCGGTCCGGTATTGACGTGCTATCAAACCCAGACCTTCCCCCCACGAGCTTTATCGCGACTACCACGTTGGAAATCGGTGAGCATGTCGACTCTGAACATGGTACTTAATCCCTTTACTATTTCAGAAAATCACCATTACCCGCATGGATAACGACAAAGACTGTCCACAATGCGGATTCTGTTCGTCCACTGGCGCTCGCCTTCCTGATGGTGTACCATTTGGCAGAGCTGATCAACTCCTTTCCTCTAACGAGCCTCCAATGGACGGCGAGCGTGAACAATTCGAGGAGATCCTTTCCCATGGCAATGAATGTCTTCGTTCCCTCAACCAGCGTATTTCACAAGTCCGCCATCTTTTGAAGCGACTCACAGCCGAGAGCATTGCTATTGAGCGCAAGCTTTCTATATCCAAGACTCTGATGAATCCAGTACGCAGGATACCTTGCGAAGTTTTGGAGGAGATTTTCTTGTGGGGCATGGATGACGCGATGGATGCAACCATCGTCTGCCCTGCTGATTCCCTTGATGTACGAGATTTCCTTTGGACGGTATCTCAAGTTTGTTCGTCGTGGAGAGACTTGGCGTTGTCTAGACCCCACTGGTGGGCAACTATTAGGTTGGATTTGCGGGTGGACGTAGAGATACCCAGCGCTTTGCAATTGCTTTTGCCCCGAGTTCTGCGTAGCATAAGCATTCACGCTTCTCTCCCGCCGTCTCTCGCATATCGTTTTTCATTACATCTGGAGAGATCTGGAGACCACACACTCTCGGTTTTCATGGGTAGCAAGCAGGACGTCTCCACGCATCCATTACTCCCTCTTATACTCTCGTCATCCCCACGATGGAGACAACTACATCTTTCCTTTTACAAAGCCGAATCTTTCCGTGCCCTAGAAGTCATATCTGACTCGCTGGATTCGCTGGATGAACTTCGCGTTTCGGTGTATAATGATCATAGGTTCCCGCCTCTCTGGCACACCACCGCTTTTAGTAATGCACCAAAACTCCAAACAGTGATCATCGATGGTCATCCTAATTTCTTTCAGCTACCGTGGTCCCAAATCTCGAACGCAGATATCTGCGGCGAGCTGTTGGATATCCTCCCAGAAGTTGGAACCGTGCCGACGCTTACCCTTCGTCCTACCACGAAACCCCTGACAGACACTACGATATTTTCATCGTCACACTTGACCAGACTGAGTCTGTGGGAGGTGCATCACGGAGTGCCCGAAGGGACTATAGAGTTCTACCTTCCCGTGATGGCACTCCCAAAGCTATCATCATTGGAACTCCATTACCACGGTCGTAGCACCATACTTCCGTATCTCAGCAGAAGGGACCTCCCTTCATTGACCTTTCTGCTTATTTCGGCTCCCTCAAAGAGCCTTAAATGGTCCGACGCTTGTGCCATGCTTCGCACCTTACCAATGCTCGAATCACTGTCCATCGAAGCGATCATCAACTCGGGTAAAATTTTCCATACCCTGGTATTTGACCAGCCATCCTTGCGGCGCCTTGACCTTACGGGATCACAAATGAGCTTTGATCACAGGGAGCTCGTTAATATGCTTCATTATCGGACTGTTCTTGATGAGCTAGTTCTGCCAACTCCGCTCATGATTGTGGACTCTGAAGGTTGGCGATGGAGTAATATTTGGGCTTCGGCCGTTACGGGAGGGTTGAATGTTGTTTGTCGCTCTCATCGGTTGACGATTTACATTATTATGTAAATCCTGATGAGACTGCAGATATCGCAAATGCGCCGTCCACTTCTCTGTTGCAGTCACAGATTTGGTGCGCAAACAAGATGTGTCGTAACAGCTCAACTCGCACCCTTCCTTGTGCATGTTTTTACACTCCTAATGAATATATGTTTTGGCGCAGTTCCGTCGCGTCGGTCGCATCTCTCGTTTTTTACTATCTTGCTCTAGAACTCAAATATGTTTTGACACATTAAAGAATACTTGCGTCGTTTTTCAGCGGATGGATGCGGGGTGATATAGTGTGCGATATGTTTCAATATCGGTACTGCTTGCCCTCATGTCACTCTATTACAGCGCGTCGTCGCCCGTGTAGGTACTAGGATTAATATGTCTGACGCTAGGACTGACCCCTCGAGTCTGATGCTCTTTTCTTGGGCTTGGTGAACGGTAAGTTTCGTTTTCTGTCGCACGATTCCACCGAGAGACTGCACTGCACTTTGCAATGGCATGAACGACCAACATTGTTGACTTGCGGTTCTTGCTGCATGCACGATAAACCATCGGGGAATCTCTACACTGCTTTCTTTGTATGCAGCGCTGATGGTGTCCTCTCCCCCACCCTCGCTGCCAAGTAGATGCAATTTTGTCTTTAAGAAATATATATTGATGCAGATAAAGTAACTGATAAACTAATTTCGGCAATCTCTTGTGTGCCTCAAACCTAGTATTCGCCTCAGTCTTGAAGATGCGAGCCGAAGAATTCCGCTATTCATACTTGTAAGCCTTGATGCTCATTGTAAAGCATCACGAAACTCACCCAAAGCCAACGCCGAGCGCTTGTACGTTCGTTCAAGTGTCGTGTAATCGACGTGCTGTATACCGAACCTACATCATGCTAAGACCGGAAATCTCTAATTCCAGAAGAATGAGCACCCACCTGACAGATGTCCCGCCTTCCCACTCCGCATCGTCAACCATGGCTACAAACAGATCAGTGGTGAATTGTGATTTCCACTCTGTTAGTACTGACCCCAAGTGAAAGCGCCCTGTATCGGGACACCATCTTCGTGTATGGATAACAACATCTCACCGAGGTACGTAAGGAGGTAGTCTGGAAAAACAGGTGAATCTTCAACCAGCCCGAAATCAGCTTATGCGTACCCGTTCGGGCCGCGTCCTCCTTTATTTGTGAAATATCAGCGTTCGCATATGCGAATGGCTCTAGGATGCCAAACTCGGAAATATACTACTCGCCAATGGTCAGAATTAGTCACTGGAAAAATCTTCACACTCACCATCTTATTACTGGGCCATCGAGAATAAATGCCTTTCAGCAAATCACGAATTTCCATTGGTGTTGATTGAAGGGAGGTGGCCAGTGGTTCACCAGCGGGACCTACGGCCCAGCCGTAATCCGAGTCAAAGTATACGGCTTCATTACAGACGGGCCATAAGCTATGAGAAGGATTTGCGACACAAGCATCAATTCCTTCGTCCGGAGCCTTTACCCATAGGGAGTGGTAAGCATCAATAGCAAAGAAATCGGCGGAGCCGAGAAGGTCACTCCTTTCCTCTTCGGTAAAGCGCGGAAGATACTCCTCGGGGAGGGTGTCTTTGACGGTGTCAGGCCAATCGCCTGTTGTGTATACGGGGTTTGCAAAGAGGCCTAGTTGGAATGCTGCGTGACGTTCGACGGCAAGTGCGTCCTCGGTAGAGTTGCTCCTCCATGGCGCGCCTCTGCAAGATGTTCAGTAGGCTCTAGTGTGAGAAACGGGTTAGGGTTACATGTAATCGTTGCTCTTGAAAGCGATTTCTCCTGTTATGTTCATTTCACGGAATGCTGAGGACGAGAGATGTGAATTGAAAGCACTCCATTGTAGTCCGTCGACGTACCCTTGACGGCTCCCGCATGGGCCTTCACTATGATAAAGCATGAGGATCGGGGTTAGGAAGAATAAACATGCAGAACGTACATAAATTGTATGCGCATTGATAAGGGGCAGTAGACGAATTTACACCAGGGGCGAGCGTTGCATCTATTTTCAATAATAAGCTTGCAGGATACCTTTTTATCTACAGAAAGTTTACCGAATGGGGAAGAAGCAAGGTCGCCACAATAAATAAGTGGTTCATTGAAAGTATACCTAAAGCAGTCGAGTCCATTGTTATAGCAGGAATGGCAGATACCTACCAAGTTTTGACACGGCCGTCGTATGCCTTGAATACAGTCTTGGCGTAGCTGGCAACGATATAAGTACAGAAACTGCGGCGGACTTCAGGTACTTACTTTACAAAGTCATCGACTATTTCTGGTGACGTGAAACCCCCATAGTAAGCCTGAAGGGCGAGAGGTGTATCCCAATGGACTATTATTTTCTTTGATGGTTAATGCGGAATATTGAAAGCTATAAAGAAAGCCTTACACAAAGTTACAACAGGTTCCACGCCATGAGCCAAATGATAATCAATAACTGTAATCAGAACAATCAGCATCAGTCATGATACCAGTTGCGGTGTCATACCATCAGAATAATGATCAATTCCCTCAGTGTTTATAGGAGAATCAGCGGCGCCAAACGGGTAGATCCTCGCCCACGAGATACTACGAAAAATCCTTCAGAAAAGTCGACTCGAATGAGTTTCAACACGTACGAGAAAGAATGCGCAGTGACGCCAAGAGCGGCAACACGTTCGATGTCTTCTTTGTACAGGAAGTAGTGAAGGTCAACAATATCGCCTGCAATTATCTCAGTTGTGTAATTATCAGCGGCAGCATTATGCATACTTACCATTGGAATTATCGAATACAACATTTGGCTGTCTGGAAGCCCAGTCCCACATAGTCGGTCCCTTGCCCTCATTCTTCGTAGCGCCCTCGACTTGGTACGCGGCCGTGGCGACTCCGTATTTGAAACCTTTCGGGAATTTCACGTCTGGAAGGATATCCTTCGGCGCGGGAACATAGAACGAGGGATACAAAGGTGGAGGAGATGGCGGTAGTGTAACCGCCGCACTAGGAGCGCGAGTAGTGGTAAACGGAGGAGGCTCGACAGGTCCGATCTGCATGTTAGGACTAAGTTAGGAATACATTCTAGGACAGTCAACAGAACTACGAGCGATGTCCCAAAGTTGTTCTAGTCCTTCCGGTGTGTAATCGCGAGGAATAGATCCGATTGGAGGAAAGCCAGTCGTGGTCGCAATACTTGCGGTACTCGATTCACTGGTAGTGGGAGATACTAGTACCGAAGAGGTCGTTCCCGTAGCAGACTGTGCGAGCACTAGATTCCATCTATTGGTAAATGCCAAAGACAACAACAGAATTTGGATGAGCATCTTGGGGGCAGAAAGATCGAACAGCCATAGCTACTGAATATATAGCCCTTCGCGTACATATACGTACGTAGAGTCATATGTTTTCTTTTCCTTGGCCACATGGGAATATCGGAAAAATGCACCCGGAGCAGATGAGGTCCGACACTAGGGTAGAGAAGTCTGCGATATCGACCTTCGTTCGCGGGAGGAATTCGCTGACAGAGGCCTGGACAATTACGCGGGAACCACTGTAGCACAGCATCAGAGGAACTAAGTGCGTATATCAGAGTAAATATAGCGCCGTCTGAGCTCACTAAAACCACCTCCAGGTCACCGCGCAATCAGATGATATATAGAAGATGCCTACAATAATGGGGATCTTTGTCGAAACTACGCGACTGCACTCGCTCTACCGTGGCTATGCGGACCGCAAGTGAATGGTTGGACAACTTCTTTGTTCTTGAGTTGACGGCGAGTGACAGAGGATTGGCGACGCGATGATAGGCTGCGAAAGGAGGCGTAGGATCCCACCCAAAAGACTATGGCATACTCGGCCCAGTTCTCTTTGGATGTTCGACCCTGATACTCCAAATTCCTGATTATTCTTTCTCACTCCCCTTCATCGCTCTCGGATTCGCTCTCGGACTCGGACCCGGACTTCCCACCATTCAAGCGCCGGCCTTTTTTCGCCACCAATCGTCCGTATCCAAAGCTCTGCCCTACCTATTTGGAATGAGGAGAGGCTGGTAAAAGTCGGAACAGGTGCATTGCTGTACATTGATGTTATCGTAGGCAAAACAGAAATCGAATTTGATAATACAACATTGGGTAACGCGAAAGGTTCGGGAAGATTCGGCAAATGCCGAGTACGTCTTGATTCTCTCTGAATTACTCTGTCAATTCATTGCTCGAGCTCACGCGCTATTATCTTTTCTCAGAATCATTCTTCAAGACATATTTTCTCGTTCACGCGCAAATATTTTGAGAAGATCATCAAACTATCATATTTCGGCATTCATCTGCCGATGACTATTTAGAACCCAGGCCGTGCTTTTTCCGATGCCGATCGGCGGCTTAAATCTCATCGTTGAAACGTTGACAGCTGGACCTGAGTCGACTCGAATGCAGCTGTATATCTATGCCTTTCTTTAACACGTCCGTCACTCCCTGCGGGCTCTGCTTGACAACACGAGCTCAACTCCTACGAAGGCAGCTGCTCTCTAGAGGCATCCCTTTATCTATCTCCCGGGATTGGTCATGTTAACTTCAATTCCTGTTTTTCTTGTGATATTCTAACAGCAATGTATAGGTGACATAGAAGAGACCAGAGGATGGCTAACCTCGCTATCGGCTCAACAAATTATGCTTTTGAAGCACAGCCGGTCGATGGACCCCAGTTTTCGACAGGGCACATTTGTCAATTCCGAGAGCACGTTTATCTGCTGCGGCCATTCATGTAAAGCTCCCTAGGTCTGTTCAGTGGTGTTTTGTATGATCAGTCCCTGTTCTCGCTGTCCAAAGTTTCGGGTTCTTCGCTCCGTAAGAACATATTCCTTTATCCTGCGAACGCCACTCCGGATATTCTGTGAAGAGCTCAGAACATCGATAGAAGAGCACTGGCGCTTGTTTTCATCCTCGTTGTTTCACCGGATCCAGTCTTCAATTAGTAACGGTCCACGCGTCTCTGTTGCGTTTGAATTGCTTGCTTGTACTCAGGCACGACTCTGCATCCTACACGCCTCTAAGCATTGATATCTGTGATATCCCCCTCTTCTTTACCCACAAAAGAACGCGTTTCACTAGGTCCTAAACCGAACACAAGTTCCTGCACGTCAACATGAGTCTGCTCCACAGTCGTAAAATTATGAGAACCATCATTCATCCTGTCGTCTCTTGTAGGACTCATCTCCAAAAATAGACTGTGCATGTCTATTTTAACAGCGCTTTGTAGGAGAAGAGAAGATGTACCACCGTCCCTGTGTCTTCTTACGTTCAAGCCTTCTCTTGTATATACTTTGATGCTCGACTTTGGAATGATCGTACTCCCCAGCCTCGTTTTCGAACTTATTCCTTCACACTAGCGCCCGTGGTGGGAAACGCGCTGTACCATGCACCTTCTTCACTCATCTGCCTTCAAAGACTGTCCTGACCGCGTGTCGTCGAGTATTTATTGTCGTCTTGTTTGGCTGCTGTTCTCTCCAGAGAAACATGGCCTACTCTGACTCCAGCGAAACGTCCTCTTCTGAATCGAGCAGAACACACTCCCCGACACCTTCATCCACGTCCATCGTGGACTCTGAACACAGTATCCATCGGCTGTGCAAGTGCCGATGCGACCCCGAATGTAATTGTTCATGTCCATGTCGCGACCATTGCATCTGTCTCTCGAAATACGACGACAGTCACACGTGCAACGACAAGTGCAACAAGGACTGCGAGTACAAACATAAAGGGCAATGTCAAAGGCAATGCGGCTCCCACAAGTCTTATCGAAATCTAGTTGTATGCCTCGACGGAACATCCAATCAGTTTGGTCACCGAGTCGGTATCCAGATTCGCTACCTTTTGCTCCCTGCTGATGTGTTCTCTCAGAATACCAACGTCGTGGAACTGCACAATCGTATACTGAAGGATGACCCAGATGTTCCTCAGCTTACCTTCTACAGCAGCGGTATTGGGACCTATGTCCCTCCAAGTAGACTTTCCGTAGCTCACTGGTTGCATAATTTTGACAAAGTATTCGCATGGTAATTACATTATCATCTATTTGATTCTAGATGCACTGACTGAGGTTTCATCAGGAGTTTTAAGCGCCTTGTCGAAGAAGCATACAGGTGGATAGCAGATCATTATCAGCCCGGAGATAGATTATTTTTGTTTGGTGGGTTACCTCTTTTCGGACAGAGATAAAGCAAACCAATGCAGCCTAAAGGTTTTTCTCGTGGGGCTTACCAAGTTCGTGCGTTAGCAGGAATGATTGAGAAGGTTTGTGCACTTTTGTATACCACCGTCTATACTTACCGGTATGATTTAGCTCGGTCTCGTTTTCTCCGGAAATAAAGGTTTAATTCCCTTGTGAGATCTTTCCTTGGTCCTTTTCGTTCTACGCTTAATATGCAATGATACCATAGTGCCTATGAGCTATATTCCTACAGACACAAGGGCATGAGTGAGATAGACATTTCTTTTTCCTTGTTCGTATTGGATTTGATGTCCCTTAATTAGAAATTAAGAGCGAAGCAGAGGCTGAAGCTCTGGCACTGAACTTCAAGCGTACATTTGCGAGATCAGTCAGGGTTCATTTCGTAGGTGTCTGGTACGTTTTATGACTAATTCCCTTGCGAAGATGGAGACTGAGCTGTGGCCGTACAGGGACACCGTCTCTTCAGTAGGAATTGCGCAAACGAAGCCTTTGCCATTGACAAAGTCTGCTTCTCATATATGTTTCTTCCGGCACGGACTGGCCTTGGATGAGCGTCGTGTAAAATTCTTGCCCGAATATCTGGCCGGGGGTCGGTCACCGCTATCTGGGAACGAGCACTACCCTGACGAGGATCCCCCTAACGCGAAGGAGGTTTGGTTTCCAGGGAGACACTCTGACATGTGTGATCGTTCAATCCTATCTTTGAACGCTATTAATGCCCTTCTTTAGCGGTGGGAGTTGCCAACGAGGTCATACGATTGATCTTTCCCGAGTCCCTCTTTTGTGGATGGAGAACGAAGCCGGTGTAGCAGGTCTGAATTTCGCACCACGGCGTGGTGGAGTTGAATGGAGATGGGACGATCATCATTTAGACAAGCCAAAGAACGCATTAGGTGGGTTATGGTGGCTAGTCGAGTTTCTGCCAGTCAAGCATCTGCGGTATATTGACAAGGAGAGCACTACGCGGTATTTCTGTTTCCAGGGTGGCCTTCAGTCTGACTCACGAACCATTTACTAGGATGCCTCATTTTGGTCGAGGTCGTTTAATTGTTCCGTCACAGCTTATTCACGCCTCCGTGGCATTCAAAAAAGATTACACGCCCTCCGCCGTGTTTATCGGCAACACAAAAGCGGTTTGGAAGCCTCTTGTTGGGATAGGCAGTGTAGACGACCTATCTTGGGCCGATGAATGGCAGGATTTTTTTGAGATGGATCTCTTTGATCACTCTGTTGCTCGAGTCGCGATGGAAGAACTTCGCTCGTTGAGGTCTAACACCAACGTCGACAGACCTGACGTAGCTCGACAAGTGGTCCTCCTGAAACGCTTATCATTTATGGCACTATCAAGTAAGTGGACCTATATCTGGTATGTAATCACCATTTCCTTACTTTCAAATCAGGACAAGGTTCTCACACAATCTCTGAAATGATTACGGAACTTGTGGCTATACTATCGGACGAAGATGACGGAATCAAAGCGGAAAGCGCCTCTTGTCTTTTCCAGCTTGCGAAGCACTGTATGTCTTTCCCTCACACTGAAACCTGTTGTCCAACACATTCTAGGGCACCATCGTCAGATCCTAGAAGACTTACATGTTGTCCAATGTCTGAAAGCGATGTTGTACGGTCGTTCGGAAGCAGCGCGTCTTGCCAGTATTCAATGTCTCTCTCAGTTGATCTTGAAACCCGAGGGCGAAAATGAACACGAAGGTACTCGGACTGACATGCAAGATAAGCGCGAGCCTTGGGAGAACCATCTAATCGAGGCTCGAAGGACTTTATCAGAACAGCCGGACGTTTGGATCGGGACTCTTTACAATCTGCTTCATTCAAATCTTCAGAATGAAGTTACTCTAGGTACATCTTGCCTTTCCCGCCTGGTCAAAATAGGTATGTTTTGTTCATTATGCGTCACACTGTCATGTCAAAGCGAGATATTCAGGTTCTGTTCGAGACGAATTTACGACGAACGATAGTAGGTCTTCACCTCGGCCTGCCACGTAAGTGTACTTAACATACTGTCAGGACTACCTGGCTTTGCAGAGCAGCTCATACGACTCCTGGAGAATCATCACACCCAAGGGCATGCTGCCTCGTCGCTCGGGAGTATACCGACATGCTTAAAGGGTATGTTCATTTGGTTGGTTTGCCGTCGAGTTGCCATTCGGTTACTGAAAAAATGTGTCTAGGTGTGACCGCTATCAGCCAGAGTCAGATGGTGGTCTCCCTGATGTCGATGATAAGGGGTGTAAATTCTAAATCAAAAGGAGCAGGCGTGGGGTGTCTTAGTAAATATTTCGTTCAAGGCAGGCCACTCATTTACCTGGGTTTACTCATTGCTTACAGAAAACGAAAGACCCTAGAATGCAAACACTCATCCTACAACAAACAGATAATCTGTTGGTAGACTTGATGACAAGTCTTTTCGGCGAGGAAATCATTGCCACTTCCACGACAAGGAGACTGTCATTAAGGCCTTTGCACCAATAGCTGCACATAGTAGGGCCTTCTTTCCTTTTAATACGCGCTATTAATTTCCATGCTAGGTGAATGCCTCACGCAGCTCAGCCAAGATGGAGTGATTCGTGTGTTGATCCACGTCTTGTGTGTAGACCGATGGCTCAGTGCGGAAGAAGGTGTTACCTTAGTGAAAAATATCTTTTTTCGAGGTTAGTAAGCTAATTATAGAGTCAAACATTAAACGTTGATATATCCCTGCACCAGATTCCCGCCACATAAAAATGATGGGCGGAGTCATCGATGCGCTTGTAAACATCGGTACCAACGGCGCCAATCTATATAGGACTCAATACTTGTTCCGTGCATTGTACGAGCACAGTGCAACTCTTCAAACCCATCCAGATTTAACACCAAGCCTCTCCGTCATGAAAACGATCGTGGAAGCTATGAAATACTCACATTCCCGTATGAGGGCAGTGGAATTCCTCGAGTCAGTCGCGCGAGGTAAGGACATTTATTTCTTGGCACCAGTTCAAATTTATGAAAACCGTTGACTGCATAGCTGAGAAATATCCGGATATGCACGAAATGCATCTACTTATAAAGATTGTCGAACTTGGCGATGGTAGGCGATTATGATGCACTATTCGCTGTCCGAACGGCCTTGGAGATCTTTACTGCGGCTATTTATGGTGCGTACACCCATCGTCCTACTCCCCGCACTAGTGACCATATTCCGTAGACAAGTTTGATGATTTGCTTTTAAAACCGGATGTCTTTAAGATACTCACCCAGGATATTGATTGGGACATCAACCATACGTTCCGGGAAGGACACAATCTCAGACAGAATGTCAAAGCACAGATACCTGGCGTCCGTTGTATACAAAAGCTTATTAGAATTGGTGAACAAAGTGCCTGCGTTCTGAATCTGCCAGATCCTTACTATCTCATAAGAAAAAGCGTGGACGATGCTGTTTGAAGAGGAGGTGGTAGATAAGCTCCTAAATATACTTGCAGCATTTAGGGATGAGCCAGAATCCGGCGAGTGGTTGCGGCTTTATTTTCCAAAGTACGATACTTTGCTCGAGGGAACACTGTCGAATTTGATGAAGTACAGTATGCATCTCGAGTTCGCTTTCCGTCGCCTTCTGCTGACAATAATGTATAGAGGATGCTCTGAGTCTACTGGACAGTAACAAGCACCTCCGAGGAAAATTGCAGCGATTTATCTCCCTTGGAGTTTCAACGAAGTCTGAGGACGACACCCACATCTTGGCCTAGTAGTTAAAGCTACTCATTCAGTATGAGATAGACTATGTATGTATAGCCAGTCGTAGATCGAAATGAGCTAATGGCAGTGCCGCGTGTGTCGCGCGTTAGACTAGTTCGAGTCTCCTGTCTACTGATGAGCTAATGACATGAAAATACTCAGTACTGAATTATTCCAGGATATACGCGAGGTGAACCGTGTCCAGTATACCCTGACTTACACGCCCTCAATTTCTCAGACCATATATATGGCCGGCGGCATGAAACGGCGGGCGTGTCTTGAGTAAGCAGGAAAGGCATGTGATCGTGAGGATTACGTGTTGTGCTAGGTGCCGGCATTTCCCGGGAGGTGGCACTAGATTCGGACATATCCAATCACAGTCGGCCCATCCTGGGCCATCCATCATGATTTCCTCTGGTCGGTGTTGAGATGGTGGTCCTCATTCGCTAATACTTCATTTTGAGTATACGATGCGTCCCTGGTCCTCAACTCTTAGTTTCCGCTGCATTTGTTTTCAAGTGGTTTCGCAGTCTCAATAGCTTCGTTCGGAGACATTCCGTTCGTCGTATTCCAACTTCCACTGGCGTTATGTCATGCAGTGTACATCTGTGTACATCGCGAGCTGGTAACGGTGATCTGGCATGTCATATAAAATAGGATAGTCAGGCGATAAACCTTTCCGTGTTTTATCTGTTATTATCCACATAAACGCGCCTACCTGCTTGTGCAAATGCTTTGGATATGCGGGAGGATCATCCTCGTCTCGAAAAACAAAAGGTAGAGTCCATTGGTACCAGTCTTTAAATATTTAACGCGGCTACGTGCTGATTTGCATATAGTGACTTACCGACATCCCGAAAGGAAAAATGATGGTAGTTGTGGCGCCATCTCAACTTCCATTCCATGAACTGCCGCTTTTCGGTGAGCATCTCATCTGCTTCCTATAATGTGAACCACACCCATATAATATGTCTTAGATAATGTTTACATTGCTGAATCCCCCCGCGCTGCGTTATTAAAAAGAGAGTATTCAGTCCGCTGGTCGGTCCGACATGAGGCGCACGCTTTAATACCCCATTTCAATCCCCCTGGAGACGCCGTCAAACGATGTTTCTTCTAAAGAAATGCTCAATAACAAATTTGGGGTGTTGAGGTGTCATAGACGTCGCAGCCTAAACTCGGCTGTTCTTCTATGGATGGAGATCATATCTCAAAGGACGGACCCGATCTCTTACGATTGAGTACGTTAACGCCCCATCAAGTCTCTTATGAGATAAGCGTGTGTCCTCTTCCACAAACGGCCACCTACCCTCATGAGTCCGACTACTATCGACGACAGAGATAGCTCCGTGTCCCGTATTGGCACCTGGGTAGATGGTGGGACCCCACACGAATACGATAACACCGTGTCCAGCTCCAAGACCAATGGGGACCATCTTTCGGTCACTTTCACTGGTACGTCCACTCTGTGCCTGCGAAAATATATGTGGTCAACAACCCTGTAATTATAGGAACTCAAATCGCAGTTTATGGAACGTACGACTATAGCTCTTCTGGAGTTATTACTTCTTACGCTATTGACGGTGGTAATGCAACACGAGTTACACATACGTCTGGTGGCGGAGACACCTACAACGAAATGTTTTGGGAGTCAGATTCATTGGCGCTCGAGCAGCAGTGAGTTATCAGCACGTCTTTGCGTTGCCAAGGAAATTCAGACCTTATACAGCGAACTAGTCGTGACGATGGTGCACGTCAATACAGGCTACGGCGATCTCGAAGGGACTGTGTGGTTCGACTATTTCAATGTCTACAATGAAACGACTTCATCAGCTTCCACATTCACCGGTTCCGCAACATCTTCATCGTTACCTTCGAGTTCTACGGCAAATTCCCCTGATGCTGCCGCTTCCCTAGCTTCCTCTGATTCTTCATCAGCCAACATTGGCGCCATTGTCGGCGGTATCGTTGGTGGTGTTTTTGTCTTTCTGGTCGTCGCCGTTGTATTCGTCTGGTATCGTTCTAGGCAAAAGCGACGGGATGTGCATACCCGCGCAATCGGTGATCCCCCACCACCATTTCCGAGTAAGCCCATATCCATATTCTTTTGGTGTGGCACTCATCAATTCTAATTTCTCAGGTTCTAATGGTCCCAGACCTCCGCTTCTTACTTCTGGGTCCGCAGAACCCTTTATACCGACGAGACAAATACCGGTCTTCCCTGTTGTCGCGTACAGGGATGGTGCCAGAGATAGCGTGGATACCTCCTCTTTCACAGAACCCATCTTCGCTGGTCCGACTTCTAGCATGTCTTCCAAGTTGTCACACCACCAGACAGTTTTGTCATATGTACCGGCGGCAACAGGGTCGTCGACAGCGCCGATGTCATCCTCGTCCGCTGGTCGGTTTGCCGGTGATAGCGTAGCGGAGATGAAGCAACGCCAAGGGGAGGCCGTGGCAGGATATTTCGAACCTATCCAGCATATCGACAGTGGGGTTCGTACACGTCCGCAACCAGAAGATGACTTGCCCCCAGTCTACAGTCCTAACTAGCCGCTTCATCTACGCCTTTGCCTCTTCACGAACTATTTTTGGCTCGGCGTTACATATCAGCGACACCTACGCCACCATGTTGCTTTCTACTTTGTGTACAGCGCACTTGCGGCGCACAAGCATCATTGTGGTATGTCCAGACCGGTACCCTGTACTACACTACTAGTTCGGAATGTTTTATTCTACTATTTCTTCGGGTATATTATTGGCAAGTACTAGCAGATGTTTTATACCTTCTTGTACGCTACAGTGGTTTTGCCGCCATAAAATTGGACCCGTCTCTGTTGCAGAGTAAATTCGGTGAAATTCTGTCCCATATTTTCGTCGAAGAAATTACGAGGTGTCAGTGATTCTATGTCAGCATTTGGTCTTCGTCTAAGTCGAGGCCTTAATTTGGATGGGAATATATGCGCCGAGGCGACGAAACGCAAGCTCACGCGCCGACGGACAGAAACCATATGCGGTTTGTAATGCCAACAACAGAATCTAGAACGGCACATCTTCGTCTTTACGGATGATGAAGTGAAAGATCGCTCGCTCCATTGTTGCATAGCTAAATTCAACTACTATTACAACCACCAACATACATGAATGATCCTAAGAGGCTAAAGCTGGTAGTCCCAGAGAGGAGTCTCAGTGGTGAACTTCTCTCCTCGACGAAGTTCAAAGTGTTTCGCCGTGAGCTGCGCAGCTCGGAGGAAGAGTGTACCGTCGAGTTTCTCTGCTCCTGGAAGCTCCGTCTCCGTAAAATCGACCTGACCGCTGGGACGTGTACCATACAGCGTCGCATAATAGGCCAATGCCCTCTGAATCTTACACAGATGGTCATCCGGGTGGAATAAGGCTTGCTGAATTATCGCAAACCATGGATTCGGTGTGGACGACAAATTCTCGTCTGCTACTGTTGCAGAAGACCCGTTGGGAGCCACGGCCTGGGCCTCAAAGAACTTTGGTATATCGAAGCTGGGACGGCCGCAAGAAATCCACCACGCGAAAGTTACAGTCATATAGCTACGGAGAAGTAGCGCTTGGGAAGTGGTGGAAAGGAAAGTTACGAAAGATGGCAAAAATATGGCTGATGTGACGAGATGCATACTGGAAATATGATTAGCCACAATTTCTTCCACGAAAGTTGGTACGCACAGAAAGAAATTAGCGTGGAACCTTTTCCCAGGCCTAAATCCGCTTATTGCGTAGATGATCGTGTTCATCCACTGCAACTCCTCGATTTTCCGATGCAATTCTTGAGGGTCCGATAGATGTAACGACCACTGATTGGTATACCGGAATAACGCTTCTCCGTTTGCGATGATTGTACTTCTTATAGGGCTTTCGTCACCACTAGGAGGAATTGTAAGCGTTTCATCTTTCAAAACGCGCGCTAGAATGTCGAAGGCATGGGTTCCTTTCTTCCCACTGGGAAGATCAGGCGTTTCAAGACTCGTAGCCTTTTCGGCCTGCGCATCTAACGCCGTAACGGAAGTCAAAGCAGAATAAGGCAGGAGATTTTGAACGTTGTCAGGATGAACGGCGGTTTGGGCGAGACCTATGGATACATTCATAAGGACGTGTGCGTACACAATAAGACTCGAGACATGCCTTCGATGACTATTCCCGGCAATCCGAATTCAAGACCATTCCCCATGTGTATCATAGGGTGAATCAGGCTGGCCATCAACCGGTTGAGCATAGCCGGCTGTTGGTTACCTTTCGTCGTCGCATCGACGTTCACAAATTCGGAGAAGACGAACTCTTCCAATACAGAAGCAATTCCTTTTTCGGCTATTTTATCCTTGAAGAAGGTCATATACGCCCCATAATATCTGAGATGTCCATCAAGCCCTGAAAACATAAAAGGAATACCATACGAACTTTTCGTCTCCTAGGTGAGCGTTGAAATTCGCAGAAGATATGGGACCGGGAGATTTGATAGCGGGCCTTTGACTGGGGCTATCTTCGCGATATACGGCCTCGATTATTTCTTTACTAGCACCGAGAGCCCAAACGGCCAATACATGGTGAACGATATGACTGTCCAAGTCAGTGGTAAGTTCAAGCCAGATGGTAATAAAATACGCAACTTATGAAACCCTTTGTCATTGAAGAAAGTATGCCACTTCTCGTAATCATCACGAAGGACGCTCTGCAAAGCCAGAGTGGACTCCGCATCAGCCCCAGGAAGAAAGGCCGGAGCCAGACTGGAGGGGAGGCTAGAGGGCGCTGGAAAAAGCTCGAGTGTGCTGGAAGACATGTTCAAAGCAGAGTCCTGTAAGAGGCTGTAGTATGTATGTACTGAGAGACCAATCAAGCAGAGTGCATTATATACCCAGAGCACCCAAAAAACTCCGTTAATTGTAAAAGGTCACGGGTGGCCTCGGGATCGTTTGCATGAGAAAGAAGCACAAGTGCCGAGGGAAGTCGTCACTTTTTATCCTATTATCCGTCCATCGAGTAATATGGATGTGAGGAAACTGGTAAACGGCCCGTCATTTAAGAGGCCTTGATCTTCATAAAGTAGACTTGAAATCCTAAATAGGTAGGCAGCATCAGACACAAGCTTTTGATCCACTCAGTGTTAAGGACGCGTAGCAGCCGAAGGTTCGAGGGCGTCGCAAGAAAGCTGATGGTGAGTTCTTGGCCACTGCCGGAACATGTTAAAGAGCAGTCAGATGGTGTTGGTAAGAAAACTGTGCTCGGCATGATGCCGGATTGCCCTTTCTAGAATCTCGACAAGCTTCACCGTTATTGAAAAGTATCATGCAGTTCGCTGCATATTACAGGTTTCAACGTAGTCATAGATTTATGTTGCGTATCGATCGGTACTAGTAGCGCCAATGATCTTCAGTGGTCCAATATCTGTCGAATGTTTCTCTTAGCTCTCACGGAATTTGGGTATATCACGAGAGAATCTTGAATAAAACTCTACGAATGCGCCGTGCAACCCGCTGAAGATGTCCCATTAGTACGAAAGCCCGCGAAACCAGTGTCATCTTCCTCGAACCATAGTCTCGACGCGCTTAACCCAATCGTTTAGCTCTCTGCCCCATCCACCCAGTCGACGCATCTTTTGATTTTCAATGTCAAAACCCACTCCGAGCCCGATTTCTTTCATGCGGGCTCCGCCCCGTTCGCGAATGAACCCGATGTTCCCACCAACACCAGCACAAAATACTGTTGCGCGAAAAAAACACTTCCCTGAAGGACTCTCTACACCCTGGACTACATGGAGTTCCAAGTCCGAAAAGGCGGAGAAATGTTCGAACAAGAACTCGGGGAAAGTAGAGGAGGAAGGGAGGATCAAGCCCTGTGGAGATTTAATCAAAAGGTTGGCCTACAATTTGTCAGGGCGTAGGCTCACAGATAATATCGGTAGCGTTATTCTGCACAAGTTTTCCAATGTGTTGTTGGTAATTGCCATCGATGATCCATCCGTTTGGATTATCATCCATCGTTTTGCTCACGAGAGATTGGAATTCTTCATTGGGAGTCTGTTCCCAATCTGGCCGCCAGAATATGGTGTCAAGCGAGATGTAGGGGATGCCAAGGATCTGGGATAGCTTTTTGGCAAGCGTGCTCTGTTCACGTTAAAGCGCGATTGGTAAAGAATTGTAGAAGAAACATCTTTTCTTGCCTTCCCGGTCCCTGTAAGGATTTTAGCTTTCCTGCCCGGTACTTTATGACATGACTCACCGCAATTCCCAACTATGTGAATTCTGTATCGTCCTTGGGAGTCGCCAACTAAGGGTCGGTTCATTCGTTCCATCTGATAGTGACGGTCTTTTTGAAAGAAGCTGAAGAATGCCATGATGACTCGCCAATGCTTACCACCTTGCGGTACCGGCAAAGTTTACCTTACATAAAAGTGAAAAGTTATTCTTCCCCCCGAATCACGTTGTGAAGGACCAGACAAACAAATAGAGGTAGGAAACCAGCGGGCCGCAAGTTCGAGTCCAATAGCAAGGAAAATTTTGTCGAGCTATCTCAAGACACATGAGACACATGTGGTAAAAAACCTTTACTGGCATCTGAGAATGAATGAAGGAGGAAGATTCACTGGTTCCTTCAGCCAGTGTACATTTGCAAAAAGCGCCGTTCCGGGACCCGGCTGCGGCGTTAATAAATATTGGATGTCATAATTTTGATCATACGATGAGGCTGTGCTTCCGGCCTATCTAATGACAGCGGGCTCGTCTCTTTACACCTAACCACGACGACCGTGATATCCCCTCGGGCGTCTAGGTGTATATCGTTTACAACCTACTGCGCTTGCGACGGCCTGAAATTCCAGCAATGTTCAAAACTGCAGCAACGAAACTTGCGCACAATTCGACTTTACCATCCTTAGCTGGTCACAGCGATATACGTCCTCTTCAGGACCTTATCACAGCGGAGAAAGCTGTGTTGATATCGTATGTACTCTACATGCCTATACGGTAGCTTATCGCTTAGTAAAGTCAGGCTCCAGAAACTCAGCGTGGACTTGACGAAGGCTGCGGAAGCATTGCGAACGTGGGGCGCCGGAGAGGGAGAAGATCTTGGAGTGAGTTTTGATTTGTATACATCTAATATCATCACCTGAACTCTGTTAGGATGCACTGGGCGCATCAACTTCAATTATAGCCCACTTCACCCATGCTTTAACGTCGTATGCTACACACGAGCATGCCATTCGGGACCATATGAAGTCTATACGAGCACGAGAAGAAGCCCTTGACGATCTAAAGCGAAAGAGAAAGGTCATTGTCGGAAAGGCCGAGACTGCGGAGCGGAAGCTTAGCAAGATGAGTCCCGAACACAAGAACCTCGCGATGCAGACGGACACCCTCAACCAGCTCCGAGATCAGATTCGGTCCTTGGACTCTGATATCATGACGGGGGAAGCATCGCTGGGAGACTTCAAGCGGTCTACGACACGGTCAATGATGGGATTGAAATTTGGAGGTTTGCTCGAGTTGAGCGAAAAGGGAGTGGTACGTTTTATCTCTATTATGGCGCATACAATGGTTCTGTTACACCATTTACTTTTTTGTTTTCATTCCTGTTTAATCTGCTTCACGAATGTCGCGTGCGCCTGCGGATTACCATGCCAAGGATTCGAATCGGCAGTTTCCAGCATCCGCACTCGTCTTTTTTTCCCACATCGACCTGTCTTTCTCTACTTATTTGATTTTTTGTTCAAACGTTCATTTGTGATTCATGTCCTGACTATTTTTCAGATTGTAGGAGACTACGGAAAACTGGTTGTCTCGGAGATTCCAGAGGATGTGACCCAACCTGGAATGCCTAGATTGATGTACACTGGCCACCCCAAGGTGGAGATGCTCGTATCAGAAACGTACAAGGCCGTTAATCAGGTTGGCTTCTCTACGGTCGCGTCGGACCTCCGAGAGCAGCAGCGACCTCCTATACCTTCCCTTCCCAGCTCACCGGCCCGACCAGCTAGAATGGACGAAGCACCATCGAGCTCTACCTTTTTATTTGCACCACAGGGTATGAACGGAGGTCATTTCCTCGATGCGTCAGACGCGCCAAGCCCATCCAACAGTCCTTCAACGTCTGTGCTTCGGAAGGACTCGCTTGGAGACAATTTTGGTCCCCGGAAGAAAGAAACGGAAGCATATGGGTATTCTGGTTCGGCCCCACCCAGTTCTTTCCCTGTTAAGACACCCTTTAGCATTGAAACTCCTTTGCTCAAGAGTCACGAACCCGAACTATCCTTCTCATCGTCTATTGCTGAAGCATTGAAATCCCCGGGTTTTGGGAACCCCATCGATGAGCCGGCGCCATCCTACGAAGTCTCTCACTCACATTTGTATGCTCCGCCCCCTGGTCCACCTCTTGGTGCGGCGGTGCTCGGTTCTGAGCCAGGTTCGCGCCGGGTATCAACAGCCTTATCCGATGATGCTGAGCTTGCTTATGTAGCGGGTGAAGAGGACACTACGCATGAGCACGGAGATGATAGGCATGTTCGATTTGGGCGCGTCGGCGATGTCGACGAGGAGAAGGCGAGACCTCAAGTCCAGGTGGAACCAGAGCCTAAGAAGGACTCTCCTATAGGTCGTTCTCCTCGTCGGATTCCTGTGCCTCCAGTGTCCACAGAAGATGAAGAACGAGAACTGAATGCAGCCGCTGCCAGGGAAGTCAGCAGAGAACTGGATGCACTCACATTTAATCCGCCTCTACCACCGCCTTCTCCACGAAAAGACTCTGAAGAATCTCCGGAGCGTGGTCGTCCCCTAATCCCTGCTCCTTCTTCGCTTGGTTATGGACCACCTCCAAATCGCGAGCCGTCTCCTCTTGCTCCTCCTTCCGCTCCGTTTGCCACTCGTTCGATCTCCAATATTGAGACTACCGTGCCTACTCCAGCGCAGTCGTATGCACAAGCGCATCGCTCATCAAGTTCATTTGGATCGCGCAACGAAGGCGCGAGCAGCCCATTAGTCGAAAGCCGTCCTTTACCGCCCACCATCCATCTTCAAGGCGGTCGATCTTCTCCTGGTCCCTCTCTCAACTCTCCCTACCGCACCAATGCCCCCGAGTTCCCTACTCCCCGGCCAGCCTTTGCAGGGCGTGTTAGATCATCTTCGTCCAGTTCCTCATCTGCACAGCTCCCATCTGGTGCGCGGACCATATCTGCCGCTGCGTTCCGGCGACCACCACCTAGGGTGACGAGCAATGGAGGCTCAGTCGATATCAGCAGTAGCCCAACTGCAAGCTTAGGCTTAGGAGCGTCGCCTCCTCTACCTCCCGTTCCTGTCCCTGGACCTGCAGATACGAGTCCGTTGTCGTTCAGCAAGAAACGGTCGGCTGTTGGGGGTTCACCTTTGCCATCCAACAGAGGTAGCGGGCCAGTTCTTCCTCCAGCTCAGGATGGCAGGAGAAACAGTTTTGTGGAGAGGGAACGGTCTGATTCGCCAGTATCAGAAGAATATGATTACCTCGATGCATATGTGGACGAACATGAGACGAATAGGAAGTCGCTACCTCCCGCAGACGGAAGCCCGATGCAGCAAGACTTTGGGTCTTTAGGGAACGTCAAGGTTATGAATGACGACGGGTCGCCAAGCAAGGGAGGGTATGGAGAAGGCAAGTTCGCCACGGATCTGGAGGGGGGATTGCGGTGAAGCGGACCAGCGCGTGTGTTCGATTTCGTGTTCTTTTTTGCAGGTTCAACTTACTTTGATTTTTTTTTCTTCGGGAGCAGTTCTCGCTTGATCTACTACTACTCTATCATGATTTTTCCTGTCATAATGACACGGTCATGCATAAATCACTATCTAGGTCTTCTGTAACTGCTATGTTACTGTACGCTACTGTACTGCATCTTTGACTATTTGATTAAACCTAAAGTTCCCCGTCCTATCTTTCCAGGTACACGCGCATACTCACGTCAAAGCGTCAAGGACGTTCTATTTAGGTGCTTACGTTTCTAAATATGCTTTAGCTTCGTGCTTTTTTTGTTTTTGTTCTCCGAACAATAAGGTAAGTGGTTACGTGCCTAGGGTGGAAAATAACTCCGTGTTGACAATAAGATGGGCTGTCTGCTTCATTTCGGGTCCGCCTTCTTTTGTTGATGCACAATGGTGAAGTGTATAAGTACTGATGTTGATGAATATCGGTCTTAGCGGTTCCCTCTCACAATGCTTGCTACGACGAAAATTGTTTTCCCTCCCCCACCACCGACGACGAACTGCCTCTCGTCTCTTGAGCGATCTCGACTCCTCCGCAAGACGAAGAAACTTGAGCGCGTATTAGGTTCCGCGCCTCACTTCATTGATGATCCTCTAGGTGCATTCAAATTTCTCATACCAAATCAACCAAAAATACTGATATTTGATTCGAACAGCCCTCGATCTTCCATTCAACACGGATTCTGAGTCAATCCCCTCGAGACCGTCGACATCATCACGCAGCAGCATGGACTCTTCGCGTTCGCTGTATCGGGTGACGTCCATTGACAGGCCGCGGTCGCGGTCTATGCCATCTCGGCGGTTGAGCGTCGAGGAACCATGGCCAAGCTCGAAGCCACCGCTTATGAAGCTGTCAAAGTCCCCCGGGGCTCTGCCCTGTATACCAGCATCACCTCTCGCCGCACACTCGTTCTCCCCATCCGCTATGACCCCCCCAGACTCTCCGACCGCCCCAGAGTTCATAATTCCGACTAACAACAGCTTGCGTCGCCAGAAAATGGACCGGCTGCGGAGGAAGCTCGGGGATGGCGTCCCTGTGGACCTTGTTTTTCCCAAGCAGAGAGAGAGCGTCGTGGTTCAGGCCCAGGTCACGGTGGAGAAGTTCACTCCGGTATTGTTCTCACCTCCGCCTGTGCCTGCAAAGCCTCTTCAGTCGCGGGACTCTATATCTTACCCTTCTCCTCATCGCGCGGTGCGTAAGGTGAAGCGTAAGCCTGTACCACCGCTCGACCCTTCTGAACTTGATGCTCTGAATCCTCTGCCCTCGCCAGTCGAGATCCGACGAAGGACTTTGAGCCTAAGCTCAAGTTCCTCGGAGTGTAACTCGCCTGCATCCGAATATTCGGAAAGGAGCTTCTTGTGGGATATACCTGAAGAGTCATCAAGACGTTCACGAAGCTTCTGGACGAGCGCCAAACAGGATATGGGCCGCGAGGAGGACTCGGAGTGGCTGGAAGTGACGTACTCCAAAGAATTGGGGTTGACCGTATCTTCGCCCCCATGATTTACAGCAAATATTCGGATAATTTTCGTTTCGATTCGCAGTCAGTATGTACTCGCTTTCAAGTTTGCTGCTCGCTTGTTACTACGTTGCTCTAATCTACTCACCTAATTTTTCGATACCTACTTGGTACTTACTACACATCTTGACGATGCATTTTCCGCTGTTGATCGACGCCATGCTTTATCTTACGACTCATTACAGTAACCTCATATTCGTAGTTTAATGGTTACATATTATGAGTACAAGACTACGAATAGTGGACCGAACGTTGGAGCTAGAAGCTTGAATCTGTGTCGAACTCGAATCAAGAGATTGCCGCCGAGTTGCCTTTTGGGATCGCCTCCCGAGCTTCTTGTTTGGGACTTATCTTCTGACCACTGTCTGGCCGCAGAGTCGATCAGCATCAAATGATGGCTCACCATAGAACTGGCAACCATGAGATTTACTTACAAGACCCGCATGACTAGGTCGGCCTCTCGGGTATATTAATTCCTACCGCGCCCGTGGACCTGGGGCCATACTTTACCTCGGCTTTCTCATGTTCAATTGGTAGCGAGTCCTTCAACTTGCCCTTCACTTCTAGTGGATGAATGAAGCCCATATTTATTACTCGCATGAGTATCTCTGATGTTTTGTTGATTAATTACTGATAACCACATCCTGATTCGTTAGGAAAACGTGAATAAGTATATGCTTCAATTTGGGCTGTCAGCCATTGGAAGATGATGATTCGTCTCCTACATATGATCATGCACCAAGGTCAGCTGCGCCCTCTGAGCAGATTCTCTCTATACGCCTTACTAAGACATTGTATAAGTATTCAAGTCATCGATTTACTAGGACCAAATCACCGCGATGTCTACCGCTACATTCGAATGGTTCCCATCACCCGCCATCCTTCCTACCAACTTCACTCCCAACACCATACCGGGTGTCGACGCTGAATCAACACTTTCGCTACAGAACGTTCTCCGAGATAACCATGAGAAGTGGCACGTCTTTTTTAATCACCTAAGGTTTCATAAGTGAGTCCCGTGGGGGAGGACGCTGCTTCGTCTCCGAAGCTTACAACCGGACCACAGCCATATTACTCACCATGTCCTTGCAATCTGGGCTCTTGGGGCGAACAAGAAAACCATTGAAGCCGTCTATCAAGAGTATATTCCCATGCAAAGGCCTGCCATCAAGTCCCCGAATAACATATCATCGGAGAATTTTACTACTCACTTGGGAGATGATCAGTGTGTACGGGATTTTCACTAAATGCAGCCGGTGTTGATGAACAACCTAGGTACTTCGAAGCGTACAAGGCCTTTTTCCGAGAGAACATCAGGGAAAAAGGATTCGCGGACGGTGTTGGAGGAGTTTGTCTTCTCCCCGTCTGCTAATGTCAGCTCTGCCGGGGATAAGCAGCCTGCCATGCTTAAACGCTTGCTCAGTGGATTAGTGCATCCTATCATCCACACTGGGTACGGTCTTGAATTCGGTTTGCCGGGTATGGTCGTCGAAGGTAGCCATGATGACATCCCTCGTCTCAGCGCCGTAGGCTAATATTACGGTTGGATACAGGCCTCGCACAGGCGGCAGTCCATCACGATCAACTCAACCTCCTCTTCCCTCCTTCCTTTTTCGAGCCAAACGTTGACACCCTCGCAGAAAAGGTTTCTGCGAATCTCACGTTGGATTCGGAACCGAGTGATAAAACGGAGATTCATGCTTTCGATATCTTAGCTCGGGTTCTGAAGAACGACACGCTGAAATATCCGGATACTAGCGATCCCGAATTTTTCGCATATACACTTCGAGACAACGGAGCGACTTTGCTTGGATATGCGAACCAATGGTCGCTCGGTCCCAAGGATATATATCATAAGATCGAAGAATTGCAGTGGATGAATACCGTCCTATATGCTATCACCGGTTCTCACCCTGGAAAGAAGTTCTATGCTGATTTCTTCTAGTGCGTAGAATCTTTGATTTTCACACAAACAAATGACAAATAGGACGACGCATTGACTTCTGATATAGCATGCATCTCGTCACCTCATCGTTGTTTTTACCCTCTTTCGCGGCATATCTCACACCGCCTTCACAAGCCCTCCTTCTTCGCAGTTACATGGCTGTATCCCTCGCATGGTGGGTCGCTCGTGGTCGGCCTGGATTCGACATACCAAAGTTCTTCGAGGTGACGATCCAGGACTCGGAGCCCAGCTCCAACTCATCCACACCGACCTGGAATTTACCTTCCGCTACCAACCCGTGGTTCGCTATCATTCAACAAGCCATCGTCCACCCCGATGATCATCTATGTAAAATCCAAAGAGCGTTTGTGCACTATGCAACATTGTATGGGGCACGTCCATGTGGTAAGCCCGACTTTTCGCAGACGGAACTCGAGGGAGCGGAGAGACTTGATGGTACACTGTTTCTACGCGCAGCGCAATTGACAGCAAAACATTTCGAGTATGAAGGGAAGGGGGAGAAGTATCCGGCTGCTCAAACTTTATGGGACTTCAGCTAGACAATATGGAGAATGGATTCGTATACAGCACGAATGAAATTACTTAACAACGAGGGCCTTTGGAACCGCATTAATTCGCACACGGCGACGCAGTCGTGCCCTCGGGCTCTCAGCACTGAGGAGAATGGCGCTTGGATATCCGTAATGGAGACCTGCGTACTATTCCTGAGGAATGTATCAAATGACTACCCTGTCAGTTCTCCAGAGGCTTAAAGGAATCTATTTTATGCGAGATGCTATGTAGAAAGGTATTACATATGGATGGGTTTGCCATACGCAGCCATGGCAGCCTCTTTGAAGGCTTCGCTGAGCGTAGGCTGGATGTATCGTCAGGACCGTAACAAAAGATCAAGAGGAGCGTAGAAACGTACATGAGCATGCGTCGTGCGCGCGATATCCTCAGCGCTTGCACCGTACTCGATAGCAAGAACACCCTCCGAGATCATTTCTCCGGCGTTAGGACCTACACACCAGATATAAGCCATGCAGGACAGATGAAAAAAGAGTCAAAGCATACCAATGATATGCACACCGAGGATCCTATCAGTCTCCTTCTCAGTGATGATCTTGACGAAACCATCCGTATCGAGGTTGGTCTTGGCACGCGAATTGGCGGTGAAGCTGAACTTGCCGATACTGTATTGCACACCAGCGGCTTTGAGTTCTTGTTCTGTCTTTCCAACCCATGCAACCTCAGGGTGAGTGTACACAACCGATGGGATGGCATTGTAGTTGACGTGTCCATGTCCAGTCTTCATGAACTCGACAGCAGCGATACCCTCCTCCTCGGCCTTGTGGGCCAGCATAGGTCCAAAGGTGACATCGCCGATGCATTTGATGTTAGGTACCGAGGTGTTAAACTGATCATCGATGATGATGCGGCCTTTGGGGTCCAATTCCACATCGATGGCTTCGAGATTCAAACCCTCGACATACGGTCGACGTCCAACAGCAACAAGAACAACGTCCGCTTCGAAAGATTCCTCCTTTCCACCCTTGGCAGCCTCCGTCTTGATGATAACTTTATCATTTTCCTTATCCGCAGACAGAACCTTGGTGTTAGTCTTGAACTTCATGCCCTGTTTAGTCAATAACCGTTGGAATTGTTTACTGGTAATAGTCAGCAGCAGATGACACAAGAAGGGGGCACACCTACGCGACTTCCTCGTCAATGCCGGCACCACCAATTGCACCCAAGAACTCAACCACAGTGACCTCAGCTCCAAGACGACTCCATACGCTACCCAGCTCAAGACCGATGACACCACCACCAATGACGACCATCTTTTCAGGAACCTTTGGCAAAGAGAGGGCTCCAGTTGAGCTGACAATCTGTTCTTCGTCAATCTGAATACCACCGCCTGGGAAAGGCGCGACTTCGGAACCGGTAGCAATGATAACGCTCTTCGCCTCGAGCGAGTTCTCGGACCCATCGTTCAGCTTGACTGCAATCTGTGTAGGAGAAACGAACGAAGCAGCACCCTTAAAGTAGTCGACCTTGTTTTGCTTGAACAGGAATTCGATACCATTTGTAAGACCGGTCACGGATTGCTCCTTGGCCTTCAGCATCTGGGGGAGGTTCAAGCTGACACCACTAACTGAGAATACTATCAATGACGCGCTATTTGGCGCAGTAAATGACATACCATCAATACCCCTCCGTTGAAGGTCATGTTGCGTTTGGTGGTAGATATGAGAGTTGTTTAGCATGGCCTTTGAAGGTATACAGCCAACATTCAAGCAAGTTCCACCGGGAGGACCGCGTTTGTCAATGCAGGCGGTCTGTGAACTTCATTAGTAAAGCCGAAAATTTTCGGAAACGATGTGGAGAGCACCTTCAGACCCAACTGGCCGGCCTTTATGGCGGCGACGTAGCCTCCGGGACCTGTAGAAGATGAGCTTTGAGGTCGCCGTTGCATACAGCGCTCTACTCACCGGCACCAATGACAACAACGTCATAGGGCTCGGTCGGGGTCGCCAGGCCTCGCTGACTCGTCCATCGACCAGCCTGCTGACGAAGCCGACGCGCGGCGGTCTATCATAGAGCATTAGAGAGAAGAAAAATGGATCCTGCACACGCACCCGCTGCACCGTTCGTGAAAACATGACAGTTGAGAATGAAATCGCAACCCGACGTCGACCGCGATGACGAGAGTCGTGACACGTCACGCGTCACGGAACGCCCCAAAGAGATCCCGATTTCGGTCCGAAAATCCGATGAAGGCCACGCTTGTACTTCACGTTTACCGTCGACCACCACCTGCTTCGTCCCTCGTAAGTGCTCCTTTACTTGCAAGTGTAATAATGTTGACTTTTGGATCCCTCATCGACCCGCATAGCTACAGCATAACAAGAGCTCACTAGCAAGTATCGAAGCTGTCCGAGTCTCATTCGCTGCCATGGGATCTGAACAATCTTCGGCTATGTATCTAGGAGAAAGTTCAAGTATGACAAACAACATGAACGAACACGAGGATCACATTCCATCTGACGACGACGTCATCTCTGTCAAGCGTATCCTGAACAGCCACCTCCCTGTCGAGATCATCGATGATATACTTGACCTTGCTCAGTACTGGCCTCATGTTCGCGAAAGGCGCCGAATGGAAGTGAAAGCTGCAGCTGATCACCAAGCAGGAGAGACATTTCCAAAGGCCGAGTGGTGTTATATCGTCTCCCCTCCTATTCCCCAAGATGCTAAAGTGCATACGGTGAAGTTCGTAATTGAGAGTCGTGATCAGGGCTCTGGAGGCGAACCAGAGCACCAAGGTATATGTGCTGCTTCTCGTATCACTTCCTCGCATCTCACAGCTGGCTATCGATAGGGACCTACGAGGGATCATGGACGTGGTTTGAGGCAGCAATAATACGCGGAGAACCGTGGTGGCTCCGCAAAGTCCTGACGATGCCTGTAGATCTGTACCGGGAGGAGGATGGGTCACATGTCCCACAGGACGTGCGCAGCGCAGCACGAGCTGCTGAAGTACGCTCCCGCGAGGAGGACGAAACCAGATGGCATGTCGGAGTAAACGTTACTGCCAAAGGATTTTACAAGGAACATACGATTGTCTGGCCACGTACAGATGAAGAGATCGAGCAACATCCAATGAGAGGTCTGATTGGCCTCTCACACGAGTTCGTGAGGCTACTTGAACCTGGAGATAGGGTAGCGCTGATGGCCAGGGCGATGGTAAGTCTTCCTTCACATTACAAGCCCCCCGCTTCTAAATCAACCCAGTTTCCTGCATGGATCAATAAAGTCAAATGTGCCTCGATAGATGTATTCTATACTCTATGACGATTTCGGAAGCCATTACCCCGAGCAGGCTCTTATCAGCAGTCCCCTGAAGAGGTGGTCAAATTGCCCGATCGACGACGTATGGTACTGAAATAAAAATATCACTCTTCACTGGCCTTCATTACAGTTTCGTGCTGTTTCAGTGTCAACATCTTTTGGATATGGCGCAGTACTTGATGGGTGTGTTTCAGCGGATTTGTCAATCACCGTGACTACCAGGCGACGAAGACTTCTACTGTCACACGACTTTTCTGCACATGAACTGTTGAGATTCTACTGCAGTCATTGGCTCCTCGTGGCTCGAGCGGCTTCTCTTGATTTGGAGATGTGGGGGCTAATTCTGACAGCGGGAACTTCAACAGATGGACGCACCGTACCGCCTATCTTACCACCGGTCTCCTGATGTCAAAAATAGACGTCATGTAGCGGACCATATACGACGTCTCTGCATGATCTGTGAAAGAGATTCAACAGAATAGGCCTAGTTCGTCTCCCTGTGTGCTCGTACCACTATCACCTGAAGTATATACAAGCCACTTGGCCGCGTCATCATCAACCATCATTCCAAAATTACATGGAACATTAACTAGCAATTCGCAAAGTTGATTGTCATCAAACATCTCTAGCGCCACTCCCGCTTTTGCTGTATAGTATATTTCTTGGAGCTTCCTGTTATCTGTGGCCGTGCCAAGTGTTATGACAGCGCTAGGAGTCCACGTAACATGAACACCTACGAACACCGCCTGGGCCGTCTACAATATGGATCTTGGGATACTATTCGATCATACCCTACTCTTTCGCCTTCTGCACTGACCGGCGTCTTCACATGGGAAGCGGGTTCGTTTCGGGGCGTCATATCACCTCCAAATGAATTGGAGACAAAATATAAGCTAAATTGCTGTGCTATAGGACCCCTCATGGATCTCTGTTCGCAGCGGCCTGCGTTGTTACGCGAGCGAGGCCACCATCAACCGAGCATGACAAGTTCGATTGATCTATGTAATTCCACATGGAGCTCCAACTGTCCCAAGAACAGCGTATAATTGGTTTCGCTCCCTTTTGTGGTCCCAGCCCAGGATAAGCATCGATACGCGGCCCCTACTCGCGTTTCAATGCACTTAACATTTGAGGCCCAGGTTGTGTACACCTTCCGAGTACATTCTAGCCCTTGTATTTGGCACATGGCACTCCGGGGAGGGTGGGTTATGATCAACTCCTTTACGAGGCATCTAAGTGCAAGCTTATGGTGGTTCTCTAGAGGAACTCCATGCTTGATGCATACGCGAAAACAGAAACAGGGTAGGGAATCGAGGGTCCGGGTGGATTCTACGGTCCGTTGTTCGAATTAGGAAGGAGCCTCTTATCAGTACCGACCATATGGGACGCTTCCATGAGCATAGGTTCTTATCATGGGCCTCTAATCCAGGCAACATTACGCAGGCTGTATAAACGCAGGTTCTATTTGATCCGTAGAATCCTGTACCCCTCTCCCTCTACTACCATGGAGCACAAGGAAAAGTTGGATGCTATTTCCAGCAGCAGCGATGTACCAGTCGACCATCCTACCTTCTACGATCCTTCAAAGGAGAGTATATGGACACGTCTCGGACTTAATTTCGAGAGTTTCAAGCGTGCACCAGGTGTTACCGGGTGCGTCGTTCTTTTTCTCGTTGTTTTAACAAAAATATTGACTTGGATTTCTCTAGACAACAGGAGGTAGCTGGAGGCTATGTCGACGCAGAGCACCTCAAGGCCGATGCACCGATGCTTCAGCCCAAGATGAAGAAGCGTCATCTGAACATGATCGCTGTGGGTGGAAGTATCGGTACAGGTCTCTTCGTCGGTTCTGGCTCTGCTCTTCACACTGGCGGTCCTGCTGGTGTCTTGATCGCATGGATTCTCATCGGCATAATGTTGATCAATGTCACTCAGGTGAGCATTTTTTTCTCTTGACCGTGGTGCTGTTCTCACGTACCTACGTATACAGGCGCTTGGCGAAATGTCCATCCTATATCCTGTGTCTGGTGGTTTCTATACACTCGCGGACCGTTTTCTTGACCCTTCATTCGCCTTCGCCATGGGCTGGAACTACGTTTTCCAATGGTTTGCCACCCTGCCTCTGGAAATTACCGTCGCTGGTACAACGGTACAGTATTGGACAGATGCCGTTCCTATCGCCGCCTGGATCACGATTTTCTGGATAGCCATCAGTATGTTCCATAGAAACCCTCCTTTCCGATGAATGCTGAGGATGTACCAGTGATCGCCAGCATCTTCGGCACTCTGGGTTTTGCAGAAGAAGAATTCTGGTCTTCATGTTTGAAGTTACTGGTTGTTGTTATGTTCATCTTCATCGGCATGTGCGTCTTCTACGGTTTGTGGGCTTGAGTTTGAGTGACTGAGCCCGCACCTAAAGCATCTGCCTTGCTGGCGGGGGACCAAAGAGCGGAGAGTTTGGTTCATACGTCGGTGGTAAAAATTGGTCTGACCCAGGCGCCTTTGCGAATGGATTCAAAGGTGTTTGCGCAGTGTTCGTTACTGGTGAGTGCTTCATTACCGAAGGTTGTACGTATTCTTACTCTGTTATCCGCAGCTGCCTTCTCGTTTGGTATGTTTGAGTCGGTGTATCTCCGCAGAAATTACTTACAACAAGTCAGCTGGTACTGAATTGGTCGGTCTCGCTGCGTCAGAGACCCCCAACCCTCGGGAAACCATGCCGGGTAAGTCACCTTCTGCCTTGGCTGCGGTCATTAATTCATTTCATTTGCTTAGGTGCCGTTAAGGGAACTTTCTGGCGTATTGTATGTCTTCCGCTTTGTGGACGCCAGGCATTTACTGATTTGCCTCTAGACGATTATCTACATCACCTCCCTGACGATCATCGGTTTGATGCTTCCTTACACCGAGGACCGTCTTATTGGCGGCAGTGGTGCCTCTGCGTCGCCCTTTGTTATCGCTCTGGACTTGGCCAACATCAATGGATTGAATCGTAGGTATTCTACTCCACGACGGCTATGTAAAATTAACTTTTTGCATCAGATCTCGTCAACGCCACCATCTGTGTTTCCGTCCTTTCTATTGGTCTCTCCTGTGTGTATGGTGGTTCTCGAACCTTGACCGCATTGGCAGAGCAAGGTTATGCTCCTAGCATTTTTAAATACAGTACGTCTTTTCTTCTGTTCCGGATATCTTTTCTCACATCATGCTTTAGTTGACAAATCCAGTCGGCCTCTTGCTTCTGTCGCCTGCTTGCTCCTTTTTGCTCCCATCGCGTACGTTAACGTAGTTGCTGCTGGTGACACTGTCTGTGAGTACCATTTATATCTATCATCATCATGATAACGCTGACGACTGGTAGTCACCTGGCTTCTGGCTATCTCGGGTCTTTCGACTCTGTTCACTTGGCTATCAATCTGTCTATGCCAGTATGTTTTAAACCTATCTTCCTTCTGTATAAATCGCCCATGTTTCACATTTAGCATCCGTTTCCGTGCTGCGTGGAAAGCTCAAGGTCATTCCCTTGAGGAGCTTCCCTACCGGGCTATGGGTGGCGTCTACGGATCATGGTTTGGAGTTGTCCTCATCGTCCTCATTCTTATCGCACAATTTTACGTCGTGAGTAGCACCCCTTGGAGTTGTTCGATCATCCACCTCATTCCACATTTAGGCCATTTTCCCTGTTGGCGAGTCAGTTAGTGGGAGAGCTGCAGCGGAAGCCTTCTTCGGTAAGTGTTTATGACAGTGTTGGTTTGTGTTTTTCCGATTGTTTCTTTGCAGAGGTGTATCTCGCAGCACCCGTAATGATTCTCTTCTACGTTATCGGTTATGCATGGAAACGGAAACTGCCCAAGCGAGCCTCTGAAATCGATCTCGATGTAGGTGTTCTCCTTTTACGTGCTTTCTCACATTTCTAACTTTGTTCTTCTTAGTCTGGACGGAAGTCTTGGCTGACAGTAGATGAGATGAGAGCATACCGCGCAGAGCGTGCAAAAGCTCCTCTACACGTCAAAATCTACCGCATGTTGTTCTCTAATTGACGCATTGGTATCTTTATACGCATAATTTTGACCCCCTGCAATAATATACTAGGCAATCGATAATACAGAGCCCAAAAGCATGTACCTTGAAGTATCGAAAAACGAAAAGCTACGAAACTACGTGGATGTCATGAAAGATGAGTATGTAAGTCATCAGTAAGGAGATAGATATGGTATAGATATGATAGCGTTCTACAGTCCATTTTATAAGATAAATATCAGACTTGCTACGAAGAAAAGCACCTCATGTCGGACTGCGTAGAGCGTTGAGAGAAGGATTCTTGCGAGGGGCGCTTCTTGGTCGCCGTGTTGGATTGAGCACTGAACCTAGTCCATCACCGCTCGAACGAACACCATCGCTTCCACTCCCGACGTCGCTTCTACTCCTTGCATCAGAAGTTGCGGGACTTTGGTCTGTCTCATCGGCGTATCGCGGTGGTAGCTCCACCACTTGCGTACCATCCTCATGGTACACAGTAACAGGAGCCCTCCCACCATCATGGTGTACCACATACACCTGACCCGCTTGCCGCGTCGAGGGAGGGGATGAAGTGGATGAAACTACTCCAAACTCTGTAGTGCTCGGAGAAGTGCGCAACTCAGGGTTCCGGACCTCTCCTGCCATCGTGAAAGGTTCGATCTGATACGAGCCATTTTGTAGTGGAGAGTGACGAACAGGTGATGTAGGTGCGGGATGGTATGATGCTACATGTCCGAGATTATCGAGGCTCGACGAAGACGGTGAATAGTCTTTGTGCGATCGACGTCGGAGGAAGAAGAAAGCGATAAGTGCACCTGCAAGTGAACCGGCGACTAGACCGCCTATGCCGACGCCTACAGCTCCCCCAGTGGACAGACCATTTGATGAACTAGCAGAGATGTTAAGCGAAACTTATCCGAGGTGAATTTAAACGTTACTCACCTAGAACCTACATCACCTTGCGTAAGACATGCGGTAGATCCGTCACCGCCGCTATGAAGAGGCCCGTATGACCAATAATTAAACTGGGAATCGACGACGCTGATGAAGAATGGTGATGCCCATGAGAGATCAACGGTCCAGTTTACAGTGCTCATGTCGTTAATCGTAATGTTGCGTGGTGGGTGAAGCGTAGGCGCTATAGTCAGGGTATAGGGAGGAGTGCCATTCTTCGGTGTGATTGCGATATCAGTGCACTGTGGTCCATAAGTGAGTAGACTTGAAAATTAAATGGCTAAGTACGATTCACCTGATTCACCCAACCATACTGAGATAGCGGTCCATCTTGCACCTGTGCATCGATATCTAAAGGTCCGAGCGGGAAGGAAGCATTTGAACATGACGGGGAATTGGTGGTGGTATTGGCAATCATCGTGTAGACCTGTTGACATCCTCCCGTGTAACCGTTCTTGTCGAACATACACACCTGATACTGTGCAGACGGTGTCAGAAAAAGAGAGGGGTACGGTTGATCCTCCTTACTAGCGTTCCGGGCCCAAAAGGTACTTCCCAGTCCTGTGATTCGATGAAGGATGAGCATTCAGTTGGAACGGATCAAAACCGATGCAACTCACAAAAGTTACATCGCTACCGGCTGGGATAATGAACGGAAACACGAAAGCACTATAACAGAATAAATATGTGCAACAATTACGAGAGGTATATCTCTTACGAAGTGTATACTTGGAGAAAGTACGGGGCAGAAGGACTTGGGCTGCCAACGGCACATCAATTAATTATGCAGAAATATAGAAGATCAATGATAAAGCGCACCCCGTAGATGATGCCGTACGTTCCCATGCAATATGTATCGTCTCGCATTGAGCTGAATCGACAGTACTTGAGCGAACGTTTACTTCTCGAGATGGAGGTGCAGAGACTTACCCGTCACTGGAACAGCTATCGCTTCTGAAGATGGGGTATAGTCAAAGTAGAACGACTATCGAGCGTCAGAACACGTATTCTCAAAGAGGTAACCTAGGTGAAACCTCACCTGATCCATGTAATTCGACGCCGCCTGAACTGCCAGGACTTGGCAGAGCGCCACGACGATTAACCACAACGAAGAGGGCCTCATGGGGTATACTTCGCGAAGAACCATAGTCGAGAACTCGAGGATGACAAGGGTGAAGTAAAAGTAGCAGTCTGTAGGTTTATCAACATTTTCATGTCTCAATACTGTATTGCACAGCTTACACTGGTGGCACTGGCGATCCACGTGGTGGGTGTAGATCCACAGCCAAAGCTTCTCCCCAGCGTCGACTTCGCGTTACACTTGCAATAATGAGAGAAAATTAAAGGAGAGGGGTGACGGTGGTCCGGAGGAGCTAAGAGGCAAGAGGCAAGAGGCAAGGTCACGGTCAGTTCGGAGGGGGCGTTGAAACCGCTTTCGTAGGCGCCCTCTCGCCTTCAGGGTCGACGGCACGGCCCGTTGTATTAATACATAGAACCATAATCTCCGCAAAGAGTGGATACGGATGGAAGAAAATCATGATATGATTCCCTTCTCCGAGCAATCCGGCGCGGATATGAACGCATGATCAATAATCTGTCCTTGAAAAAAAAAATAGAGATAAGAACAGATTCTTGAATCGTCGACGATGCTAATATTTACTATCGCTCACCTGGTTTAGTGTATCTATGGTGACGGCAGCGATGTTTCATCAGGTGCTTGTGCTCACCGGAAGCTCGGAAAGTGGAAGAACTTCATATCATCTGCAATTGCCAATTGCAACTACCTCCGACCTTCGGTACCGGGACAAATTCTCCGACTAAACTCCGGTCCTCCCAATGTTCAACCATGAAACTTCTCGAACTCATTTGTCACTGTCCACTCTATGTTTTTACCAGCAGGTGAGGGCCAGCTCATACTGGGTGGCAATTCCGAGTCCTATTTTATGTCGCACATACAGGCAAAAGATATGAAGAATATCTAAGCTATACTTGGCAAAAGAGTACAGGACATTCATAATTAAGATTCTGTATTATCTACTTGGATGTGTTGTATGACAATCCCTGTCAATTCAGTAACTTGTGCAAAGTCAGAAACTATGATAGAAACAGTGGCAATATGACCTATATCACTGGTACTGGAGCCAAGAGCTTGAACGAAACAGAAGATGTCAGATTAATGATTCCGAAAAATCTGTGTAAAGCATCACCCGCAATCACACTAATATCACAGGACATTATGACCATGATAGTGCAAACAAAGAGGTACTGACCTTAGCAAAAACAGCAGGGATTCCTACAACATCAGATGGCTAGGGCTGTGCACCATCACCGTATTGTATGGCTTTCGGTAACCATTATATGGAAGACGGACTGAAGCCGAACGCATGCTAATGACCATGTGTATGGTATGGTGTATGGTTGTTCCGTCGCCATCAAGAGCTTTTACATATGGCCTGTATAACATCGTAATACGGCTTCACCTTGCCTCTTATCTAGAGCCTTTGTTAGAGCAAAAATTTCATGCAAATGGCACCATGCAGTGGCACCATGTAGCTGTCTTGTTTGCATTTAGAGTCGCATGTGTAACTTTTGAATACATATGTGTGTCTACTTAGTTCAATACAGGTGCAATTTACAGTTCCTTTGTGATCTTGGACACATCTAACTTATCTTCCCCTCTGAAATCTGTTACTTTCATGTTCATCTCTCAAGCTATCCAAAAGCCATCAGACCATACCATAAATTCTCTACAGTGACTCTATATAAGTAAAGTCATTTGTCCTCCAGTGCACGGTTGTCAATGGCCGTAGACGGCCGTAAGGTACCCATACCGATGCCGACAAGGCTTTCAAGCTGACCATACAGTACAGTATATGGACAGTTCCGTGACCATCTGGGAATATGGTTTTATGGCCATATACCATATATGGTATGGTGCGCAGCCCTACAGATGGCGTATTAGCCAGAACAATGATACTAGCCAAACATGACATACATACCTGCCATCCTTTGGCCTGCTGCCTATTACCTGATGACTTTATTCTTAAATATGTCGAGACATCATTATATCTTGCTGCATGAGAAATACAGAGTTTTAGGTCAAAGAAGGGTAAACCTGGGCAGGAATACATACCTAGAGCGTGGCAGCATCGATACAATTGAAATCAGAGGTCTTCTGTCACCATCGAACAAGCTAAGAGGAACACTCACTGGTCAGCACTGATTGTAACCAGACAGCAGAACAAACCCTTACTCAAGAGATGTATAGTGGCTTTACTTGAAATTCTACCGAGGTAGCCTCAATTTGTACAAGTGTGCCCACAATTCAGCCTGTCTTAACATCACACAAAGGGGAGACACCACAGTGAAGACTGCAATGAGATAGAAAGCTCAGGTAAATATTGGTGGTTGAGGTGGGATCCCAGGACTGGGGGATATATAGTGCCAGTCATGGTCATGTGAAGAGTATTAGTTTCTCCCATGGCAAGTTGACACCCAACAACGATAGGTCGAGACCGACTTCCTAGTTGCAAAGTTCTTGTACTAGGGCTACATCTGTGTGGCGTAAAGTGCTTAGAGTTAGTATCAGCAGAGGCTATCAAATATATGTGGTGGAAATGCTTACCATGCATACAGACAATCATTCCATTAGGTTTTGGGAACCACATGAAGTACTGTCACTTCAATGACCTTCTTTACATGCTCTCCAAAGGCAGTAATTAATGAGTGGATACTGTATGCAGTGCTGAGGAGCATGACTGTCAGATTATGCTATATATAGGGCAATCATGCATCTGTGTCCTGTTAATGTGAGCTGAAGTTTAGGAGCAGGAGAACTAAAAGGAATTCACCATTCATCCAGAAAAATCAAAGCAGAAGGATTGAGCCCTCTTTGACTGAATGACGCCAGTGTACATGTTTAAGAAGCAGCAAGCTTGTTTGAATGTGCTGTGACTTGGACCTCTCTGAAGGAAGTCCTGTCAGTCCATCCCCTTCAAAACATTTAAAACTTGACGCTGATGAGCCTGAAGGCTCTGTACGCTCAGAATTCGTGGATTTTAGCATTATAATAAATGCCTTGTCCACTTAGCGGACTTTCACTAAGTCAACGATTGCAATCATGGCAATACCCACTTTTACCGCCAACTATCCATCCCAACTCATATTCCGCATCAATATGCGCCACTTCATTAATGCTGCCAGGCACCTGATTGCCGATCTCACAGATTTAGGACCATCATTGATTGCCCAGCACAGCCATCGATGACATCAGCATCAAGCATCAATTAATAGAATGCCGCTGCCAAAGTACCTATTCCATGGCAAAAGACTTAATACCATGACCTTTCCACCAGCTTTACTAAGGCTGTTACAATGCCAAGACAATGCTGCACGCATCTACTTCAGTGTACTACCTTCAGTGTACTTTGCCGCAGCAACACAGCAGCCTAAGAATCCGTATGTCGGTGGAATTCTTTCTGATCACTAAGTCTATACGTGGTAAAACCGTGTGGGTGCTGTTACTTTAGAACTCTGGGAGCACGTGTTTTGTATCATTTCTTACCAATCGATGTACTAAGGACTTACTAAGGACTCGTTTCAAGTATTCTAATTTTATTCCGGACTTGTAGTATAAAAGCTAGTGTAGTAGGAGTTGCGAGACACAAGTTACTGGACACTAGCTATTATCCACGTTATCGACCACCATTATCGCTTGTACTCGCTAGGAGATAGACAATAACAACATAGTCACTCCAAGTTATACTCTCTGTCATGGCTTTTCTTCTAACAGTATTGGCATACGCTCATATTGCACCAATACACGGAATTTGGTGTCCACAACTCGCTTTTATCTTTTAATCCGCCAGCATCGTTTCACTTTCACCAGCCAGGATTGTTTTCATCAGTTTTCACCTTCTACGTCACCATCGTTTTACCCAGCTCAGTTCAGGATTGTTACGTCCCTGTGTGGACTCAGATTAGGATCGTTATTGCCGCCAGTAGCATCTGTCACGGAATTTCGGTCAACAGCTTCAGTATAGGATCATCAGTCATGGTATTTGGTATCTTGCCGTCAGTTTCAGTATAGGATAGTCTCCGTGTAGACTCAGGATTAGTATCAGTTTCGTTTTGCCGTCGTTAACCTCAGTATAGTTTCAGTATCAGTCCAGCCCAGTCCCAGCCATTGTTTTGCCGTCACTAGTTCCCCCCTCATATCATCGCCAGTTCATCTTATCTTTGTTTTACTGCCAGTTTCTCGTTTCTCGACTACAGTCTTCGTTTATTGCCATCACGGTATTTGTTATCTTGCCAACGGTATTTCTCTTTGACGGCATTTTCTCTAATTCCGTCAACATCGCCCATGGCTTTTACCAGTTAATTGCCATCACTTCATTCACGGTTTGCCGGTATTCCCAGTTATACCGGATTCCATTCCTTCTCGTCTATCGAGACCCTTCCCAGCTTACAGCCAACGTTTTCTAGTACTCGATCGTTAAGGGTACTACTTCGCTGACTGAAAAGTCGCAGTGTATACTTGTGTTCTTGAGGAATTCATCGCACGGAGGTGCACCGAAACACTCGCACAACAACAAAGCCTTTATTACCGCTATGCGCCATTTGCCGTGAACTCCTCTAGAGTTTTGGTTTTTGCTGTTGCCATGGAAGTTTAGGCTCATCAACGCCACTTCCCACCACCAGTCAACCAATGAGAAAGATGATAAATGACAGAGCTTTGAGGTGGGAACCTAGTTGACCATCCCTTGAGGGTGCTACTAGAAAGGTCATGAGCATTGCTATGTGGACGGCACTTGAAGAGATGGCATACCAAATGGTGTGGCAGGATGCAAGAATTATGTGCTTGGCAGATTTGAAAGGCATTGTGGAGTAAGCTGTGACTTAGACTAGTTTGGGTTCGAAGGATGTTTGTGTAGAAATAATGAACCCATGAGTCATTTTATATATGATAGTGCATAGTGACCTGATGGTCCTGTCAGGGAAATTTATTTCAAGAACAACACAATACATTGCTAAAACTTTGTGTTGGGAGTAGAAATGCCGGATTCCTTGAAAATCACAATCAGCACTCCTGAAACATTCGATTTGATGAAAATGAGTCCAAGATCTGTGATATCAATCATACATTCTATGCGTCAATGGGCTAATCTTTCGTAGCAGGTATAGAGATGTGAACAAATCTAACAGATCACCTGTGAGAGAATCAAACAAGATCCTGATAAATAAAATCAGTTGCCAGGAAGTAGGTGGGTATCACAATATTGAGGATACAGCATGCGATTTAAGCTCGACTCTTTAGTGGCCATAGAAGTAATATTTATATTCCAACAACAGCAGCAGAAATTTGAAAAAAAAAATCTAGAGGCAGAGCTGCAGTTTATCCCAAGATTCAAGTTGCTGTGGTGGAAGAAACCACGGACCAAACACTGACAGTTTCTGTCAAGCTGTTACTGAAAAAGAAAATACAGAACATAAAGGATAGAAAACAAAACAGTGATACAAAGCAGGCTAGAGGGAATGTGATGTAGCACAAGGGTGAAACACGGAGCCAGAAAAATGTGGGAATTGCCGTCCATGAATAAAAAAGTTCCCATGAGAGACCCACAGAGGAAGAAATGGGGTGGGATGGCAAATGCCACCATCACTGATTCCACAAATAGAATTTCCCATGAGGTTTCATGACAGCATAATAACCGAGTATCCTATATTCATAGGACTCGGAATTCCAATCAGATGGCTACATTGATATATAATTTTAGGACCTTACACAGGTATGAAGATTGAGCTAAAGTCAATAAGATGTAAAGGAGATGCAGCCTGCAACATACAATGCATTACAGAAGGGATCCAAATGCAGACAAGTAGCACAACTGGATAAAAACAACACTGCATAAAAGTATTTGAAGTAGCCTTGCTTTATTCCTTTACTTCAAACTATCCGACATAGAGGTTAGATTTCAAGATTGATGCTAGTCTACCTATGTGAACATACACTTGTTCAAGCATTAGATCTTCATTACCGATGTTGCGACTGCAGCCTATTTACGCGTGTAATTTTGCAATCTAGAGTGTTTTACATGCATACTGAGAGATAGTGAGTGAGCGGACTAAAACTACGCATCAACACTAATGCTACGTGATGCAATGATATGGAATATAACTTATGGCATAAGCAATGGGATTCTAAACAGGACTTAGTCACAGCACTGTACCTGACGGGCATGTGTGATGAGAAGGCCAAACCCTATACCCAATGCCTTAGGCTCTAACTTACAAGCACGCTCGTGGGAGCTAGATAAAACCTTGACGATTGCAGTGACACTGAGAGTACTTAGCGCGCTCGCTAACTGTGACGTGTCGTACCTGAAAATCTGGGGAAATCCTTAAGCGAGATGACAGATACCACCGGCACGAGCTTGGGCAATGGGCTTCGGCCGAAGTCTGCGAGCCCGCATTCCATTGTTCTGAGTCCCATTGTTCGAAGACTCACTTGTTGCCGTGTCTATGAGAAGCCTCTGTGAATCCAAGAAAGAAGTTGTGAACGACATACGCCAGAACTGATAGTTCCGTGTGCCTAGACCTGTCGGTCGCTAGAGAACAAGCCTGCGGGTGTTGGGAGAGCACCTCTTGGCACGCGTTTAGCGAGCTCACTATAGAAATGAGACTAAAACTGGGAAGTCCAACTCGGATGCTCAGTAAGGCAGCGGTGGCAATGTGCTACGCATGTAGGAGTCTGGGTACTGCGCGACGTTTGTAATTCTAATTCCCTTGTAGTATAAGTAGGCTGGTTACAGTAGGTAGAGGCCAAGTTTCGAGCCCCCGAGTTCCCGTGCACGCGTTGAAGGCGGTACTGTAACAAAGGATCAGTTTGTGACTTTGAGCTGTGCATAGAATTAGCGAGCTCACTCAGAGAAATACGAGATACCCTTTTGATAAGACTTTTGAGAACTTAGTCAGAGTGAATACGAATCAGTGAAGCTGTTTCTGTTCTGTTGAGTGTGATAAGTCTGTTCAGAGAATGTGTTGAAGTGGAAATCTGAGATCTGTTCTGTTCTGTTCTGTTCTGTTCTGTTTCAGTCTGTTCCGTGTCAGTTCTGTCGAAGTTCCGTTTCTGAATCGGTTTTCCGAGCGCTTCTGAAGTGTTCTTGAGTCGAGATAACCTGCTGGAGTTAGTTGGAGAACCCCTGCATACAGTTGTGTAGCGAGTGGGCTAAGTCAGTGCTTGCCTGTGGTGTTCTTTTAGCGAGCTCACTAAAGTTTCGGCGTGTATTGCCTCTGTTTCTGTTGGGATCAGTGTCCCTTGTGTATTATAACTCAAATCTGCCTTGAAGGTTGCGTCGAGCCAGTGAATGACCTTCCTGTAAAAAGTTCCTAGACTTAGGAAGTCATTAGAGAAAGCTTAGCTTCGCTAAGAGCGCTGAGAATAAGAGAAACTCTTCAAGATATTGAAGTATAGTTGGATCGCATTAGAAATAATCGCTCCCCCTAGAACTTACGAGGGTGATTGTAGTTTGTGTAGTTGTGTGAGTGTGTGTGTGGGTTTTTGAGGTTTGCCCTTTAGCCCACTCACTATTCCACAGGTGCCCACAGCCAGCCTCTTCACCGAACATTATTAATGATGAGGAAGAGACTGTCAATTTCGAACATAATTTCCAAAGTTTCCGAGTAAATGATATGCCCACCAAGTGTCTCGTTATCAAATGGTACAGGAGGTCCAATGCTTCTTGCTCAGTTGAAATGTGTTAGCTTACACGTCTGTGGTTGTTTCAAGGTTCTCGAATCCGCAAGCACCTTGATCCTTTTTTTTAAACGCATAGCAAATGACATCGAGACACAAAAGAAAAATAGCAAAAGATGGAGATGGTGTCATTGGTTTCGCCCCGGCCAGGAAAATGTGTTTGGTGGTGGTGAGTGTCTGTCATGACATCATTTTATCTCACTGTCCTCCTTTTCCAAGTTCAACTCCTTCATGAATTGCCCTTTTTTGCATTGAACAGTCTCGCTGAGCATCAATAGAATGTAATAGGGGGCTTAGACCTCATGATGGTACAGATGGTCAATGCTGGACTGATCTAGAAGCTTGTGTGCACTATAAGGCAGAGTCAGGGCACTTGAGAGACAAGGCTTCCGCAAAAGGGACGACTGAGGAGGACAAATCAAAGTTGCTGAGGACACCAGAGGACACCACAGATTTGGCCACTTCGCCTTTGATATATCACATTAGCCGTGCTGACATCGTAATGAAGGATTCCTGCCCAGTCACACTTGTGACCTATTAATATCTGAAACCAGGATGCACCAGAGAGTCCATGATGGAAGAGAACTGGTCAGACAGAGTGACTCTATATTCGTTCGAAAGCACTTGTCTTGAAGGATATCATCAGCAGGAGAACTTGTTCGAGTTCTCAGTTGGGGGTGAAAAGTCAGGGGAAGAGGGTTGTGAGCAATCAATGTGTCAAGATTGCCAGCCACTTTGCTATTGGTCAAATTATTCTGATTATTCTGAAACTGTGGGTTTCCAGTTAGTCCTGGAAGCAGGATGCCCATCTGACTCAGATCTGCAGTGATGAAAATGGTGCAGATACTTAGTCCACCCAGCAACAAAGTCCAGATGGTGACGAAGAATTTTCTGCAAAGCTAGCTGCTTGAATAATCCATACAGGTATGACAGCGTTCTGCAGCTAGAATACTGGGAAAATAATATGTAGTGAATGTTGAAAACAGCATGGGAATGGTTGGTGGCGGAGTGACTCGATTTGGCACTGAATGCTCTATTTTGACATGGTGATACTTTTTCACTCTACCACCATTCTCTATTACCAATTGGGACCCTGCATCGGTGTTGGTGCAAGTGTGCAAGCCCTTGAAATGAGGTAACAGGATTTTCCAATCCAGACGAATGAGGCACTGAAAAAAACATGATACTTATTCAAGGGAATGTTCACCACTGGCCTGAGCATGTAGTTCATGATTGTGATTGAAAGTACAGCAGTTGTACAGTCAGTTTGCCATTATATTCAGTCAAGTCTTAGCTGGCTATTAGGTTTCAGCATCGGCACCCTGTCATGTCTCACCCTACTCTGTTCTTGCCACAACATCTCTATGCCAATCCAAAGCACTCACAGCATTTACATCCCATTGCTGCTACCAGAGGGTCATGGATATCCACTTTGGCTTCCTGCACTGATATCGAGTCTTCCTCTTGATTTTGTTCACCATGGAACACAAATTGGTGATCTTGGGTATCTTGCTCATGATGGAGGTTTCACGTACCTCTTCAATGTGTGCAAGGATGCAACAGATCCTGTCAATCTGAATAGGTCCCCTCCCAGCTTCATACCACTGACGAACATCCCAGGCATGTGAGAAGACTTGAAATTCCACAAAAGTAACTCTGCGATCTTTAATTCTACCACGGAACAAAGGTTAGCTAAAACTAAACCTTTTCTTGCATCTTCAAGCCCTCCTTTCTGACTGATTGAGGGTACATTCCAGTCTCAACTCTACGTGTACAAGAGTGGGAACCGCTGTCCTTGTCCTTCCTGATGGCGCTGAACGTTCTGATTCAGAAGAACCTAGCCTATTTGAAGAATATGCAATTGCGAATGTCCATAGCTGATACAAATACTTCAATGGCCAACAGGGCAGAAAGTTATATAATGGTTCCCTATATCTCATCACCGGCTGCAATAAATGCTGCTGCTGGTCCAATGCATGCTGCTCCCAAAACACTCAGTCCAGGAATGTATCGCTCAGGTTTTCGTTTACTGTAGGCATGGGACACAATGGAATATTACATCTTGACCGGGAGATACAAACCGATTCCTGTGTTCACCAGCAGAATCACCAATGTGGCGACAATATACCAGGAGCTACTGCAAATCAGACTGTCTTCATGCGTGGATACTTGATCTCTGTTCGTGCTCAACCAATGTTACATGCGCTGGGCATCAAACCAGTAGCGGTATACAAGAGTGACTCTAAGCTTCCATGATTCAAGACTGGTGGGATCCGGGCTCCCTATTCCCCTCCAAGCCCTTTTGGTTTAATGCCGACTGTCGTGAGGGCATTAGGCTTCTCAGAGACTGTGAGAGTATGCTTATTCTCCTCTTTTTACAAGCTATTCTGCTAAAAAAAACCTGATCACAGAATGGGGGGAAAAGAGATAGCAGTAAGCTTGGAAGATTTCTCAGCGAGGGACAGGTGCCATTGGAAGACGAAGTTGAAATCAACACATTGAAGATGGACATTCTGTTAAGCACTAACTCTAATCTGAACCAAAGCTGATCTCTATCCTGTCACTCGCGTTTGGTGATTCAGTGTTAGAGAGGCGTTGGTAGATTGCAAGAGGTTAGGTGTCACTTATAGCGAAAGCAAGGAGCTTGTAAGAGTTAGGAGTATATAACCTTAGCCGAAGCTGGGGTCTGAGGCCACAGCATAGGCTAGCTTAAATACATGTTAACCTTGTACTAAGAATAGTATCTACAAGGGCGCATGCAATGAGAAGTGCGTCTTTCAACGAATGAGGAGGGAGGACACTAAAAGAAGTATGCTCCCGACGAATGAGAGTAAAGAGCGCATATCACCTGCATCTGTGCGGGACTCCGTCTGAATAGGCTGCATCCCGTAGACCGCCCTCGACTGGCGGTCGACTCTCGTCCAACTGCTAAGAAGCATGATGCCATCAAGAGAAGTGTGATGGCACATGTGGGTCGCTGGTCACCTGGGGGGCGGCAGTGTGAACTGGGGTGATGGCAACCGGGTAACCGGGTAAAGAGTGTGCTGGCGGAATATCATGGGTCTGAGAGATAAGATAGGCAGGTCCGGGGTTCCGATGAATAAGGATAAGATAAGATAAGGAAAATAGAGGTAAAACCATAATAATACCCCCCGACTAAGACTGTCGTCCTGACAGTCCTTTAGACATATTCACTCCCTGAGTCGAGGGAGTTAGTAGATTCCATATCCCATTCGTAATCCTTGGTTTGTTCCCAAGCAGACATACCCTGTTTTTCTTGAGGGAAGCTGGGGTCGGTCTGAGTCATTAGAGGAGACTCGGAATGCTCGTCTTTGAAGACGTCTTCATCCGTGTCCAATGAATAAAAGCCCTGCTTGTTAGCGGATAATGGATCGGTATGATTCCCGACTGGAAAGAGTGTTGAGCTCTTGGTTGAAGGGCCAGGAGATGATATGGTTATACATCCCCCTTTATTTCCCAAGTGTCGCAAATCGTGATCCTCTACGCGGTCTTCCTTGTTCTCATATTGTTTGACGAGTTCTTCGGCATTGGCGAGATTGCTCCTCTTGACCCAGGTAGCTTCCTCCACTGGGTATCCCTTCCATTTGACCAAATATTCCGTTATGGTCCTCCGGCTGTGCCCTCGACCGATGACGCAGTTGCGGTCCTGAAGTAGTTCCTCTACTTCGTATTCTTCCTCGCCTTCCATGAGTTCCGGCTCAGGTGGCGGAGGTTTTTCTTGGTTGGAAAACTCTAGGGGGATGTATGGAGTTAAGTATCGTTCATTGAACTTGTTATAGATCTTCCATCCTGGCGGCAGCTTTAGTTCATATGCAGAGGGCCCCTTTTTGGAAACTACTTCAAAGGGGCCGATGCGTTTATCACCTAGCTTTTTTGCCGGTCGGAGGAGGTGAAGGTTGGTTGAGTCCAACCAGACTTTATCTCCTGGTTGGTACTCCTGTGCAGGGCGAGTGTGTTTGTCATAAGCCTTTCTCATAACTTCGGCGGCTTTATTCAGAGAGTCTTCCACTTGTTTGCGCACTCTCTGGAGGCTTTCAACGAAGTCAGTTACTGATGGTGTTTCCGACTGCCTCACTGCGGTTGGGCGAATTTCCCCATCTCGTCCGTAGACTACTTTGATGGGAGAAAAGCCCATTGCAGAATGTTGGTGGTTGTTGTGAGCGAATGCTGCCCACTGCAGCCATTCGCTCCAGTCGTCCTGTTTGTGGTTAACGAAGACTCGAAGGTATTTTTCAAGCTCTTGGTTAACCCGCTCCATTTGTCCATCCATCTGAGGGTGATAGGCCATTGATGGATTCCCTTGAATATTCATCATTGTGTACAGCTCAGTGATGAATTTTGATACGAATTGGGGCCCCCGGTCGGAGATGACTTTGGAGGGGGTCACTCCAAATCGACAAATGATCTCATCGCGTAAGATTTTGGCCCACCCACTCAACGAGAATTCCTTCGTGCATGGGATCAGCACGATGTATTTTGAGAATCGGTCTACGACGACTAGTACCGTGTCATAGCCCTTGGATTCTGGAAATCCAGTGATCATGTTGACTGAGATGTGTTCCCAGGGTTTGGATGGTACAGCGTTGGGATGTAGCGGGGCTGCTTTCCGCTGTGTATCAGTTTTTGTCCTCTGACATGCCTTGCATCCTTGCACATAAGTTTCCACGTCCCTTCACATTTTGGGCCACCAGTAGTCTCTTGAGACTAATTCCCTGGTTTTTTCGATGCCCAGGTGTCCTGTGGAGACATGATCGTGGTGATGGGAGATGAGTTCTCCTTGTAGGGTGTGGTCACGGGGAACGTAGATACGTCCATCGTAAAATAGAAGGTGGTCTTTCTCAATGACCCCTTTCTCATGGTTGAGGCTTGAAGCGATCCCTTGGTCCCACCATTGGTGATCGCTTGTTGCTTTCCGAATTTTGTCATGAATTTCTTCCTCTGTTGGCATTATCAAGGCACGGAAGAATTCTGGCTTTAAGAGGACAATATCGTCATTGTCCTTCTTGCCCTGGTCGTGGTCGGCTCTCCGACTCAGGAGGTCAGCCTTCCTATTGGACGCTCCTGATTTGTGGTTGAGCATGAAATGGTATTCCGCTAGCTCAGTAACTCACCGCGCTTGTCTGCAGTTGAGTTTCTGGGGTTTGCGGAAGTATTGCAGATTTGAGTGATCTGTCCAGATTTTGAAATCTTGACGGGCACCCATAAGATAATGTCGCCACTCTTCTAAGGCGATCATTATCACTAGCAATTCCTTGTTGTAAATCTCGTAGTTCTGTTCCATCGTGGAAAGAGATTTTGATAGGAATGCAATTGGGCGCCATTTCCCTTCCTGTTCCTGGGACAGGACAGCACCAATTGCTCCTTTGCTGGAGTCCGCCTCCATGCAAAATTTGTTGTAGTCGTTTGGCATCGCCAATACGACTCCTGTTGCAAATTGGCATTTGAGCTCTTCAAACGCCTCTTGTTGTTCCTTTCCCCATGTCCAAGGGACTTTCCCTGTGAGTTTTGTCATTGGTTTGACAATGGCACTATAGTGCCGGATGAACCGTCGATAGAAATTGGTGAATCCTAGGAATGATTGTAGCTCCTGTTTCTTGGAGGGTGCGGGCCAGTCCATAATACCCGCGATCTTTATCGGATCCATTTTAATGGATCCCTTGCTGATGATGACTCCGAGGTATTTGGTTTCGAGTACCTCAAACTCACATTTTTCTGCCTTCAAGAACAACTTATTCTTGTGCAGAATCTTTAGGACTTCTTGTACAATTCTTTGGTGTTCTGCCTTATCCTTCGTGAAGATGAGGATGTCATCCAAATAAATGGTGACCTTTCCCTGAGCAATGAGATCTTTAAAGATGTCATTCATCATCCACTGGAACGTGGCAGGTGAATTGGTTAAACCAAAAAACATAACCATGGGCTCATAGAGTCCTCGGTTAGTACGAAATGTGGCCTTGAATTCGTCGCCTTTCTTGATCCGGATGTTGTTGTATCCCCAACGGACGTCTAACTTAGTGAAATACCTCACATCCTTAAGCTTATCCATGAGGTCAGAGATAAGCAGTAAAGGATAGCAATTTTTGATGGTTATTTCGTTAAGCTTGCGGTAGTCTTGCACTGGCCGCAGTTTTCCATCCTTTTTCTTGACAAAGAAGAAGGGGGACGCCATAGGGGACTTGGAGGGTTGAATTCAGCCAGTAGCCAGGTTTTCATCGAGGAATTTATCTAATTCCTCTTGTTCCTTTGGATTCAATGGATATATCTTGCAGTCTAGGCTGGCATTGGCATTTGGAATAAGCTCAATGGCATGATCCCAAGGCTTGCGAGGGGGGAGTTCATCAAAGTTTTCCTTAGCGAAAACATCGATGAAATCTCAGTAATGTTCGGGGACGATCTCCTTGAACGATTTTATTTTCTTTCCCTCGTTGGCCTTGGCCGCTAGGTCATTGGCTTTATGCCCCACCGCTCGCACATGAAAGGCTTCTTCGAAGTCTATAATGATGTTACGGATTATTCTTTTCTTTTCTTTTCTTTACGTGTTCATGCTTACTCTTTGATGCGATTCCTATCGGACGCTCTCACAGTACTATTTTTAGTGTACCAAACG